GGGGGGGGGGCGCATCATTTCTCCAGCCAGACATATTCCACGACGGAGTCCTGTTGCCCCTCGACGCGGCGCACATACAACTGATGCAGCCACTTGCTGCCGCTCTGCTGCTGCTGCGACACATGCTGTCCCTCGAGCTGCCACGTGAAGCGTCCCGAGCCCTCGCCCTGCGGCGCGCGCAGCGGGCCAAAGTTGAACGTCGGGCGGAACACGCCGTGGTCCCATGCGTCGTTCCACGTCTTTTCCAGCGCCGCGAGGTCGGGCAGCGTGGGGTAGTGCGTGAGCGAGACGCCGTAGGCGAGCACGGTGCGCGGGCTGGTGAGGGAGATGTTGTGCGTGGCGAGCTGCGCCACGTCTTGCCCTGTCCAGTAGTGCGAAGGTGCGTCGAAGCGCTGCAGCACGCAGATGCCGTGACAGATGGCGCCGGCGCGCATCATGCGTGTGGGGTCAAAGTGATTCCAGGACTTGTAGTGATGGAAGGAACTGACTTCCTGGCCGCTCTCGAGGACGCCGTGCGACGAGCCCAGCAGGTCCATCTGGTGCAGCGAAGTCTCGACGCTCACCTCGACGCGCAGCTTGTCGTAGGCGCAGTGCGAAATGCGCAGGTCGCCGCCGCCCCAGTTGTGCTCGGCGTCGCAGTCGGAGTGCGGCGAGGAGCCGTCGGAGCGAGGCTTGGTCATGTTCTCAACGAGGCCTTTCGAGAGGAAAATGCCGCCTCCGCCAAAGGCGATGCGTCCGATTGGCCCGTCTGCCCGGGCACGTAAGGCTCGTCAGCCCCCGCCGCATCGCACGCACGCCATACTAAGCACATGCCCGACTCACAGTGCGCCTGTGCCTCGGAGAAAGTGCCGACGAGCCAGTTCTTGCGTGCATCGTACTTGCGCAGCATGTTCCAGATGGGCTCCAGGCCGCGAATGAAGGCCGTGTCGTCGTCAATCGTCGCAAACCACTCCTCTCTGCGGCGATGTCTGCGGAACGCCGCCACGAGACTCATGTAGCGCCGCTCAAAGTCGAGCGGCGAGGCCTCGACGATGCCGTTGATGCCTGCGTCGCTCAGCGCGGCGTTGAGAGAGGCGAGGGCAATGGTGGAGGAGTTGCGTTCGTCTGCCTCTTCGACGAGAATGAGCAGCCGGGCGCCAGGCGCGTTGACGAGCCACAACCAATCGGGAATCGCCTCGAGCACGCGCGCACGCGTCGTGGCGGCGCCAAAGAGAATGTGCATGGGGCCCGGGCGCTCCACCTGCGTCTGCATCGGCAGCGACAAAGCTCCTTCGAGGCCGGAGCACGCGCCGATGAGGTGCTCTGCCGCTGCAGGCACCAGTGGCGCGGGATTGGGCAGCAGCGGCACGTCGAGCGAGACGAGGGTCGACTCTGGCGTCTCTGCCGAGCCGCGCGAAATGGCACCGCGATAGGTGCCGCTGCTCTGGCGGCGCACAAACTGCCGCGCCCACGCGGCGTCGGCGCTGAGATTGTAGCGCGCGCGGTACTGCGAGACGTCGAGCGTGCAGGGCGAAGAGGCGGCGGAGAGGAGAGGAGAGCTGGGCGGAGACCAGCGACGTGCTGCCCCACCCCCCATGGCACGGTCAGGGCAATGTGCGGTACGAGCAGACCGAAGCTCGAGGAAGCACACTCACATGTGCTAGGGCCCAGCCACTCGTCGCGGCCCGGCCAGAAGCCAAAGCCCGCGGCCGCGTCCCTCCACGGCGGCCCTGGCAGAAGCACGAGGGCCAGTCAGCACATTGCGCGCGCGTGTCCCGCACTTCTTCCTCGCGCCCGCCAACACGCACCAGCCTGGCTTCGCGCCGCCGCCGCCAGCCAGAGCAGCACGGCCACGCCGGCCATGGCCAGCAGCAGGGTGCGGCGGCGCAGCGCACATGCGCGGCCGAGGGCGAAGCGCAGGGGCGAGCGTGCTGCCGCTTGCACGCCTGCGCTGCCGCCGCCGCCCGCCGACGAGGCACGCGCATGCCCGGCGTGCGAAGGCAGCAGCGACGCCTTTTGCTCCAGCTCGAGGGCCTCGTGCGCCGAGGCGCCGTGCGAGGCGCGCCGGCGAGACGGGAGGAAGCGCGACATCGAGCCTGCTGCGGAGAGGGTTGTGGTGGTGGTGGAGGGTGGTGACGGCAGAGTGAGGAGAGCAGCACGACGTTGATAGCACGGCGCCGCCTCGCACCGAGAACGCGCCGGGCGTCAAAGCCGCACGCCGCGTGTGGCTGAGGCGAAATGCACGGCCCGGCCCCTGGCGCACGGCGCGCGGCGAGGCGAGGCTGCCGCCTTCTTCTTTGCCTGCGCGTCGCGCCTCTCATGCTTCGGCACATGCACCGCACAAGCGGCCCTCCCTCTTGCTCAGCTGCGCTCGGTGCTGCAGGTGCTGCATGCTGCTGGGTGCTGGGTGCAGTCGAGTCTGGAACAAGCAGGCACGCTACGTCTGCGCCATGGCACGGCCTCCTCGACGAGTCCTTCTGCTCCTGCCTCACCTGCGTGCGCGGAGGCGTCTCATGCCCATGCCGCTGATGCTGATGCTGACGCTGATGCTGCCAAGCTCTCTGCCTGCTTCCCCCCGCTGTACATTGCACGCTGTCGTCTAAGCGGCTGCTGCAACACTCTCACTACCCTGCTGAACACGAAGGTGCGGCCGTGGCCCCCGCTCTGCCCGTGCTGCCATCCTGCAAAGTCGGAGCTGCCACCTTTGAAACTACAGCAGCAGTCGAGGCTGGCGTTGGAACTTCGAGGGGGCGGCTTCTGCGGCCGGAGGCCATGAGATCCAAGTCCGAGTGCTCCTGTGGTCGTCGCCCGTTGGGTCAAGACGCCGAGACTGCACGCCGAAATGCAAAGGCTCATGATCTCGCTGCGTGCTGCGGCCGGCGGACGCGAGATCGTGCACCGCACGGTGCTTTGCGCTTCTTGCACCGGGCGGCGGTGGTGTCAAGAGCCAAGCATGCGCCGCACTCTAGTGCTGGCCGCTGTGCCACGCTTGTTGTGCGCGACCCTTGCTCTACATCCTTGGATATGCGTGGGGCGTCGGCATCGGCGGCATGCTCAGCGAAGAGTCGAGTCGAGGCAGTCGCGTGACGTGTGCCCTCTTGATGCTTGCGTCGCCCTGTGCCGCTGCGTGCGCTGCGTCGCATGCTCGCGCCAGCCGTCAGCGGTGTGCGGCGGGGCGGTGCCGAGCGATGGCTTCTGCGCTCGCCTTGGACCCTCGCGGCGGGGTGCCGGCGCCCCGAGAGATGCGCACAAACACACGACGCGCGCCCTCGGCACGCCGGCAGATGCAGCGCGGGTGCAGCGCCAGCAGCAGCGCCCAAGCGCCATCTCGATGCGCTGCATGTTTGGTGCGGCGGCGCGGTTGCGGCTGTGCTGCAGGAGAGGAGCGCCCGCCTGCCGCAGCTGCAGGAGCTGCCAGCGCCGAAGTTTGCGCTCTCGGCGGCCTGCCGAGCGCCGCCGCCGATGCTGCCTCTGCGCTGCCTCGCTGCTCGGCGCTCGGCCGCTCATGCTTGACGAGAGGCAAGGCGAGGCAGGAGCGTTGAGGCGGCTGCACCTGGCGCTGGCGCTGCACGCGGCTGCACGCTGAGCGCAACACACGCCGCGTGCCGCTGCCCGCTGCCGCTCCTTCGCGTGGCCCCTGATGCTCTGCAGCCGCTGGCGCCGGTGTTCTTCTGCTGGCGCACGCAGAGAGCGGCGCGCCCCGCCTGCGCCTGCACCGCCTGAAAGTGCCTCAGCCTGCCGCCTCGCTTTCTGCTTCTCCACCACCACCTCACTTCTCCACTTTCTCTCACAACTCCCTCCACCTCACCTTCCTTTGCCAACCATGCACTTCTCGCGCCTCGCCCTCTTCCTCGCCGCGCTGGCGCCCGCCGCCTTTGCGCAGTCGTCGCTGCGTCTCGAGGTGCCGTCGACGGGCATCGTGTGCCAGCCTGCTGCGCTTCGCTGGTGCGTGTGCCCCCTCTCTCTCTCTCTCCCCCTCTCCTTTGCTGATGAGATGAGGTCTTGTGCTTGCCAGGAGCGGCACCACCGGCACCGTCTACATCCGCGCCATCATCGGCGAGGGCGAGGGCGTGGTGAGCACCACCGACGCAAGCATGAACATGGCCGTCACGACGCAGGAGAATGCCGCCAGCTCGGGCAGCTATGCTTGGTACGTTGATCTCTCGGGCGGCATGCAGGCAGGCAGGCAGCGATGGTAGAGGAGGGGAAACGGTGGCATGTGGCGGGCAACGCAAGTTGGGAAGGAGGAGGGGGCCAAGCGAGGGAGTAGTGGAGCGACAGCATCGAGAGATGGGAAGCAAGCAAGTGGTCGCCAACATTGCGCGGTCCTCTGTTACGTTTCCAGCAGCACAAGAGGGCATGCGCTAGTCCTGCTCTGCTCCGCGCCTGCTCTGCTGCCCCCTACTGGCGCTCCTGCGCTTGCGAGGAGCTACGACACTGACTTTGCCTCCTTTTGCTTCGCGCGCACAACAGGACCGTCGCGCTTGCCCCGGGCACCAAGGTGACCTTCTCCGTGAGTGTTGGCGCCGGCGCCTTGCCCTCTTCCTTCGCACTTGGGGCGTTCGCTGACCCGCTTTTCGTGCTTTCCCTCCTACCAGATCGCCGACTCGACGGGCCAGACCAACTACAGCTCCGCCATGACCATCACGGGCGACAACACGTGCGTTTGGTTGCCTTGCCTTGCCCCCTTTCCTCTCCTCCCTTATGCTTTGCTCTTGCTCTTGCTCTTGCTCTTGCTCTTGCTCTTGCTCTTGCTCTTGCTCTTGCTCACGCCCGCCCTGCCTCCTCCTCCGGGAACCTGCAGCTGCAACGCGCCCGCCAACTTCTCCGGCGCCGCTGCCTCCTCTTCGGGCGGCAGCAGCACGGCCGCCGCCTCGGGTGCCTCGTCGTCGAGCCGCGCGTCGAGCAGCTCGGGCTCGGCCGCCGCCGCCGCCACCACCACGACGCGCCCCTCGGGCGCCATGGGTGCCGCGCCCGCACTCGGCCCGCTGGCGCTCAGCGCCGGCGCCGCCGTTGTTGGTGCCGTCCTCTACCTCGCCTAAGCACCTTGCCCAAGGCGAAAGCGAGGGTGCGCGGTGCATCGTGGACCCACTGCCTCTCTGTCTCCCTCTGGCTCGACTCGGCTTTGCATCACCCCTGCATCTCGACTTTTCGCTCCTCACTCGATTGCTGCCTCACAACGGCGGCTCCTCATGCGCTCCCCTCTCCCTCTCACACACACACAGCTGTCCCGACCGCACTCTCCTCCTTCATCTTCTTGCATACATCCACTGATGCCCGCTCTCCCCCCCGCACAACGACTCGCTTTACATGATCCTTGTTCAATGGACCGCCTTCTTACGCCTTTGCTGGAGCCCGCTGCCAAGCGTGGTGCGCGAAGCTGTGCAGCTCTTGATTTGCGCCCTGCGGAGACGGAAGCGGGTTCGAGCGGGGAGTGGCAACTTGCGAGACGGCACAAATGGCGCAGACAGGTGTGGCTTTGGAAGCCCGAGAGGCTGCACGCACAAAGGCAGCCAGTACCGAGTCTGGCTGCGCCCGACTCTGATTGCAGCTGCGAAAGGGTGAGCAGAAGCAAGCGTCTGAGAGGCGTAGGGGCGGAACATGGAAGCGAGAGGCAGCGAGCTCGAGGGGTGTTTGGCTTGCGCGGACGCGCATGACGTCATCCGGGGTTGCGCTCTCGCGCCTCGAGCTCCCCTCACGCCGCACGGCAGCGGCGCGCCCCCGCCCCGCTTGGGCGCATGTGTGCGACATCTCTCTCTCTCTCCACCCACCACCCACCCACCCACCTCTCTCCGCGTGTCAGAAGAAAGCAAGAGAGAGAAATGGCATCCACCGCTCCCACCACCGCCGGCCTCGCACCCGGCGCGCCCGCACCGCCCAGCGAGGCGCAGCCCGGCCTGGCGCCGCCCGCTGCGCCGCTCGCCTCCGCCGCTGCGTCCACTGGCAGTGCTGGTGCGCCGGCTCTGGCGCCCACCACAGGCGCCACGACGGGCCCGGCAGCGGCGGCAGCGGGCGTGCCGGGCGTCGACGCAGCGGCAGCGGCAGCGGACCCGCACGTGCCCGCCACGGCAAAGGAGGCGCCGCTCAGCGGGCCGCCGCCGGCCGACGGCGTTTCGTTCAAGGACCAGGTTCGCGGTGCGTGTTTCCTGCGACGGGCCCTGCGCCCGTTTCCTTTGGGAGAGAGAGGGTGGCGAAGGCCGCAGCTGTAAGGGGGCGGGTGTGCCATTGCAAGAGGAGGCAAAGACTTGCTACTGTCTGAGTGGAGCTCTTGCCTCGCCTCGCCTCGCGCTCACCTCGCGCTCGCTCTCGCAAAGCCCGCTCACTCGCTCGTTCGCTGACGCTCTCGCAATGCAGGCTACGCAAAGTACACGGCCGGCAAGCTGACGGGCAACGACAAGGAGGTGCAGCAGGGTGCGGCTGTGTGAGTTCGTCGTCATCGTCCCACCCCCTTCTCGGTTCCCCGCTTCGAGAGCGAACCAGAACTGACACCGCCGACGGCTTCTCGCGCGGATTCACAGCGTGCGCGGCGTCGATGCTCCCGCTCCCTGATGCACGTCCTCTTCACCCCCCCCCGTCATCGCGCTACTTTCCGTGCAGCAATCCGAATGCCCAGTCTCTCCCTCTTCGCCTCTCCCTCTGGCTCTTCTCCGTTTCGCCTCGTAGTCCCTTCGTCTTTCTCTCGGTTTCGCGTCGCGGTGGAAGAAAGATGCTTGTGACCGAGAGCGAAGCGGCGCGAGAACGAGAGGTAGTACATGTGTGAAAGATGATGGCTGGCTGGGTGAGGAGGGGGAGGAAAGAGACGCGAAAGCGGCTTCACTCGTCGTCCTGTACAACAGGGATCAGCAAGCAATTCAACGCGGGAGAGTAGAGAGGAGAATGGAAGAGGGAGAGGGAAGAGACGGGAGTGAGGGGAACTCACCTCGGACAGCTTGGGCGCGAGATAGAAGCGCACGTGTCCATCCTCGAAGGCGAACTCGCACTGTGCGCAGCAAGAGTCACGCGTCAGCGTGTGCTCTGCTGAGCGTCGCCGGGGAAGAGCACCTACCAGCAGCGGCACTTCATTGCTCATGTGCAGCGCGACACCCTTGCAGAGCGGCGCCGCCTTGGCAAAGAGCGAGAGGTACTTGAGGCTGAACGTCAAGCTGACGCTCTGCTGCAGCTGAATCTCGACGGGCACACTCTCCTCTGCGCCACTCGCCGCGCCCGCCTTTCGCTTCTTGCCCTTTGGCTTCGACTCCTCGTCCTCCTCCTCCTCGTCGTCGTCGTTGGCATGCACCGCACTGCCTGCTCCCTGCTTGAGCGTGAGCTTCGCAGCGCCCACTTCGCCCTCCGAAGAGAAGCCCACGCCGTCCTTCGAGACGTCGATCTTGACGCTCTCACCCACGACGGAGAGATCGCGACAGATGCGCGCATACTCCGACGACGACATCTTGACGACGGCGTCGTACGACGTGTCCGGAATGCCGAGATGCTCCGAATCAATGTCCATCAGCTTCATGTCGTACTCGGCGACGCGGTCCGACTCTGCAGAAGAGAAAGTGGGGGGCAGTGCGGCGTCAACGGCATGCCCTGGCAAGACGTGGCGCGCAACGCATGTCTCTGGCCCTCGGCGGCGCTGTGCGCAAGTGTGCAGCGCAGTACAGCATCGCACGAGCACTGCACGCTTCCTTGGCGTCCAGAACGAGAGGCGCAACTGCGCAGGCACCGCCGCACAGAGCCACAGCTCTTCACGCGCTCCAAAGAAAGCCGGAAAGAGCGTCGTGGCATGTCCCATCAGTGAGCAGCGACATGCTCCACATCGCGCTCCTGCCCTTCTGGCGCTCCCTCATGCGAGCCCATCCTTGCATCGCGCCACGGCCGCCTCGCCGCCGTCCTTGCGCCACTTGGCCCTTCCTCGCGCGAGTACTCACTGGTGCTCTCAAACATCAAGCCCAGACTGTCTCCGTCGTCGGCCTTGCGCATGGTGAGCGTGTCGTTGTTGTCGGCGCTGCGCACAATCTTGGTGAGGGCGGCGAGGCTGATGCCGATGCTCATCGGCCGGTCGCAGCGGTACGGCTCGAAGCCCTCGCGGCGCAGCTCGATGGAGGAGAGGGCGACGTGCGAGTTGTCCATGGCTTGCATGCGCTGGAAGAGAGAGGTTTAGTAGAGAAGGGGGCAAAGGGGGAAGAGGGGCACACGCACGATGCCATCCTCGTTGCAGTCAAAGTTGGCGTCGGTGATCAGGTCCTTGACGGCTGCAGACGAGCAGCAAGGGTCAGCGACGCGTGCCGAGCCTGGGGCGTACGCCCACAGCCACGCGAGCTCACCGTCGAGCACCTTCTTGAGCTGCACGCGCCAGCAGCAGGTGAGGCAGGAGAGAGTCAGCGCATGCCTGGCCAGGGGCCCGCGCCACACACGCGCACGCGCGCGTGGCAAGCAGGCACACGCACCGTCGACGCCTGGGCCATGCGAGCTTCGAGCATGATGGAGTCGCGTGTGTGTTACTGGGGGAATGGGAAGCGCGGTGGCAAGGTGTGCGAGGTGGAGTGGGAAGGCGGACGCAGCGGGCAGTCGAGGGGAGTGTTGCGATGGGGGGAAGAGCTGATGAGGAGCAGAAGCAAGCAAGGCACAGAGAGCGGCGCGCGCGCTGCGCACAAACAGACGCAGCCTGCTGGAGCGAGGCACGGGGCAGCACAGCAGGCGGCACAGCAGCACAGCAGAGGCACGGCAGCAGAGGCAGAGGCCCGCAGAGGCAGAGGCCCGCAGCTGCGAAGCACACACACCACGCGCGAAGCACTCAACGCGTCGGCCACGCCGCGCGGCGCGCGACGCGTCAACGTCGGGGGCCGCCGCGCACCGGCGCGGCCTCGGCTAGGCCGCGCGCTCGCGGCTTGCGTGCAATAGAATGAGAATCGACGTCGCCTCAGCGCCTCCAGGCGGCTTTGCATCCCTTCATGCCCACGCCACACAGTCAAGCGTCGCTATCCATTGCTGCGCATACAAGGCAGCACGTTGCACTGGCGTCCACAGTGCCCACACGGGGCGTTGCGCCTCGTCTCGCGCGCGCTCAAGCCTGCAGCTTCGCCTGCTGCGCTCGCGAGAAGGCACCGGGCCCAAAGCCGCGCTCGCCCAGCGCCTCGTCCAGCAGGCGCGCCAGACCGAGCGCCTTTTCCTCCTCGTAGCGCTGCGTCACCACTGCCAAGGGGGGAAAGGGGGTCGAGGGAGGAATGAGCCATGCCCAGACCGCCGACTGTTGGGGCAAGAAAGATAGGCGTGGGGGCAGAGCGCAAGGCCAAACTCACCCTGCACACCAACGGGCAGGCCGGCCATGCGTGTCGCAGAATAGATGGGCGAGCCAGACCCGTACATGCGGTACGCCAGCAGCTTGGAGGTATCCTGTTGTCGCGCCACACGCCTGGTCAGCAAACATGTGCACACCTGTGTGTACTCGCGCCCACTACAGCAGCAGACGCGCGCATGTGGGGGGGGGCTCACCTTGAAGTTGGCCTGCTGCCAGTACGGCGATGGCTTGCTGTTCGAGGCGGCGTCGAGCTGCGCGTCGACGCGCAGCACCGGCAGCGTCACGGCGGGATTGTCGAGCAGGTTGAAGAGGGCCGTCGGTGCCACTGCTCCACTGATCTCATCTGTGTTCACGCGAATCAAGGAAGGAGGGGGTGGTGTCAGCATAGGCGGCAGCAGGGCGCGCGCACAGTAAGCCATCGCGCCCGGGCAAAGCCCAAGACGCACCAGTGCCATGGTGCAGCGGCGCCGGCAAGGCAAAGACGGGACAGACGATGCCGTCGAGTCGATGGCGCTGCCACACGTGCACGTTCCAGTGCTCGACAAAGTCGTCGTTCTCGGCCTGCGCATCAATCAGGCCGCCCGCCGTCTTCTTGAAGGCGCGCTCCACGACGTACGCAAAGGCGCGATCACGGATGATGTAGCGCACGCTTGGTGGGGGGGCGAAGACCGTCAGTTGGGCAAGTGAGAGCGCGAGGAGGGGGCGCGCATCTTACATGAAGACAAAGAGCTTGCGGATGAGCGAGGGCACTGCGAGAGAATGGCGGCAGTGAGTTCGGTGCCGGATTGGCCAAAGTACTCGAGGCGACAACACTCACACGAAGGCAGCAAGAAGGCCAGCTTCATCGCCGGATCCACCGCGTCCGGCGCAATGTGTTTGCGCGACGAGTGGAAGCGATCGCACCCCACGATGCTCAGGAAGAGGCGCATGGCATGAGCTCCCCTGACCTCGCTCGCCTGCAGCTCTACAAACTCGACGTGCTTGCCGTGCTTGCGTTCCAGCGCCGTCTTGGCGGCCAAGACGGCACGGATGCACGCCGGCGACGTGCGGCTGAGGCCGTCGGTGAGGAAGTAGCCGAAGCGCAGCGGCCGGCCGCGCTTCTCTGCGGCGCCGAGCGCGTCGAGCCAGAGCGGCCTTAGCGGCGCCGGCACGAGGCTCTCGGCGCCGTACTGCAGCTGCGTCTCACGCAGGCTGAGCGTAGCGCTCTCCTCCGTCGGGTGCAGCGTCTCCATGTTGAGCCGGTGCAGCAGCTCGAGGTCGGCGAGACTGCGCGTCATGGGCCCCGTGACGACGTGGATCGAATGGAAGCCTTCGTTGTACTTTGCATTGCCTGCGTTTGGGTAGCGACCGGAGCTGGGCTTGAGCGAGTAGATGCCGCAGAAGTGCGCCGGGATGCGCAGCGAGCCGCCTGTGAGTGCAGCCGTGGTAGCATCAGCACGGCGTGTGATGGGGGGAATGCCCACTGGCGCAAGAGAGGCGCGGGAGCGGCACACACCAATGTCGGAGCCAATGCCAAAGGCCGAGCCATCAGCGGCAAGCAGAGCAGCTTCGCCTCCACTGCTGCCGCCCGCCACGTGCTGCGGCTGCCACGGGTTGCCAGTCTGTCCGAAGAGCGGGTTGCGCGAATCGATGGCAATCATCGTCTGCGGCACGTTGGTCTGCACGAAGCAGACGGCGCCGTGCGCCTCTGCCAGACGGACGATGGCAGCGGACTGGGTTGGTTGCCAAAGACGTCAGCATGGTGCGCAGAGGCGCGAGGAGGGTGAGGAGGCGTGAACACGCACCTCGGTGCTGCGCCCGTTCTTGAGCCACGAGGAGAAGCCGATGGTCAGATGCGTGCCTTCGAGGTGGTAGCAGTCTGTGTGTGTGTGTCGTGCATCAGTACACAGAGCGCGCATGGGGCAGAGCAGACGGCGTCGTCGCCGCCCGCGCGTACCACCTCACCCTTGAGGCTGAACGGCACGCCGTGCAGCGCTCCGCTGAGCTTGCCCGTCTGTTCGAACTCAGCGTCGAGCTCGGCGGCACGCTGCAGCGCCGAGTCGAAGGCCACCTCGGTGACGCAGTTGGTGCGCCGCTGCGCTCTGCGCGTCGAGCGGATGAAGGCCTCGAGCAGCTCGGTGGCCGTCCACTTGCCGTTCTGCACGCCCGCGACCATGGCGGCGATGTCGGCGGCGAGGATCTCGGCATCCTTGTCGCCGCTGCTGGCGAGCGTGTTCTTCTGCAGCAGACGGTCGCGCTGCGCGACGTGCTCTCTGGTGGCGACGAGATGCGGCGCCGTGCTGAAGGGCCACATGCTGGGCGCAGAGGGCCGGGTGTGAGGGTGAGGCGCCAAGGAGCATGGAGCGTGGAAGCGAGGGCCATGCGGGGCAGCGGGTGCACTTCTGCCCCGAGTGCCGGCCGCCGGCACCTTGCATCCGAACGCGCGCGCGCACGGGCCCGCTCCGCTTCCGCACCGACTCGACTTCCAAGCCGGCGGCAGCAGGGCACTGCAAGGCAAGGCGCGCCTCGGACAGCAATCCGACGCAAGGCACATGGCATTAAGTGAGGCAGGCAAGAGCGGCACACATCCCCGGCGAAGCAGACGTCTGGGCATCAGAAGAGAATGTAGCTGCGTGCGGCAAGAGGGGCAGAAGGGGGGGTCAGCCTCGCTGCCAGCCATGGCCCATGACGCAACTGCGCGACGCACCCGATGTTGAGCATGGGGAAGCCGATGAAGAGGCCCACCCAGAAGCTCATGTTGCCCACCGTCGGGTTGCGCTTCACCCACGGGATCTGGCTGATGGCAATCAGCGGGATCTGCGCCCTGCACGCGGTGGGGCAAGCATCAGGGGGCGTCAGCGCCGCTGCTGCAGTTGGGCCTCACCAAGCCGCTCGTCAAGCAGCAGACTCACATCTGCAGCGCAAAGAGATAGCCGCGGATCTTGCCGCTGACAATGGCCATGACGAGCTCGTGCAGCAGCGACGAGAGTAGGAACGTGTAGAGCATGGCCACCTTCTTGGACGCGCCGGCTGTGATGCTGTGGGCATAGACGTGGCGCAGCAGGAAGGAGTGCACAGGCTGGCGCGGACGTGAGCGGGAGGCGAGAGAGGGAGAGGCAAGGAGACGCACCTTGTTCCACTTGCGGCTGAACTCGTCCATCGAGCGCGAGTTCCACCAGTCGAGGTAGAACTCGCGGTCGGCAAAGCTGTGGGGCGGGCGTCAGCGCTGGCAGCATCTGCAGTCTCTGTGCGCGGCCTTACCGCGTGGCCTCGCCAGCAAAGGCCAGCGCGCATTCGAACATGACGAAGAAGATGAGGAGATACTGCCCGGCACACGAGGATCAGCGCATGCGGGGAGCTGGAAGGCGAGCGCATAACCCACATTGACCATCATGGGCACGGCGAGCTGCAGGAACGTCTGGATGATCGGCGTGTCGGGGCCGGGCTGGTGCGGCATGATCCAGTGCTCGGTGATGACGTAGATGACGCAGAAGGTGCCGACGCCCGCGAGTGCCTTTTCCAGGAGGTACGAGGGGCGAATGCTAGGGCGTGGTGATCAGCCATGCGCTGCGCATCGGGCAGGGCCATGCAGAAACACTCACTTTTTGACGCGAGGGTACGTCAGCTCGTAGACGAGCGTGGGGCAGCAGAGATAGTCGAAGAAGTTGGCGTACGTGACATTCTGTGGCCAGCTGACATGCTCGCCCTTCTCGTTGGGCCCGGCACTGAGAAGCTCCTCGCGCAGCTCTTCAATGGAGCGCGCCAGCTGCGCCACGACGCTGTCGGGATGCGAGGCGAGCGGATGAGGGTCGCGCACCGTCGTTTCGCCATCGTGATGGCCAGCCTTGGCCTCCTTGCCTGCTGCAGAGGCCTCCGTCGTCGCCGCCGGCTTCTCCTTGTCCGTCAGCACCGCCGCTCGTCGATGCGCCGTGTTGGTGCGATGGCGCAGCTGGTTCGAGCCACGCTGCACGTCGCGGCGCGACCAGTCCTTGCTGTGCTCCACCGCCTCGCCCTGTTCCGCCTCGAGGGCCTTGCGCACCGCCGCGGCCCATGCACTGTCACTGACGAGCTGCCCGGCGCCGAGCTTGGCGTCCTTGTCGTCTGAGATTTCGGCCACGCGCTCCTCGAGCTGCACTTCCAGGCGCCGCATGCGGTGGTAGTTGTCCGCCATGGCGCCGTTGACCGCCATGTAGGAGTGAATCTTCATCATCATGCTCAGCGTGTGCAGCGTGAGGAAGCCCGACTGCACCCAGGGCCAGTCGCTGTGACGGAGCGTGCTCAGCCAACGACTGTCGCAGGCAGGTCAGCGACACTCACCGGTACTGCGTCCAGCGGATCACCGAGAAGAGCAGCGCCGCCTGCCACGCATGCTGTGCCCAGATGAGCGTCGGCCAGTAGCTGACCCAGCCGCGCTTGAGCACGAGGGCAAAGGGCACGCAGATGAACGTGCTGGCGCACAGCGTGGCGTCGGAGAGCAGCAGCACCCAGGCATCGCGGCTGAAGAGCGTGGCAAACGTCATGCTGATCACCTGCCCCGTTGACGCCCACGATGTGTAGGACGTGTTGAGCATGAGAATGAAGAGGGCGATCCAGAAGAGCACGTAGAAGCCACGGAAGCTGCGCAGCGGCGGCACGTCAGCACTTGCTGCTCGCACCTCGGTCAAGCCCGAGTATGCTCTCCCGGCTTGCAGCAGGCCCGACTCACGGGTCGGTGGAGCTGTGCGGATGGAAGCGATCAAAGGCGCTCTCGCGCGGCACAAAGCTGACGAGGGCGCGGATCTTGCGGCCGCTGCGCTTTGCCCGGCTCGACTGCGACGGCCGCAGCGTGACGAGGCCGCCCTTGCCCACTTCGTGCGAGAGGCCTGGTGGAAAGGGAGGTCAGCGGCGCTGGACGCCTAGCCGAGTCTGGCCTGGGGCGCGGTGCAGCGCGGCCGCCGCAAGACAGTGCGACGAGCCGTGTCTGCGCTGGCACCGCAGTGCTCTCCGTACCTCGCTGCTGCTGCGCGCAACGCACCTTTGGTGCCGACGTGCGTCACCGTCGTCGTCGTCGTCTTCTCGCCGCCCGCCTTGGCCGTATACTCTCCGAGCTCGCGCTGCGCCGCATCCGCCGAGCTCAGAATGGTGGTCGTCACCGTCGTGCTGGCCACGACCTCGTCGTCCGAGCCACTGCCACTGCCCGTCGACACGCGCGACACGGTGGGCCGCGCGGTGCCGCCGGTGGCGGCGGCAGCCGATGGAGCCATGCTGCGCACGCGTGAGGGAGATGGAGGCGATGCGGAACGAGAGGGACGCGAGAGAGTTGTAACAGGGAGGCGTGCTCGCGAATGAGAGGTCAGAGATGTGTCGCGGTCGGAGCTGCGTGGGTGAAGGTGGAGCGGAGCGATGTGCACGCGCCGTGCGCATCTTGCAGACGGCTCGGGCGGCGCGCACCGCAGCCGGCGGCTCGCTCGACGCTCAGGAGGCGCCGCGCACACGCCGCGAGGTGGAGAGAACGCGCCGCCGCGCGCAGCAGCAGCGCGCCAAAAGCGCAGTCGCTGCCACGACGGCCTTCTATGCTCTAGCCCGCCTCTCGCATCTCACGGCCAGAGGCATCCTTGTAGCAGCATCTGCAGCACCGCTCGCAGCAGCCGCACAGCATCTCAAGCAGCATCCTGACCCGCCGGCTGCGCCTTCCGGGCTCATCGCCAAAGCGGGACCGGGACGCGGCAGCAGAACGCGGAGGTGTGGTGAGGTACTAGACTAGACTGCCGGCTCACTTCCGTGTTCCCGAGCTGCCGCCCCTGAGCGGTACGGTCGGCTTCGGCAGGCGCATCCGCGCCGTCTAAGTGCGAAGAGCAGAGCGCAGCAGCCGGCGACGCTCGGGCCGATGAGGTGGGAGCAGATCGCAGCTGCTGTTCCTCGGAGATGCGAGGCCGAGGCAGCAGACTCTGCACAGGCTGCGGTGCCGCAAGCGCGACGCGCAAGGCGGACGTCGGCCGGCCCACCGAGCGCCGCGGCGACGTGCCCAGAGCCCCGGCTCGTGCTGCGAGACCGCGCCGGGGGAGGCGGACACGTGACGAGAGATCGCTGCCTCGGCGGCGATGAGCGCTGAACGACGTTCCAAGGCCAGATGGACCCACATCTTCGCAGCGCTGAGAGCGATGTGCGTGCGGCGAGGCCGACGAGTGGCAGGTGTGTGCGTGGTGTGGATAGGCCGCGGCTGAGGAGCGTGCTTTCGCCGTCCGCTTGTCGAGCCGCGGCTGTCCTTCGTGCCTTTGCCGCAGTCAAGCTCTCGCACTCGGCATCATCTTCTCTGTCTCTTGATTTCGAGAGCAACAGCTTCCGCATGATGCTCGGCGAGCCGAGGCCTGAGGAGCGCAGGACGACGCCCAAAGCCCGAGGTCCCCCGCACCGCCCGCACCGGCTTGGCTCTCGAGCGCGCGCGCCTCTCGCGCGGGAGGCGCTCTCGCGGTTGTCCCGCACGCCAAGAGGCGGAGTTTAGAGATCGTGCAGCCCAGCAAGACGGGCCCGCACCCGCGCCGGGCAGCTGCAGTCTGCGCTGCAGCACCCACTGTGCACCCCGCTCGCCTCGCTTGTTGGGGCGACTCGAGGACAAGCGCTTGTCCTCGAGCGAGGAGCAGCTCTTCCGAGAAGAGTCTCTGGTCGCCGGCGAGACAAGTGCTGTAGCAATCAATAAGCACGCCCAATCGGCCGCGGGCGTCGCGTGACGCACGCAAAGTTCATGAGGTGGGAAAGGGGCTGTGCTGTGTTGAAAGATCTGGCGGACGCGCGGTGTGCGGCAGCACGGCAGCTGCTGCGGTCTGCATCGCTGTTGCTGAGCGAGCACGCGACGCACGCGGACCCTGCGCCGTGCTTCGTGCTCCGCGCACCCGAGCACCTCTCATGCTTGCGTTGCTCGGCTGCGGCTGCACACGGCGAAAGATTCCCAGAGTCGAGAGGAGCGGCACCAGATGAGAGGCAGACGCGAGAGGCAGCCACACCGCTGGAAGCTGCAGCAGGCTGCAAGGCACGGCGCAAGCCCTGAGGGTGACAGCCGCGGCGCTGCACTCTCCCTCCTGTGCGCGGCGCGATGCCCTAAGATAGCCTCGGCCCCTCTGGCTCGGCGCTGCAAAGTGGCATGACGAAGCACCAGCCCTCTCCTCTCTTCTCGCCTCCATCACCCGCGGGCGCTGTGCGCGCCCTCTCTTTTCTCTCCACCACCTGCAAGCCCCCTCGCTCCGACAAGACCTGGCGCCTGGTCGGCTGCCTGGCGTGCAAGCATCCGCCTGCACGCACCCTCCGCAGCTCTGCCCTAGCGCGCCCCGCCGCTGTGCAAGATGCGCGACGTGCTGCTTCCCGACGTGGCAGATGCGCCTCTTGCCTGGCTCGCTGGTGAGTGCTGCTGGCAGCATCAGCTCGCCTGCGCCACAGCAGTGGAGCTCGGCAGTTGCGGCGGAGCCTGACCCGGCCACCAGCAGGCACGCACCGCACAGTAGAGGAGCTCGAGCTCTCCGTCGAGCCGGCAGACGACGACTCGCTCATGGCTTCCGCCGCCGCCTCCTCTTCAGCCTACGCTGCAGAGCGCTTCCACGAGTGCCAAGAGCATGCGCGCTGGCACACCGATCGCATGGTGGAGCACGCCGCCGCTGCTGCTGGGCCCTCCAGCGGCGCCGTGCGCCACGAGCTGCGTGCGCCTCGCCCCAGGCCCGGATCGCTCTCCTTCAACGAGTACGGACATCTCTCGCACTCCATCCCAGGCACGCCGCGCACCGGCTCGCCCTCGGCAAGCAGTCTGCGCGCCGTGTCTCGCCCGACCAGCGCCGCTGCCTACCGCGCACAGGTCGCCAGCATGCATCGCTCGCGCAGTGCCGCTCCCTCTGCCTCTGGGCGCGCTGCACGCCGCGTCTTTGAGGCGTCATACGAAGGCGGCATGAGTCTGCACGTCCCGCACTCGCGGCACAGCAGCTCTGCATGGTCGCCGAGGCGCGAGCTCTCCGTCGCTTCCTCCTCGCGCCTGTCGATGGCGAGTAGTCGACGTAGTTCCTACGAGCATCGCAGCGGCCTAGCAGCCGCGCGAGAAGGCGCCTTGCTCTCGCCCACGCCGTCGAGCTCAGGGCGACGCTCCATGCCTCGCGAGCACTCTCCACCGCCCAGTTTCCGCACGCATCGCACCGGCTCCTTTGCGACGGCACGCTCCCTCTCCCGCACACGTTCTCGCTCGCTCTCTTCGCTCTCGTCTGCAGCTGGACCTACGCTCTCGATGCGTCTGGGCATGCACACTTCGCGTGCCTCGTCCGTTGCTCCCTCAGAGGATCTGCCAACGTATACGCCTCGCGGAGTCGATGGACTGCCTCGATATGACGAGCCGCTGCCGGCACCACCTATGGCGCACGCGTATGGGGAGGGCTACTTTGCGCCTCGCCCCGTGGAGCGCCCACCGCCGCCTCACGTCTTCGCCTTTGCGCGCCAAGCCGGCTCTCGTGTCTTTCGCGCTGCCGCAAGGCGCTTCTCCGCCAACAGCAATGCCAGCAGCCCAGCCGCAACTCCCGGCGCTACGAGCTCTGAAGGCGCCACGCCATCTGCCAGCGCCTCGGCTAGCAGTCCTGCGTCGCCCTCAATGGCAGTCACGACGCACAGTAGCGCGCCGAATGCCTCTGCGCTCTATCGCCGGCCGGCGCCGCCCACTGCCACTCCCATCTGGCCGGCAACCACCTTCCATCGCAGTCTGACGTCGGACTATGTGCGCGTAGCCTACGTGCGCGACACTACGCCTTCGGCCTTTGGACGCACGCGCGAGACAGGCCCTCGCATTGTCTACGTCCAGCGCCGACCCGCATCAACCTCAGTGACGCCCACTGCCTCTCGCCCCGCTTCTCGTCCATCCTCAGTACGAGAGGAGCCAGCCGTGCTGAATGCGCGCGCAGCCGCGCTGCTCGCCAAGGTGCGCGCTCGCCTGCGCAAGGAAGGAGGAGCTCGCGCTTCGCGGCCTCTGGACGCCGAGTCTCCACCTGCGCCAGGCACGCCACTTGACTCGGACGGCCTTTCGCCCAGCACGAGTCCGGCGCTGACGCCGGCGATGAGTCGGGGCACGTCGGGCAGTCAAGAGGCTACGCCCACCGGCACGCTTGGCGAAGGCGCACGCCTCACCCTCGTGCACTCCGCGCAGGAGGATGCCGCGCCGAGGGCACGCCCGCCGCTCGTGTCGAGCAACAGTCTCTCCGCCATCGTCTCGCTGCCCACGGCAGCTTCGAGTCGCGCTGATGAGCCCGGTCCTTCCTCCGGCGCCGGCGGCGGCACAAGGCTGAGCGGCTTCTTCTTCAGCGGCGCGCGACGACGCTCCAGGCCGAGCACGAGCGGCGGCGAGACGACGTCGGCTGCCACGTCGCGCTTCCTGGGCCCGTCGAGACTGCACAGTCAGACTGCTCTTGCGCAGTGACGGAGTGGATCCCCTCCTCTCGTTTCCGGAGAGCCCCTCTCTAACATTGCTCCTCTAGACATGCCTCGCCTCGCCTTGCCTCATACCTCCCTCACGGCTCTCGCTTCACGCCTCACGTCTCCCGCGCTGCCCGGTTCCTCTCACCGCCCGCGCTCCTCATCTCTCTCGGCACTGCGCCCGCTCTCTGTACTCTATCGCCGCACTGCCTTGCCTATGAACTCCTTGTCACACGGCATGACAGCGTCTGAGAGAGCGATGCGAGGGTCTTGCGCTTGCTGCGAGCAGCCGAGCGCCGAGTTGGCGGCAGCAAGGCGCGCGAGCCGTGGCCCGGCTGCTGGCGTGCCGGTCCGTGCGCGTCGGCCGGCTACCTAGCGCGGCGAGCCGGGCGCGCGGCGGCCTCTACCCCGCACTAAGACTCGGCTCGGCGCCCGCTCCGCCGAAGCAGCTCCTCGCCCCGGTGCACCGGCACAAGCGCCGAAGCGACGAGGGCCTGAGCGGGGTGCAGCGTGGAGGCGTGTCCGGCGTCCTGCTCGGCCGGCTCGCATGCGTCCTCGGCCGCTCAAGACCCGTCCCATCACTGCGCCCTCTCTCTCTCCACCACCTCAACCCCATCCCATCATGGCAGCCAGTCAATCCTCCGTGCGCGTGACGCGCGACCCGCAGACCAAGGCCTACTGCAGCAGCGTGACGCAGAGCATGCCCGAGCCGCGCGACTGCACCGTCTTCCAGCTGCTGCTCGACGGCGTCGCGTTCGACGATGCGCACGTCTGCTTTGCCGAGACGAAGAGCGGCCGGGAGCTGACGTGAGTGTGTGGCAGGACGGAGGGAAGCGACGGAGAGGCCTGCAAGGCGCAATGTCTGTGCTGACGCTCTCGTCTCACCAGCCTCGGCTCGCTGCGACTGCAGGCGCAGCAGCTCGGCCTCGGGCTGCTCCGCGAGGGGCTCAAGCCGGGCGATGTCGTGATGCTGCTGCTGCCCAACAGTATCGCCTTCGTCGTTGTGCTCCTTGCCACTCAATTCGCCGGACTGCGCTGCGCCCTGGCCAACCCGGGCTACATGGCCAAGGAGCTCAAGCACGTGCATGATCTTGTGCAGCCACGCAAGATCTTCACCACCACGACGCTCATGAAGAACCTGATGCGCAGCGGCCTCTCGTGGAACAAGGCCGTCACGGTCGACCAGTCGATTGGCAGGGGTGGCGCACGCTTCCTCAAGGATCTCATGGTCAGCGAGGAGCAGGCAAAGCAGGCAGAGCCATTCATTCCGCAGAGCTTCAACGAGACGACGTAGTGAGTCGTTCCCTCTGGCTGCGAGCTGCGGAGACGCGCGCACTGAACGCATGCCCCGTCAGCCTTCCGTTCAGCAGCGGCACGACAGGCATGCCCAAGGGTGCGTGCCTTGCAGTCTGCGCTTCTCGCGGCAGGCACGTCTTCTGACGCTGGCACACGTCACTTGCTTCCTCTCCAGGCGTGGAGATTTCGCACAAGAACGTCGCAGCAATGGTCAACACGCTCGTCTCGATTCCAGATGGTGAGCATCGCGCAGCGGGCACAAGGTCCGCAAGCCGTGCTCACGCGCTCTGCCAGGGCTGGGAAGAGGAGAAAAGACGATTGGCTTCCTGCCCTTCTTCCACGCCATGGCGCTGCTCATTGCAGTGCACTGCACCAGTGCGTGGAGGCTCACTGGCATTGCAGCGCAGCGAGAGCTGACACACTCGCATCTAGTCGTGAATCGCGGCAAGGTCTTCATCATCCCGGGCTTTGAGCCAGTGGCCTTCGCCGAGCTCGTCAAGAAGGAGAAGATCTCGGTGCGGCCATGCTGCTCGGACACCTCCTGGGCGTAGATGCTGAACTCGACGCCGGCTGCAGAACATCGGCCTCGTGCCGCCAGTGCTGAACGTGCTTGCCATCCATCCCAAGGTGCGCCGTCCGCTGTCGGCCGCGAGACTGCGCGTCTTCTCACGTGAAGCTGTAGATCACAAAGGAGCACTTCGCCTCCGTGCGCTATGCCTCGTGCGGCGCTGCGCCTCTCGATGCCGACACACAGCGCAAGTTCTCCGAGAAGACTGGCATCTGGGATGTGCGGCAGGGCTGGTGAGTCTGAGCGATGCTGGCCTGGGGAAGCTGAGAAGCGCCCGCTGAACCCTACGGCGCTGCACCGTATCAGGGGCATGACGGAGACGACGGTGGGCTGCTTCGGTCTCAGCCAGGGCGCAGAGATCGGCACCGTGGGACGCATCATGCCAGGCTGCTACGTGAGTCTGCCTGCGCGCTGCTTCCGCATCCCTCGTGCGCCGCTTGCTGCTCACGCGCCAGAGCACAGGCTCGCCTCGTCGATCCAGACACGGGCAAGGACGTGGAGCAAGGCGAGCGAGGCGAGGTGTGGGTGCGCGGCGAGAACATCACAAAGGGCTACTACCGCAACGCGGAGGCGACGAAGGGCACCTTCTCCGACGACGGCCAGTGGCTCAAGACGGGAGACGTGGGCGTCATGAATGACAAGAACGAAATGCGCATCGTCGACCGCATCAAAGGTGCGGCAGCGCGGGTGCGGGACACGTGCAGTCTGCACATCCAAGCTGACGACGAGCGTCGACAGAGCTCATCAAGTACAAAGGCTGGCAGGTCGCGCCGGCCGAGCTCGAGGGCTTGCTCCTCACCCATCCCAAGTGCGTGCCTCGGGCCGGGAAGAGCGTTGCTCAGGGCGCCGCCCCGTTGCTGACGAGACGCACGGCAGGGTCATGGCGGCGGCCGTCATTGGCGTGTACAGCAAGGAGCAGGCCACTGAGCTGGTGAGTGGCCGCACCGCGAACGTTGCTCCAGTGCCTCGCTGACGTCGATGCTTCACAGCCACGCGCATGTGCGTTCACGCCGCCTGGACTACTTCCCGCCCGCTTCAGCTGACCCGTTTTCTCTCGTGCTGCTCTCCGTACTACCTGCAGACGGTGAGTGTGCCACAGCCTGCAGCCGCATCTTGCCCCGTCTGACTCGTTCCCCACAGTCAAGATCACGCCGGGCAGCGATGCCGATGCGACGGCGCAGGAGATCATCGACTTTGTCAAGGCCAAGACGTCGCCGCAGAAGTATCTGCGCGGCGGCGTGCGCGTGCTCGATGTCGTGCCCGTGTCGCCGAGCGGCAAGGTGCTGCGCAAGGAGCTGCGCAAGCTCGTCGAAGCAGAAGAGGCGGCGGCCGCTGGGAAAGAGCCGCAGGCCAAGCTGTGAGAGCGTGCGCCCCTGGTCCCGACTTGGCTCGTGTCCCGCCTGCCGTACGCCCCCCGTCTGCTGCCATGTATCAAGCCCTTGCATTGCGACGCTCGCCCATCACCATCCGAAGATGGCATCGCCAATGCGGCCCATGACGCCCGAGGGCGTGCCGCCGTCCGCCTTGTGCACCTGCTGATTGTGCGCAGCCGGCGCGCCCGGCTTGCTCGGCGTGCTCGGATTGCTGCCCGCGCCGAGCAGCGCCGATGCACCGCGGAAGAAGGGGCTGCCCGTGTTGCCTGCCTGCGCGCCAGCAGTATTGGCGCCAGGTCCGCCGCGCTTGGCGAAGGCACTGGCCGGCTCGCCAACGACGGAGATGGGCCGTCCGAACGCCGGTGTGCCGCCGCGCGAGCTGAGCTGGTTGCTTGAGGAGACGCTCAAGGCATTCGTGGAGGCGTGTCCTGGCAGAGGCGAGGCAGACAAACTAGTGTCGAGGCCGTAGAGCACCGCGTGTCGATGTGCCTCGTCACTGGCCCATCGCACGCCCACGAAGGCACCGCCAGCCAACGGCAATGCTTCGCCCGTGCGTCGCAGGGCGCGCAGCGCCATGAAGCTCTCCGTGTACTCGATGCGCAGCGCCGACTCCGCCTCCTGCTCCACGCCAACGACGGCGCCGAGCGTCTTGAAGTGCTCCGCGACGGCATGCACGTATGTGGCGGCGAAGCCATACACGACGATGGTGCGCTGCGACGCATCCTCGCGCACTGTGGCGGCGGGAATGGAGACGGGCGCTGTGGAGGCGGGTGCTGGCGCTGGTGGGGCAGCGGGCAGAATGCCAGCCGACGTGGAGGAGCGCAAGTTGGCGCTTGCTTGTGCGTACGCGGCGCTCTCGTCGGCAAGCACGTCCGTCGGCGGTGCATCGTCCTCCTCCTGCTGCGCGCCAAAGCCCCCGCCGCGCGGCGGACTGAAGCCCAGGCCCGAAGAGTTGCGCAGACTGCTCGAGACGCGCCGACGCACGGGGCCGACACTCTCGCGAGACGGAGTGCCCTGTCCGAGCGCTGCGGCGCCAGTTCTGCGACTGCCGCGCAGACCACTGGGCCCGAAGATGCTGCCTTCGCGCGTCGCGCCCGGCGCCAAGCTGCGCTCGGGCGACGAGGCACCGGCGGCGGGACTGCTGAAGAAGGAAGAGGAGAAACGCGCAGATGGCGAAGAGGCGCCATCGGCGCCACTGCTGCCTTCGTGCCGTGCTGCGGCGCTGCCGCGCGCTGGCGTGGATTCGAGGTGAGGCGGCGACTGCGGCTCGGCTCGTGTGGGCGACGAGTAGGGCTGCGAAGAGGAGGTGTCAGAAGCGCGCAACGAAGCTGAGTCAAGACCATTCGTCCCTCTTTCCACGACAGGAGATGCGGCGCACACCGATGGCAAGCTTGTGCGGTGTGCCAAGATGGCGCAAAGCTCTGCTGCGTGCGGCGCCCACCTTCGCGTCGAAGCCGGCACGAGGCACTCACCCGTCCACCGCGCAGCTTGGCCAGGTAACCCGGCAGGTACTGCATCTCCGGCGCCTGCACGCCCTGCTGCGGTGCCTGCTGTTGGCTAGGCTGCTGCTGCTGCTGTGCGCCATATGCGCCAAATGGCTGGTACTGCTGCTGCTGCTGCTGCTGGCCCGGCTGTTGCTGCTGCATGCCCTGCTGTTGCTGCGGCTGCTGGCCGAAGTGCGACGTCTGGCCGGGCTGCTGTTGCTGCTGCGGCTGCTGCGGCTGAGCGCCGTAGCTGCCCAGGCCCCATGATTGCGCGCCGAACGCTCCGCCCTGCTGCGGCTGCTGCTGCTGCGGCTGAGAAGCGCCCCACTGCTGCGTCGGTTGCGGCTGCTGCCCGCCGCCGCCGAAGAGGCCAGGCTGCTGCTGCGGCTGACCGAAGAGGCCCTGCTGCGGTTGCTGGCCTTGCTGCTGGCCTTGCTGCTGGCCTAGCTGCTGCTGCTGCGGCTGCGCAAAGCTGAAGGCGCTGCTGCCCGCCGGGCGGCTGAGGTGGTCGAGCGTGAGCGGGCCGGGCGTGGCGGGCGGCTGTTGCCCTTGCTGCTGCTGCTGCTGCTGCTGCTGCGCCTGCTGGCCGGCCTGCTGGCCGGCCTGCTGCTGCTGCGGCGCACCAAAGCCCGAGCTGGCGGCGGGCGTGCCGAAGGAGAACATGGTCGCAGCGGAGAGGTGGAGCGGAGGACGGCCAGAAGGACGGCGCCGGCGCCGCACCCTGAGATGCGAGCACACGCGCGCGCGCACGGCGCTGGCGAGGCGAGGCGCAAGGCTTTCATCATCTCGCATTACAAGAATGCGGCCGCGCGTTGTATTCGCACTTGAGTCGGCCGGGCACGCGCGTTGAGCACGTGACGCTGCGCCGCCAAGCCTCCCAGGCCTCCAAGGCCCGCCACAGCACAGGCACCGCTGGAGAGCGCACCCCCAGGCGGCTACACGGCGACGCGAGCATCTGCAGCCTGGGAGATGTACGGCAGCGTCTGGTGCACGGCCCGACGCGTGCTTGGAGCGAGGCCAGCCGCAGGCTGTGCCTGAGCGGCGCGAGCTCGCACGCGGAGGAAGCAGCCGCTGCCGCTCTCTCGTTCCGCGGCTGCAGCTAAGACGCCGAGCGGGCGCGGTACCCCGTCGGCCCGGCACCTCACGCCGCCGCGCCGCACAAAGGAGCACCGCTCTACCTTCTGCGCTCAATGAAGCCTGATCGCTGTGCCTCTGCAATGCGAGTTGCCAAGCGCTGTCTGGTGTGAGCACGACACAGGTAGCGCCAGGAGCGATGGCCAGGGCTGCCAGCTTGTGCACACGTCGCTGCCACAGCATGCCCGCTGCGTGGAGGCGCGGCGGCGGTGCAGATTTGCCGCGGCAGCACGTCCGAAATCTCGGCGCCGCTGCCGGGGCGACACGCCTGCGAACTGCCATGCTCGGCTCGGCCATTCGATTCTATTGCGCCCTGGTGCGGTGCTTGGCCGTGCAGCGTCGTGCAGCCACGCAGCGCTCAGGGGAGAACGAGGGGCCCTCGCGGTGACGCAGCGGTGCGCTTCTCTGCGCCGGTCGACGCGCGTGCGGCGGAGCTGCGGGCGCGGCAAGGAGCGTGGCTTGGCTGCACTGCGGCGTGTGGCAGCTGCGTCGAAGGCGGTGCGGCAGCGCAGGCTGAGTGTCCCTCCTTCGCCTGTCTCCTCACCACACCCACCCACTCACCCACAAGCTGCACCCTCTTCGCCGCCCCCGCCATGTCGCACCTTGCGCGCGACGAGGCTGACCCGGCGTCCATCCCGCTGGCGTCGCTGCGTGCGCCGCCGGCGCTGGGCATGCAGCGCAGCGAGTCGGGCGCCTCCTCCGTCGCCGGCGCCCCGCCGCCCGCACACTTCTCGCACCCGCACGGCTTCGACAGTGCCGCGTACTACGAGGGCTACGACGCCGGCAACGAGCCTGCGCCGCGCGAGCACGAGCACCACGCCCACGCCCGGGCCGGCGGCGCGGCGGCGCCCCAGACGTACGCCAGCACCAGCGCGGCGAGTGGAAGCCGCTCGGGCAGCGGCAAGAGCAAGGAGGGCCAGGCGTGGGGACAGTTTGATGCCACGCTGCGCGAGCGCAAGACGGCGGCTTTTGAGGGTGAGTCGGTGTGCGGGACGAAAGTGCGGCGCTTGTTGTGAGGAGGTGCGGCGTCCAGCATGGGCGGCGTGATATAGGGGCACGGCCGCCACGCCGCAGTGCCGCGGCGGTCGCCGCCTCATGCGCACCTCTCTTTGCCGGCCTGCCTGTCAAGAGCCGGCAAGGCTCGGCAGGGTGCGGTGTTGGTCTGCGGCTGCTTCCCTCCTGGCCTGCCTTGTTCGATGACAAGGGCGTGCTGAGAGTCGCGGCGTGCGCGGGCAGCCGCCGGCCTTGCCGCACCGCCTGCAAACGAGCAAGATGCGCTGCCAGCTGTGCTGACCTTGCCTTCGCCCTCACTCATCCTCCATCATGTCTCGTCCGCATCTCGTCTCGCGGCACTCTGACGACTCCGACTCTGACCATGACTTTGGCACTCCTCCGCACTCTTCCATCCCGCTGCACCTCCTGCACGGCGATCACACTCCGCCGTCGCGCTGGTCCTCCACCACGCCGGCGGATCTGACCGCGCGCTTCACCGACGATGACGACCGTGTCATCCCGTCCGACGCCTACGTCCACTCCGCCGGCCCCTCCTCGTCGCCCTTTGTCTTTCCCGCAGATGGCGCGCCGCACGTGTACGACGACGAGAAGCGCCCCGCCACGGGCGAGCACAGCCACGTGGCCTCCTCTGCCAACTCGAGCGACGACGAGACAGACGACTTCAACTGGGAGTCGTCCGACGACGATCCCGACGCCGAGGTAGACCGCGATGGCGTGCGGCGCATCCGTGCCAAGCGTGGCCGCCGCCTCTATCTGGCACTCATGAACCTGGCGCGCCCCGTGCGCATTCTCATCATCGGCCTCTTCGGCACGGCCATCGCCATGGTCCCGTTCATTGTGGTGCTCCTCGCGTTCCGCGACAACCCGGTGACGCCGCAGGTGCAGGTGTGGAGCATCTGGATCTCCATCATCTGGGCCGCGTCGTGCGGCACGTTTCTGGTGCTCAATCTCGTGCCGCACCTGCTCGAGCGCATCGCGATTGGCATCTGGGGCAAGGTGCCCGTGGCGTTTGGGGTGAGTCGAGTGTGCCTCTGCAGCACGCCGCAGTCCTGACATCGGCGGCAGAAATACGTCGAGGTCTTCAAGGCCACGCTCATCTGGTTCAAGCTCGTGCTGTGCATCGCGTGGGCGTGGATCTCGCTCGGCGGCGTCGTGGCGATCCAGTTCAACTCGACGACCAAGATCCGCCCCTCGTACTTCCGCTACATCTTCCTCACGATCCAGGCGCTCTTCGGCTCGTCGGTGATTCTGCTGGCAGAGAAGGTGCTGCTGCGGCTCATTGCGACCAACTTCCACCGCACGGCCGTGGCGGACCGGCTCGAGACGAACAAGAAGGCGCTCAAGGCGCTGGACAAGCTGCACGAGAGTGCCTACGTCAAGGGCAGCACGGGCGCGAGCCGCCGCATGACGCCCATGTGGGGCCGCCTCGGCTTCGGCCAGAGCCGTCCCGCCAGCCCCGGACCCAATACGCCTGGCGCTGGCCACGCAAGCAAGCCCAGCCGCGACGGCCTCGGCGGCTACTTTGCCCCCGCAGCCGGCGGCTCCGGGCCTGCCGCGACGGACGCGCCGCAGCCGCGCCACGGCCACCACCACCGCGCCAAGGAGAGCCAGGGCGGCAGTGGCGCCAAGACGCCCACGCTCGATGCTCACGGGCATCCGACCAAGTCGAAGCGCTTCGCCCACCAGCTCACCGATGCGCTGCACGCCGCGACGAACAAAGACGGCCGCCTGTACAAGGGCCGCACCGTCGGCTCGCAGCAGTCGGCCCGCCGGCTGGCGCGCAAGCTCTTCATCAACCTCGGCCACCACCGCGACACGCTCGTGGCCGACGACTTCCTGCCGTACTTCAAGACGGACGCCGAGGCGCGCGAGGCCTTTGGCTTCTTCGACGCCGACAAGAACGGCGACATCAGCAAGTCGGAGATGCGCGACGCCGTGCAGCGCATCTACCGCGAGCGGCGCGCGCTGGCGACGAGCCTGCGCGACATGGGCTCGGCCGTGAGCAAGCTCGACGGCGTGCTCCTCGGCCTCGTGCTCATCATCGTCGTCTTCATCTGGCTGCTCATCTTCAACCGCTCCTCGACGCTGGCCAACATTGTGCCGCTCTCGACGTTTGTCGTGGGTGAGTGCGCCGCGCCCGCTGCTGCCTGCTCATGCCTGTTGCTCACGCCGCGTGCTCCAGGCTTCTCCTTTGTGTTTGGCAACTCGGCCAAGACGATCTTTGAGAGCATGATCTTCATTTTCGCGACGCATCCGTACGACGTCGGAGACCTGGTGTGCATCGACGAGAACTGGATGTGAGTGGCCAGCGCCGATTGAGCAGCCTGGACTTGTCGCTCATCGCGCTACGCCAGGTTCGTCGAGTCCTTCGGCATGCTCTCCACCACCTTCCGCACCGTGACGAACCAGTACATCGTCGCGCCCAACAGCCTCCTCGCGAGCCAGAAGTACATCTTCAACTCGCGGCGCAGCGGTGCGTCTCTCTTGCTGCGCCAGGCTGCGTCGCATGCTGACCTCGCCTTCTCTCAGGCGCCACGTGGGAGGTCACGTACCTGCAGCTCAGCTTCGACACGCTCGTGCAGACCATCGACGAGCTGCGTGCGCGCCTGCGTGCCTTTGTCAAGGAGAACGACCGCGACTGGGGCGGCGGCCTGGACGTCAACTACGACCAGGTGTCGAAGATGAATTCCGTGAGTAGCCCACGCTGCCTGAGCCGCCTTGTCTCACCAGTGCTGATGCGTCTCGGCGCGCCACACAGGTCTCGCTCATCATTGCCATGGAGCACAAGGGCAACTGGCAGGACTGGGGCGCGCGCTGGGCGCGCCGGACAAAGCTGATGCGCCACATCAAGACGGTGTGCGACGAGCTGAGCATCGAGTACCAGCTGCCGCCGCAGCCCGTCACCTTCCACCCGCAGAGCGGCCGCGCGCCGTTCCAGGCGCCCGCCTCGGCGCGCGGCACCAACTTGGGCGCCGCTCGCGCCGCAGGCGGCATGTCCAGCGCTTCGGGAGCGACCGGTGGCGGCGGACCTGGTGGTGGCATGATGCCGGTTGGCCTCAGTGGCCGCCGCACCGGGGGCACCTCATAGTCGCCCGCCTCCCGCTTCTCTCTCTTCCCTCAGCCACGCCCGCCCATCATGACCACCACACATCTTCACGCCCTCCGTCCTTCTCTCACATCACGCACATACAAACATTAGAGCACTTGTCCTGACTTACTTCGGCAGTGCAGACGGCCGGCCCGTCAGCTTCCTGAAAGCGCGAGTGCCCCTCGCTGGAATCGATGTTGGCAATTCCACGCCGCGCCTGTCTGCGCATCCTTGTGCGGTCCTGAGCGAGGCGCACAAAAGGCGCTGCCCATGGACTTACACACGAGCCCGTCACTCCTACTCCATTCACCATGGCAACTCACAACGCCGAGCTTCACGCCGCGCTGCACGAGCTACTCACCGCTCGCTGGCCCAACGACACGCTCACCATCGAGCTGTTGGCGACGGCGCTCGCGTCCGAGGAGGCCCTGCGCCGCTCCTTCTGCAAGCTGCTTCAAGATGATGCGGACGCTGCAGAGTCTACCGCTCTGTCGGACGACGAGAGCGAGGGCACAGTGACGCCCTCAGACCAGCGTGCTCGCAAGCGCCGCACCTCGGACAATGCGAGCCTCCGCGCCATCATCGAGCGTGACCCACTGCTCCAAGTGCCAGCGCCCTATGTCGAGCTGGTGCGCGTGCTCGTCGCCTGTCGTGCAGCAGCGCACGAAGCAGGTCCAGCACTGGCCGGCACCGTCACCAGTGCCTTGCTCATCGTCCAGCCGATGAGCTTTGCGCGTAAGCGCGGCATGGTGCGCTACGTCCTCGGCGCTCAGCATGCCGGCGCCCCGGTGCGCTGGCATCAAGATGGATTCGAGGGCTGTCGTATCAGCCTGACTTGGACGCCGGAGCAGCTGAAGGCGCACCGAGACGTGAGTGTGCAGCATGACCGGGCCAAGGACCCTTGCTCATCGCCACCCCCTGGCAGGCGCAGGCAGCTGCGGCAAGCGCGGCAGCGGCGCTCGGGCGCTGAGCGTGAAGGGCCCGTGCCTTCCGGCTTCTTCGCCTCCTGCACCTGAGCAACGCTTCGCCGTGCCGCCGTGGAGTTGAGGGTGCTGCACACGCACACCATGCAGCACCCGAGATGCGGCGCAAATGAGATCTTTCGAAGAGCGCTGCTCCGAGATGCAGCAGATGCAGGCATGAGATCCCCCTCGGAGGGTGCCGCGAGACACCGAGCTGCGGCGGCGGCGAGGGCAGCGCTGTCGTGCGTGGGCAGCCCGTGAGGCACACGGCCTGTCTGAGCAGCCTCGGCGTACTGCGCGAGAGAGAGGGGCTGCGCTGCCGCCCCGCTGCCGCTGCGCTGTGGAGAGGAGCGTGTCGCTGCTGTCCTGCTGCGTGCAGCGGTGCAGCGCGCCTGCAGGGCACCCGCACCGCTCTCCAGGCCGGGCGCAAGGCCACTCTCGCGCTGCAAGTGCACGCCGCTGCGCCGCCAGTGCAGAGCCGGCGGCCGCTGAGCGGCCGCTGCTGGCCGGCGTGCGGCGCCGCGAGCTGCCTTGCTCCGCGGCGACGCGCTGCAGGGCTGCGCGGCCGCCGCACTTTGGCTCTCTCGCGTGCGGCGCTGCGCTGCGCTGCTGGCCTGCCGGCCCTTGCGCTGCTCGCGGCGTGGCTCGCGCGCCGCCCTCGACGCCGCCGCCTGCGCTGCCGCCGCGGAGAGCGCTCCTCGCCGTCAGCGCACGCCGCGGCTGCACCTGCTTGCCGACCCCCTTCCCCACTTCGTCCTCGCGGCCCGTCCTCGCACCCCGCCGCTCCGCACGCACCGTGCACGCACAGCAGGCGCCGCACTGCCTCCCACAGCACGGGCTGCTCCGCTCAGAGGCACCTCTGCCCGCTGCGCGGCGCGCCTGCCATCCGGCCCGCACACGCGCAGCCCCTCGCGGCCCCGGCGCTCTCGTGCGGCCTTGCCTCGGCGTCGCCTCGTCGCCTCGTTGCTGTGCCGCAGCAACTCCACCGGACTGGCCTCGCACCCTCTGCGCCTCCACACGGCGCTGCTCTGCGTGCACACCCGCGCGCAGCACACCCCTCTCTCTCCGCTCGCTCGCCTCATCGACTGAGCACCACCACAGCCTCGTCGCTCTCACCTCTCGGCGTCTCGTCCGCCCCTGCCGCAGCGTCGGTCGGCGCAGACATTCGCCGGAGCAGCTGTGCCTCTGCACCTGCGTGCTGCGCCCAGCACCATGTCGCCGGCCGTCAAGGAGACTGAGCCTCAGAGCAGCCTGCCGGGACGCGCTGCGGGGGCAGAGACACCTCAGGCCGGGCCCAGCGGCAGCAGCGGCTTCTCTACTGCCTCGCACACGCGCCCTGCAGGCATTGCACGAGCCGCCAGCAGCCAGGCAGCCATCCTTGCCGGCACGGCAGACCTGAGTCTGGGCGCCGCAGGCAGCGCAGCCATGTCGCAGACGCTCAGTGCCGGCGCCGAGCCGCTCTCTGCCGCCGGCGAGGACACGATTGCGCCGCTTGCGCGCTCCGAGCGCCGCATGGACGAGCGTATCATGTCGCGTGCCGTCGATCCTAGCCGATGGAACTGGGAGGCGGAGCGTGCGCGCATGGAGCAGTCTGCCGACAGCAGTGGTGGCGGCTCTGCATCTGGCCTGCCAGGGCCGCCGCGGCCACCGCCATCACGCCAGGCCAGCATGACGCCAGATGCATTTGGCAACTTTCCCGAGCCGACGGGCGCTGCTCGCAGAGCGGCCGCCTCCAGCTCGCAGCGGGCTGGTACATCTGCGCTCTCGAGCAGCCCGTCCGGTACTGCGACGGCCCCGCCGCCGACCCGACCGCAGCCGCCGCGGATCGACACGACGTCTCCGCCGCCGCCACGCTCGTCTGCGGCAGGCGCGAGCATGCAGCACATGGGCACGTCTTCGCCGCTCAGCAGCAGTGCTGACGTGCTGCCCGTGTCGAGCCCTGTGCCGTCCAGCTCGACGCAGGCCCCGCAGCAGCAGGCTGGGCGGCGCGAGAGCGCGTCCAAGGAGCGCAGCGGCAGTGGGCCGCTGGCCAAGAAGGACCAGAGCTGCGATGCGTGCAAGAAGCCCATGACGGGGCAGTTTGTGCGGGCGCTGGGTGTCGTCTACCATCTGGACTGCTTCAGGTGTCGGGTGAGTGACTGGCACGGCGCGAGAGGGTGTGCAGCGATGGGGCCTGACCGCGCGTTCGACGCTTGCAGGACTGCAACAAGGTCGTGGCTGCCAAGTTCTTCCCGGCCACCGACGACATGGGCCAGTCCTCTCCGGCCGGCAGCAGCAACAGCGGCTCGAACCACAATGCGCTCGAGCGCAAGACGAGCCCCACGACGGGCGCAAGCAAGCTCTTCCCGCTGTGCGAGACGGACTACTTCCGCCGCCTCGACCTCATCTGCGCAAATTGCAGCGGCGCACTCCGTGGCAGCTACATCACTGCCTTAGGTGAGTGCCACGCGCCCTCTGCCCTCTGACCGCACGCGCGCAGGGGCTGACGCTTCGTCCCGATCGCAGGCAAGAAGTTCCACGTGGAGCACTTCACCTGCTCCATCTGCCCCACCGTCTTTGGGCCGCAGGACTCGTACTATGAGCACGACGGGCGTGTCTTCTGCCACTTCCACTACTCGACGCGCTTCGCCATCCGCTGCACTGGCTGCCGCACCGCCATCCTGAAGCAGTTCGTCGAGATCAACCGGAACAACCAGGACGAGCACTGGCACCCTGAGTGCTACATGATTCACAAGGTGAGTGCGACTCGCCAGGCGGAGAAGCGCTCGCGCGCAGGAGTGCGGCGGCTGGTGGGCCTCGCGCCGCGCTTGCGACTCATGACCCTTGGCGCTGACGCTGCGCGGCACAGTTCTGGAACATCAAGCTCTGCCCTACCGGCTCCACGCCGAAGGACTCGGCCAGCATCGCAGCGGAGCCCACGATGCTGCCGGGCGTGCCTGAGCCCACCAACACGGGCGTGGCGCCGGCGACGTCTGCCCCTGCTTCGTCTGAGCCGACGACGGAGGCGCTCGAGACTGAGGCCAACGAGACGCCGTCAAGTCTCAAGCACAAGCAGCGCGTGATGGAGGAGCAGGTGTACCGCATCTGGACGGTGCTGAGCGCCTTCGAGGAGAGCTCGGCGGCGTGCATCAGCGACATGCTGCGGCACGTCAGCAGCGGACGCTACCTGGGCGGCGTGCGCATGGCCGAGCGCTTCATCCTGCACGTCGAGATTCTCTTCTCTGCGATCGACGACCTGGAGAAGGAGGCGCGCAAGGAGGGCGCAAAGGGCATCTCGCACATCCGCGAGGCGCGCATGCTGTGCAAGAAGATTGTCAACTTCTTCTCGCTGCTCTCGCACACGCAGGAGACGGGCGCACAGCGCATGGGCATCACGCAGGAGCTGCTCTCGCTCGTCACGGGCCTGGCGCACTACCTCAAGATCCTCATCCGCATTGCGCTCACTGGCGCGCTCAAGCTCGACCGCGAGTACGAGAACCGCGCCGCCATCTCATGGTTCCTCAACCAGCTGGCGTTCCTGGCGCGCGAGGGCAACAGCGGCTCGACGGAAAATGGCGCGTCGGACGACGGCAAGTCGCCCACGAGTGCGCCCTCTTCGGCCACCCATCACGACAACGGGCAGCACGGCTCGTCCGACTCGCGCACGTACGGCTACCGCAGCCTGCCGCGCAGCACCAGCCCGCTGGCGTCCGAGGGCGGCGAGAGCGCGACGGACCTCTGCGTCGCGTGCTCGCAGACGGTCGAGGAGGAGTGCGTGCGGATGGGCATCTACCTGCGCTGGCACTCCAGCTGCCTGCGGTGTACGACATGCCGGCGGCCCACGCAGCGCGACCCAAGCTCATCGCGGACCAAAGCGCCGGAGCCGGAGCCATCGCCAGATGTGCCGCCAGCGCTGCCTGCGTCGCAGTTCACGCTGGAGACCACGCGACGCGCGCCGACCGATGCCAACGGCAGCGCATCTGGAGCAGGGCGAGCAGGCGCCTTGGTGCGCAGCCCGTATTGCCCTGACTGCCAGACGCCGAACTCGCGGCCAGGCTTCGAGAGCGTCAGCCGGCTGGAGCAGTACGCGTTCCTGCTTCGCGTGGCGCTCAATCGCCTCTACGCACTGCTGAAGAAGCGCGGCGTCGTGCCGCCTTCGCCGCCGAGCTCGCAGCACGCCGACCTGCCGCCAGAGACGGCAGCCGAGCAGGCGGCAGACCTGTACAAGGACACTGACATCAAGCGCGTCACGTCTGTCAACCTGGATCGCAAGCTCTCGACCAAGGCGCGTGTGCCTCACATCTCAACTGTCGTCGGCAGCCCATCCGGTCAGCAGACGCAGGGTGGATCGATACAGCAGCGCGCTTCGCCTACCGAGATGGGCCAGCAAGATCCGCGGCGGTCGCCGCGACCTCCGCGCAGCCCATCACCCGGACAGTGGGAGACTGGCCGGCCAGCCGGTGCGCCGTCTCAGCAGCAGTCGTCGTACCAGAGCCAGCAGCAGCAGCAGCAGTGGCAGGCGAGCCAGAGCGGGCGGGCGTCGCCGAACAAGCAGGCCGGCAGTGCGTCGCGCGACGTGTCGCCCAACCGGCACGGCGCCAAGCCTGCGCCGCCGCAACACTACCCGCCGCCGATCCCGGCGCAGCAGCAACAGCAGCAGTCGCACCAGCAGCTCTCGCAGCAGCTGTCTCAGCAGCATGCACCAGGCTCGATCGTGCCAATACGGCCAGCCTTTGCGCGGCACAACACCGACGTGCGCATCCGCGACGACGGGCCGATGCGGCAGCCGTCGGGCGACGACATCACCGCCGCGTCGCTCGATGCCGTCACGCTTGCCGACATTCCGCAGCTGCTGGAGGCGGAGCAGGCGCGCGAGCAGCACCGCTCGCTGCCGTCCGAGGGCGGGCGCAGCCTGTCGGAGCTCTCGGCGCTGGAGCTCTTCATCGTCAAGCACATGGCCGTCATGATGATCCAGCAGAGCGCGCTGCGCGATCTCGTGAACCTCGACGACCTCGTCGACTTCATCGAGATGCGCAAGAACACGTTCTGGGGCAAGCTGTTCAAGGGCGGCAAGGACGACAAGAAGATCAAGAAGAAGGGTGAGCGCGAGCGGCGTCGGCATGCGAGTGGCACGCGAGACTGACGCTTCTGCCGCAGGCGTCTTTGGCATCCCGCTCGACGTGCTCGTCGAGCGCAACGGCGCAGACTCGACGCTGGGCGCGACTGCGACACAGCTGCGCGTGCCGTCGTTTGTGGACGACATCGTCTCGGCGATGCGCCAGATGGACATGTCGATCGAGGGCATCTTCCGCAAGAACGGCAACATCCGCCGCCTCGCCACGAGTGCCGAGGCGCTGGACCGCGACAGCTCGACGGTGAACCTGTCGGACGACAACCCCGTGCAGCTGGCCGCGCTGCTCAAGAAGTTCCTGCGCGAGCTGCCGGATCCGCTGCTCACCTTCAAGCTGCACCGCATGTTTGTCATGGCGCAGAGTGAGTCGCGCCAAAGCTGTCCCCAGTCCGAGCGCATGCTGATCCACTGCTGCAGAGATCGAGCCGGAGACGGAGCGGCGGCGCATCCTCCACCTCGTTACCGTGCTGCTGCCCAAGGCGCATCGCGACACGATGGAGGTGCTCTTCGTGTTCCTCAAGTGGGTCGCGTCCTTCTCGCACATCGACGAGGAGACGGGCAGCAAGATGGACCTGCAGAACCTGGCCACCGTGCTCGGGCCCAACATCCTCTACTCCAAGGGCACGGACCCGGCCAAGGACGAGACGTTCCTGGCGAACCGCGCCGTGCTGAACCTGCTCGAGCATCAGGACGACTTCTGGAAGGTGCCCATCGAGCTCGAGGCCGTGCTGCAGGACCGCGAGCTGCTCAGCGGCTCCGCCGAGCTCACGTCGCGCGACATCATCAAGCGCTGCGAGAAGCACGCCAAGCGTGCGCGCGCCGGCACGGGCCCGTCGATGCAGATGGGCCCGGGCAGCCAAGGTCGCGGCGCCATGCCCGGCGGCGGCCAGCAACAGCAGCGCTGGGTCGACGGCGCGAACCGGCACCAGCCAGACCTGCACGCGCCGGCGACGATGCGCCAGGTCGGCAGCGACCAGGCGATGAACTACTCGCGCTCGCAGGGCAACGCCGGCAGCGGCGCGCCGATGGGCCACATGGGCTCGAGCCACAGCTTCCCGCGCAGTCCCGTCAGCGAGGACCCGCGCGGCACGCCGTGGGGCTCCAACTTCAGCGGCGGGCAGCAGCCGCAGCACTACCATCAGCCGCAGCACCCGCAGCACGCTCCGCCGCCGCACCACCAGCAGCAGCCGCAGCACGGCTACGGCGCCTCGCCGTACGGCAGTCCGACGCAGCCGCCGCGTGACCAGCAGCCGCCGCAGCAGGGTGCGCCGTACAACTCGTCCTTTGGGCGTGTGCCCGGCGAGCAGACGCCGCAGCGCAGCGGCACGCCGCAGGGCCAGTTCTACACCTACGACAACGACCGGCCCACCTCGCGCTCGCAGCAGGCGCTCGAGCAGCGTTCCAGCTGAGCGCCTCTCACTAATTCCTCCCCACTCTCCCACTCTCCCTCTCTCTCCTCGGACCTGCCGTGCCTTCCTCTCACCTGTCTCGCCACACCCGGATCATCCACCGCCCTCCGCCGGCGTGCCTGCGTGCCCTCCCACTCTGCTCCAGCACCCCTCTCCTTCCCCACCCCGCCGTCACCGAGTGCCGCGTCTGCCTCTTCTTGCCACCTCGCAATCCATCTGCCGCGCGCGACTCTATTTCGCAGCTGTCTGTCGAGCATCGAGGTGCTGTGTGGCTGCGAGGCGACGGAGGAGGAGCGAGGCGGCGGGGCGTCTGTTCCCACGCTGCTCGGCACGTGCTCGGCGCGCGGCGCGTCACGGCATACACACGGCCGCGCCGCCGCCGTGCGGCCGCGCGGTGTTGGTCTGGCGGCATCTTGATGCTCGGCCGGCTCTCGCTCGCCGCCCAGCTCCTCACCTCCACCCACACCCCCACCTCCGCTCAGCATGGACTCCTTCGAGGCGCCGTCCGTGCTCAAGGCGCGCATCGCGCAGGGCATGGACGAGCTGACGGACCTCTCGTTCGAGGCCGAGCTCGGCCGCCGCGCGCCCGACCAGACCGACGACGCCGACTTCTCCCTCGGCAGCGAGCCGAGCCAGTACTACGACCAGCAGGACGTCAGCCGCACGCCGGGCCGCACCGCCGCGCCATCTGCAGCGTCGTCCACCAAGACGGCGTCGGGCCCCACGCTGCAGGACGCGCTGGCCGCCGCCTCGCGCCCGCAGGCCGCCAGCTCGCTCACCACGGCCATGGAGCAGGTGCCGGCCGAGGCCGACGAGTCGCTGGACTTCACAGCCGAGCACCGGCCAGAGCTCTCAGCTGCGTCCGTGAGCCTCGAGCCTTCGCGCTTTGCCAGCGAGGCGCCGCGCTCCCCCGCCGTGTCGCCGCCCGTCGCGCCGCAGCAAGACGTGCACACGCCGGCCGCCTCGCTCTCCCTCTCCGCGTCAGGCTCAATGGTGACGCCAGAGAAGGACGTGCCGCGCTCGCCGCCGCTCACCTCTACGCCATATGCGCCCTCGCTCGCTGCGCGCACCCTCTCCTTCGCACCCTCGCATGCCTCTGTGACTGCGCCGCGCTACTCTGTCGGCAGCTCGCGGGCGCGCCAGTCCGGCGTCAGCTCGGCGGGCGCGAGCTCGGCAGCCTGGCGCTCCGCGCGCGACACGCCGGCACGCCTCGAGCCAGATGCAGAGGCAAGCTACGGCGCCAGTGTGCTCCCGCCCGCTCCTGCAGCGGAGCGCCTAGGCGACGAGAGCAGCGCGACGTCTGCCAATGGCGCCAGCGGCGGGGAGGAGGAGGACGAGAGTGAGCAGAGCCGAGCGACGGGCACGATGCACACGAGCGACATCGTGTCGACGTTCGACGTGCGCAACGCTCGCATGTCCAGCGCCGACGACAATGCGCGACCGAGCAGTGCGCTCAGCTCGCGAAGCGCCAGAAGCGCGAACAGCGAGCGGTCACGAAGCGTTCGTCAGCCTGCACGGCAAGGGAGCGTCGCGAGTGCGCGCAGCACTCAGGCAGTGGAAGATGCGCCCGCAGCTGCAGCGTCAACCTCTGGCAGCGTCAAGCGAGCTTCTGCTCATGCATCCTCCGCTGGCGCGCGTGAGGCAGGCGAGCCCTCGGCGTTGGCAAATGAGACCAGCCTGGGCCCTTCGGACGAGACACAGGGCTCAAGCCCAGCGGCCGGTAGACTTGCTCGTCAGCGACAGCGGCAAGAACGCGCGCAGTCCGAGCAAGCTTCGCACGCGAACGGCTCGCCGGCCCCTTCTCCGCCACAAGGTGCCTTCACTCCGAAGGCAGCCCATCGTGACACGGAGCGCATGAAGTCGTACCTCCTCAACACAGTTCGGCGCTCGCCAATCAGGCTCGGTCTGCGCCAGGATGCACCGCGAGGGGCAGCTTCTGCCTCTGCTTCGCCCAATGCGGGCAGCAGCAGCTCGCCAAACACGCCCTTTGCGCCAGAGACGAGAGCCACACGCCTCGGCAAGGCCAACATCTTCGCAGCAGGGCGCACACCGTTGCCGCGCGCCTCGCCGCTTGGCCAGGCCACACCGACGGACAACAGCGACTCGCGCTCAGAAGTGTCCTCGACTCACGACCTGACGGGCATCGCTCGTGGCATGCGGCCCAACACGTCGTTCCCGGGCATTGGTGTCGGCACAGGTGCCGTGCCCGCCGCCTCCGGTCGCGTCGAGGGCGCCATGCTCAACCACTACCTGCACAAGGTCAACACCGGCCTCGAGCAGGAGAACGTCATCCTCAAGGAGCAGCGTGAGACGCTCGAGCGCCGCTACAATGCTGCGCTGCGCGAGCTAGAGAAGATGAAGGAGGCGGGACCAGCACCTGCTAGTGATGCGAAAGAGTCCGGAGCGGCGCTCGAGGAGGCGTACGAGCGCATCCAGGAGCTCGAGGACGGCCACAACGAGCTCAACGACCTCATCGACACCGCTGAGGAGAGAGAGGCAGAGCTTCTGGCGGAGCTCAAGCGCTATCGCGATGCCGGCGTCGAGCTCCCGACCGCTGACGGTGCTGCTGCGACGGCCACTGTCACGCACACAGGCGCATCATCCGAGCAGCAGGCTCGTGTCGAGAACCTCGAGGACGAGCTTGCGGACCGTGCCGCGCAGCTGCAAGATGCCGAAGCCGAGATTCAGGAGCTGCGTGAGAGCCTCGACCGGGCCGCGCAGTCAGCGTCGGAGCGGGACGCCAAGCTCGAGGCGCTTGCTGCCGAGCAGAAGGCCGCGCAAGAGCTCGCCGATCGCGCCGAGGACCGCGCCGATGAGCTCGAGACGCAGCTGAAGCGCAGCCGAGAAGAGCGAGCTGCGCTGGTCCGCGCTGCCCGGGACGGCGGCTCGCGCGAAGAGCACGAGGAGCTCGCCCGCGCCCAGGACCAGTACGCCAACGCTCAGAAGGAGGCCGACGAGCTCCGCGACCATGTCGAGCAACTCGAGAAGGAGCTCGAGGAGCTGCGAGCAGTCGTCGACGATGCCGAGCGTGACCGTGCCGATGCCGCAAAGCTTCGGGAACGATGCGCCGAGCTGGAGGAGCAGGACGCCCGCTGGGCCGATCAGCAGACGCAGCTCGAGCTCAACCTCGAAGACGCGCAGAACGACCTGCAAGACTCTGAGCAGGAGCGGCAGGCTCTCGCAGACGAGCTGGAGGAGGCAAAGCGTACTCACGCCAGCGAGATCAAGGACTGGGTGCGTACAGGCGTGTGCATGCTCTGCCATGCCTTAGCTGACCGTGTGGCGCAACTGCAGGAGATCGCCGTCGAGGAGAAGGAGAGCGAAGTGCTCAAGCTCCGCTCTCAGCTTTCGCGCGTCCAGCAGTCGCCCGTCGGTGTCCGCCGACCCGACCCGCGGGACAGCGCGGCGTCGATTGCCCAAGAGCAGGCACTGGCTCGCGCGCAAGAAGAAGTCGCCGCGCTGAAGGCTCGCCTGGCCGAGCACGGCTCAGCAGCGTCCGACGCTCTCGATGCGCAGCTCGACCTCAAGGACGAGGAGATCGCCCAGCTGCGCCGTGCCAAGAACGATCTCGAGGAGCGCCTCGATGCTCTCAAGGAGCAGCAGCAGGTGCTTAGCTTCTTCTCAGCCGGAGTACAAGCGACGCCGGGCAAGGGCACGCCGATGCATCGCAACATCATGTCGCTGCGCACGCCGCTTCGCACGCCAGGCTCGCCTCCCAACCTTGCCCCTGGTGTGAGTCGCGAGCTGCTATTGCGCCAGTCAGATCGCTCACACGCATCTCTCGTGCAGCTCTCGTACGCCGACTCGACGCTGCACGACCAGCCGGTCATGGAGCGCCTGCAGCAGCTGCAAGAACTGCTGGACGCTGCCAACAACAGCATCGACGAGCAGCTCCACAAGCTCGACTCGCAGGACCTCAGTCGCCTCACACTTGCCCGGCATCTTGCGGACGCGCGCAAGCGCATCGCCGAGGTCGAAGCCGAGCTGGCCGCACTGCGCCTCCGCAGCGTGGACCGTGAGGTGCTCAGCAGCCGGCTGGAGCGGGTACGCTGCCCGGGCTGCAAGACGAAGGTCAATGCCGCCAAGCATCTGCGCGAGTCGGTCGGCCACAGCAGCAGCATGCGCCAGTCTGTAGGCGACGTCACGTCTCAAAGCCAAGCTTCGCGCACGCGCGAGCTGTCGATGAGCGTGCACGCCCACTTCGCCGAGCTGAAGAAGCAGTGGGCGCTCGACCTGGAGCGCATCAAGCGCGAGCGCCAGAAGGAGACGGAGGAGGTCGCCTCGGAGCGGCGCCGCTGGAATGGCGAGCGGGGCGCACTCGAGCAGGAGAACCGCGCGCTGCGCGATGCTGCCTCGAAGGCCAATGAGAAGGTCGAGGCTGGCTACCAGCACCGCCGCCTTGCCGCCAAGCGCATGTTCGAGGGCACCGAGCAGGTGTGTAGACTCTTTCGTCGTCGCAGATGCAGCACATCTGACCCATGCACCCGTCTGCAGGTACTCGAGAAGTCCCGGCAAGCCGTGCACGCGCTGGACGACGAATTGCGGGAGGACCGCGAGCGCATCTCTGCGCTCCAGTCGCGCACGCACGACTCGCACAGCGCGGGCGCCATCGCCGAGGAGCAGCTGCAGCGCCTCGAGATCAAGCTGCGCACCGTCGAGACTGAGCTGGCGCGCAAGGCGTCTGCCCACGAGCGGCTGCGCGGCGAGCTGTCCCGGCGTTCCGTCAGCGGCATGGAGCTGCCGATGCAGCTGCACGAGCTGGATGCCGAGGTCCGGCATGCAGTCGTCGAGCTCGAACAGCTGCGCACCGAGCGTGCCGCGGTCATCGCTGAGCGCAGCAAGCTGCACTCGCGTGTGCGCGAGGCCAACGACGTGAGTGCAGCGGAGTGTGCCTCCGAGTGTGTCATTTGCTGACTCCGTTTCCCAGCGGTACGAGGCGGTCCGCGCTGAGCTGGACTCGGCGCGTCAGGCGATGCAGGCGCACCAGCAGCAAGTCGACGAGCAGGTCGGCATCATCGAGAATCTGCACCGCCAGCTGCAGTCCGAGAGCTCGAAGGTCGCCGGCGCCGAGGCACAGCGCACCCGTCTCGAGGCCGAGCGCCGGGAGGTGCTGTCCGACGTCGGCGTGCTTGAGGCCGACATGCGTCGCGTGCGCGACCAGGCCGAGAGCTTTGGCAAGGATCTCGCCCAGCTGCGCCACGACAAGGAGCAGGAGCGCCTGCGCTCGGCAGACCAGGCGCAGAGCGCACACTCGGCCAAGCAGGAGATCGCGGCGCTGCAGAACGAGCTGCAGCTGATGCAGCGGCGCTTTGCGCAGAAGCAGGCGCAGGCGTGAGTGCAGTGATACGAACGCCCTGAGAGCGCATGCTGACACCTGATCCTCTCGCGCAGCGACATCGAGATGCAGGCTCAGCACGCGGCCGAGTGCAAGGGCCTCATGCTGCACATTCGCTACCTCAAGGCCAAGCACCTGCGCGAGGCCGACCTGCGCGCCGACCTGGCGCACCAGAAGGGCTACCTCGAGCAGCTCGTCGGCGGCCTCGAGCTGAACCAGGCGGCTACTCGACGCTTCATTGCCGACCTGACGCTCTCGCGTGGCGCTGCGGCTCCACACAAGGCCACCGCCGCCACGCCGCTGCAGCGCTTCCGCCACGCAGCACTTGCCGTCTCTGCCGTCTGCCGCATGAGGTGCGTGGCGCTCGTGTGGAGAGCCAAGTCCCGATGTGTGGCGTTGCTGACGATCGAATCTCTTGCTCTCTCTCTGCAGCCTCATGGCGCAACGCTGGCAGCAGACGTGCAGCGTCAAAGCCACGCTGCGCGACGCCCACCTCGCTGCGCGTGCGCGCCACAGCGAGCGGCCTCTCCCCGCCGGCAAGGCCGCGTAGCTCCTCCTCTCTTTCTAGTTCTGAGTGTGCTCGTCCGATCCTCTTGTTTGTACTCTAGACATACCGCACGTCCTGCTTTATCTGACTGCCATCGCATCTGTTCACGGGCTCGAGTGCGGAATCGCATTGCGCGCGGCGTGCGCCACGGCGGAGCGGACCTGGCGGAGCGTGGTGTGCCTGGCCGAAGCGCTGGTCGCTCCGCACCCGGAGCCGAGAGAGGCTCCATGGTTGGTGCTCCGCCCTGGCTCCTGTGTGTCCGCGGCGTGCGCTTCACGGCCACGGCGGAGTGCGGGAGGGTGCAGCAGAGAGATGCGACGGCTGCAGGCGGAGTGGGCGGACGATGCGCAGACACATTCATGCTCCAGGCACACGCAGCAAGCAGCGCTTCGGCTGCGAGGTGCGCATCTTGCCATGCAGGCGGTGCTGCACGCTGAATGCTGCCGCCTGCGCGCTGGATGCTGAATGCGCTGTGCCGAGCCACACGGCAACGAATGGCGCCACAAGGCGTTTGCTGTGGCGGCGAGAGATCAGATGGAGCTGGCGCGAGGGATGGGCGAGCCAGGCGCAGAGGCCGCGCAGAGGCCGCGCACCGCTGCGCGGCCGGCAAAACCCTGCCCCCAGCAGCGCCGTCCGCGCACAAGGCCGAATTTGACAACGCAGCCGCAGAGTCGCGCTCGCTCGGCGCCTCGGCCAGCCCCTCTGCGCTGCCTTCTGCCGCCTTCTGCCGCTGAGTGACTGTCGGCTCAGGCACCGGAACGGCACGCCAGAGCGCGCAAAGCATGGCGGCGGCTTGATGGGGGTGCCTGGCCCGCAGCCGCAAGCGGCAGGCACGGCGCCATGGCGCGCGTCTGGTGCTTAGAGCCTCATCATGGCGCGCGCCGCGGGGCATGCGGCACACGCGAGTGCCCCTGAGCGAAGTGCGCGCGAGCTTCCGAGAAGTGCAGCGATCGTCGCCTCTTGTCTGCGATGGAGCATTCGGAATGAAGGCGAGCGATGCCGATGGCACAGCAGCCGTGCAGGTCCAGCTGTGTGTGTGTATGTAGCAGCTGTGAGAGGCAGGTCGCGATGGTCTGCTCGGCATGTCGCCGCCGCACGCCGGGAGGGGCAGAAGCGCAGGCGGCGACGCGCTCTCACACTCGCCGGCGCGCCGATACGCGGCACCGACCCTGCGGCACGCACGCTGCACCGTCCCTGCCTCGCCAGACCCGCCGTCGAGGCCCAGGGCCGCCTTAATGCTTGATTGATGAAACGAAGCCGCAGCAGGCCGACGGCGGCCGGCCCGGCGTGCCTCGCTCGACGGGCAGGCGATGAGCCCTCGCGACGCTCCCATCAGCCTCGCCGACTCGCCGCCGGGCGCCGATGGCACGCAAAGTGCTCCAGAAGCAGGTGCAGCACCAGAGGCAGCTGCAGAGAGCGCCTTCCTTCGGCGGCTGCCCGTGCCGCCGTGCTGGCCGCATCTCGCCCCGCCCGTGCGCCGAGAGTGCGCCTTGCCTGATCCAGAGATTGCTGCGCTGCCCTCTTCGGCGCGCACTGGCGGCTGTGTGTTGTCGTCGCTCGTCGTCACGGCCTCCAGCATCCGCCTTCCCGCCGCTCCTGACCTCCGTCTCTCACCACCACCCCTCTCGGCCTCTCCTCCTCCTGCCAAGGCGCGCCTCCGCTCGCCGGCTCGCTCTGGTTGCTCTGCGCTCCTTCTCATCGTGCCTGCTCCGCGCGTCACTCGACTCGACGGTCGGCGCTAACGCAGGCGCCCCGCGCACGGCCTGCTGCTGCTGTCGCTCGCCAGCAGCACGCCGCAGTGCCGCCTCTCAGTCTGCCGCTGCCGCCGCTGCCGCTGCTGCCGCTTCCGCACGCCGTCGGCGCTCGCGCCGCACACACGCACGCCTGCTCCGCGTGCAGCATCAGCTGGTGCCTTGCGTGGCCGCATGGCACCTGCTGCACGCCTTGCTGCGCCCAGCCCTGCGCGGCAACACGCACTGCCGCCGCCGCCGCATCCGCTGCGCGCCGCCCCGCTGCCGCAGTGCCCGGCCTGCGCCCGTGCAGCTCCCGAGGCACATCCTCGGCCCCGAACGCTTCTGAGTTGACTCGGGCCGCCCCGAAAGCCAGCTGTCTGTGCTCGGCACGGCGCGGAGCACGGGCACAGGCACGAGCAGCTGCAGCTCCAGCACCAGCCGCAGGCCACTTCCACGCCGCCCAGCAGCAGCATCCAGCTGCGCCCCTTGTTGGCCGACGGCGTGCCACGTCGAGGGCGCCGCCCTATCTCTCCCGCATCCCATCATCCCCTCTCTCTCCACCGGCGAGCCTGTGCGCTCCCCTGCACCCGCAGCTGGCTCTGTCTGCAGCAGCACCGCGGAACGCCAGGCAGCGCCTGCTCGCCTCTCTCTCTCGCAGCGGCTGTGCCCTTGCCAGATCCGTGCGCCTTGGTAGCCGGCCGCTGCCTGCGCCCTCGCGCCCGCAACCTTGCGCAGCGCACAGTCGCCGGCACTCGCAGTCCATCCACCTCGCGTCTCGCTAGCACACCTCTCGCATTGTCCCTCTAATGGCGCAGTCCGCTGGCTACCCGTCGTCCTCGGCGTTCGCGCACGACGAGAACGGAGCTGCGCGCAACGGCGCGGGCCGAGGCAGCGCGGCCGTCAGTGCCAGCAGCTCGGCACACACGCTCTCGGGTGCGGCCGACGTGGGCCAGCAGCCGTCGCACCGCACGCACCAGCAGCACTACGAGCAGCAGGCGCAGCAGCAGTACCAGCAGCAGCCGCCGGCCGCGGCCCGCGATCACCGCGATGTGCTGGCGCCCAGCTACGAGCCCTCGTCGCCGGGCGGCGAGGGCAACCTGCGTGTCAACGACTACGCGGCGTCGCAGCATCAGCAACAGGCACGGCCTCGCGGTCCGGTAGTGCCGTCGCAGACGATGCCGCCGACCGGTCTGCGAACGCGTACCTACGGTCTGGCCAAGGATCTGCGGGGCCCTTCGCCGGACTCGGCGCACCTGCCGTACATCCACGGCGGCGCCAATGCGCAGGGCGGCAGCGCACACGGCTCGTCCAAGGATGCGCCGGCGCCGACGCAGCAGTCGTTCAGCGTCGAGGTGCAGGCGCCGAGCTTCGACATGCGCGGCTACCCGATCTTCCAGGGGCGCGGCGCGGCCATCCGGGGCATGCTGCGTATGCCGGCGAGCGAGAGCTGCGATGTGGTCATGCGGGTGAGTGCTTCGCTTTGGACAGGCAGCGGCATGGGTGCCAGACGCGACCCGGCTCTCGAGCCGTGCGAGATGGTGTTCGCTGCGACGGCGTGGCTGCCGTCGGCTCGGTCAAGTGCTGCACATCTTGCTCGGCTAGCTAGCGCTGACACACCATGCCTGCAGCTCTGGGCATACACGTCGCAAGGCTCTCCTGCTGCAGTGTGGGACGGTATCGCGCTCATGCCGCCGGATCAAGGCAGCGAGCGTAAGGTGTTCGAGGTGACGGACCGTTTGTCCGCTGAGCGCGGCACGATGAAGGCGCGGCCGGCGGCGCCGGGCGACGAGCCCTCGGCGAACTTCCCGGCGTCCGACGAGCTCATTCTGAGCATTCCCTTCGACGTGCGTATGCCGCTCGGCGCCGCGACGCGCTTCGTCAATGGCGAGATGCAGAGCCTGGCCGTTGCGCTGCCGCCGAGCTACGAGATGAGCAGCGAGGCAGACTCAAAGGAGCGCGAGGCGGTGCGCGGCATCAAGGACACATACCTCAAGAGCTCGTCTGCCACGGTGCGCACCAAGATGACGATGAGTAGCACCACCGTGGCGAGCAGTCTGCGCGAGGCAATCGAGCGCGGCTTTGGCGAGGTGTACCGCATCGGCTGCTTCTACTCGATGAGCTTCACGCTGCAGCGCAAGGCGCCGGAAAAGGAGAAGAAGTCGCGCTTCGGCAAGAGCAAGAAGGCTGACCCGACGCCCAAGGGGGTGCTTGACTCGTGAGTGCAGGAACTGAAAGTGCTCGCGTAGCGTCCACTCTGACGTGGCTTGTGTGCCGTGCAGCATCACGGTGCCCTTCATCTTCCTCGGCGAGCCATCGCCCATTCCGCCGGCGCCGTCGATGCTGCCGGAGCTGCACCCAGACATCCTCTTCCGCGCAAACCAGCGCCTGTCGGATGGCTGGACGTTTGCCCAGACCTCCGCCAAGTGGAGCGGACAGCTGCTCACCTCGCTCAAGCGCGGTGTGGAGCTCGAAGTGAGCATCCGCATGAGCCTCGCCCGGTTCTCCTGCTGACGCAGCCTCGCAGCTCCACACACCCGGCGTGCCCGACGCCCCGCCCTGCATCCACTCGCCGGGCGCCTTCCCGATTCTCTTAATTATTCGCCCGACTGATCCAAACCTACTTCCTGCCGCCCGAGCGCAGCCCGACTCGCCAGCCATGAGCACGAGCGCCTCGTGGAGCTCTAATTTCGGCTCGCCGCAGGCGTCCACAACGCACAGCCCCAAGACATCTGTCGCGTCGATCCGTGGCGCAAGCTCGCCAATGTCCGCCCACGAGCAGCTTCCAGGCGGGGCACTCGACGAGGCAGGCTATGCGCAGAACGGCGAAGGCGACGACGACGGGCCGGGCGGCATCGTGGCGCGCATGCGTTCCTCGCTGCACCTGTCGCGCATGTCCACGGCGCTTGCTGGCTCGGCTAGCACCGCCACTATCGCCACGCACCAGTCCGGCGCGACTGGCGACAGCGGCGGCTCCGGCGGCACTCAGCGCAGCATCGTCCACAAGCGCTCGCGCCCCAGCCTGGCCAGCACGTTCGGGCGGCGGCGTCCCAAGACTGCGCCGCCGAGCTCACACGGCTCCACGTCGCCGCCCGGCTCTGTGGCAGGCACCGTTGTGCCAGAGCGCGGCGATGGCCTCGACTTGACGCGACTGGTGCGCATCTCGCTCCTGCAGACAACCTACTGCACCTCGACCGGCCCGTCGGACATGCCGCGCGTGCGTCGCCGCGTGATCTCGCTCGCCGAGCTGGAGGAGCTGGACATTGCCTCGATCGTCGGGCCTCCGACAAGCCCGTCGCTGGGCGGTCAAGAGTCCACGAGCTCTGCGGCCTCACGCGCCGTGCTCGAGCACGCACAGGGCTCCGGCGTGCGCCTGCTGCGCGGCATGGTCCGCGTCGGCAGAGACCTGACGCCGGGCTTCCGCTGCCAAGGCATCGAGGTCAAGTATGCCCTCAAGGTCGACCTGCTGCCCTTCTCGCCGCGCCAAGCCAGACGGCGGCCAGCGAGCGGCGGCGGCGCCAACCGTGGCGGGCCGTCGATCTCCGAGGCGCTGCGCAGCATCAACGAGGACTCGCGCAGCGGCTCGCACCGTGCGTCTGGCTATGCCGAGTCGGCCGCCGGCTTCAGCACGTCGGGCAGCGGCAACTTCGGCGAGCCGCCGCGCACGCCGCCGATGCCGTCGCCGAGCTATCGCGGCAGCGTCGTCAACGCCGGCTCGCCGGGCGCACCGAGCTATCGCGGCGGCTCGCCAGGCACGGCGCTCGGCAGCCCAGTGATGGGCAGCGATGCACGCTCATTTGCCGGCGGCGCAGGCCCGATGAGTGTCGTAGGCGGCACGGTGTACGATGAGGACGGCAGCGTGGCGGGCAAGATCGACAAGACGGTCGGCTCGCTCTGGGTCGATGTGCGCCTGCTGCGCTCGAGCATGGGCTAGCCACTGGCGCTCTCGAGCGAGCTACGGCATGCGCTGCGCTGCAGAGACGAGCGCGACCTTTCAGCTTACTGACCTCGGCGAGGGCCTCCCATTCTAGGCGCGGGCCACCCCTAACCTGCTGATGAAGCATGCTCCGCTGCACGTAATTCATAAGGCTACCCCGCTAGTGCTAGCCGTGTCTGGTGTGCTCGAGTTGTGCGTCTCCGAGCCGCAATGGAGGGGCAAGGCCGTCTGGCGGCACTCACTCCTTGAAGCCGCTGCTCTGCGTGCGGCGCGCCGGCGCTGCGACAAGTCCGCTCTTCGTAGCCATCCAGGCATCCCTCGTCTCTCTCACACATCATCGCGGTGCCAGACAGCGCCAGGAGAAGAGCAGCTGGCAGGCCGTCGCGAGCTCAAGGCCCGTGGAGCCATGCACCATGGCGGTCTGGCTTCTCGTCGAGCGGCAGAGTACCTCGAGGGGCGTCGCCGCGCCGGGATGAAGGCACCCTATTGCGGCAGCCTCCTGCCGCCCGGAGCGCCACCTCCTTCCAAGAGCGCCACCTCCTCGCCTCGGAGCCCGGCTCCGAAGGGCTCATGTTGGTCGACCGCACCTCCTCTCGCCGGCACCGATCGCGGCCCGAAGGCTGCGAGTTGGCCGCCGGCAGCTTGGTCCCACTAGTGTGCCTGGCACGTGTCTGCTCCCCCTCTCGTCCGGCTTTCTCTTCAGCCTTCGGATAGGCGTTCAAGCACGAGGCCCGAGGGCACGGACTCGACCTCTTGCCAAGGCCGCTTTGATTTTCAGCCGCCGCACGTCGATCACGCCGGGTGCCGAGGAGGCCGCCGCGAGCCGCTGCTGCCAGAACGCCGGGAAGCGGCAGCGCTGATGCCCGATGACGCGCTGCAAGGCTGCAACACCGAGCGCGTGCCCTCCCTATCCACGGGTCTCACTTCGCCCCGGACCGCTCCCTGAGTGCCGCTGCGTCCGTGCTCTCCCTCTGCCTCTGAAGAGCCAGGTGCGATGGTACTAGCGTGCCCAGGCCGGTATAAGAGTCTGCCTTGCCAGGTCGCGGCCGCCTGACGTCCCACCTCCACCTCCTCCCTTCCGCGTGTGTGCCCGCAACGATGCGCTTCCTCTCCCTGCTCCTCCTCTCGCTGCCTTTCACGCTGGCCACGCCTCTTCCAGCGGCGTTCGACCTCGAGGGCCACCGTGGAGGGCGCGGCGAGAACAGCGAGGAGACGCTCTTCTCCTACGCCCGCGCTCTGCTTGCCGGCGTGACTACGCTCGAGCTGGACGTTGGCATTACGAGCGATGGCGTGCCGGTGGTGTGGCACGACGAGATGATCATGAAGGAGAAGTGCATCGGCGAGGGAGTGGGCGAGTACATCAAGGAGCTGAGCTTCGAGCAGGTGCGTTGCATGTCTCTTGCTCCGTTTTGCTGGCGCCTCATCGTCTCTTTGCAGGTCAAGGCGCTCGACTGCGGCTCGCTGCGCCAGACTGCGTTCCCGAGGCAGCAGATCCACCCGGGCGCGCGCATCCAGTCGCTGCAGCAGTTCTTTGACTTTGTCAAGTGCGCCGACGATGGAGAGAAGGTGCACTTCAACATCGAGAGCAAGCTGAGCCCGCCCACGCCTAACACGGTGAGTTCGAATTGGGATGAGCGAGGAGGAGAAACAGCGAGCGAGCGAGAGGGTGCAGCGCTTGCCTGTTGGAGCAGATCTGTGGAGACATGCCCAGCATTGCGAGGCCTCGGAGCCTTTACCCCTTCTACTCCCTCGTGTACTCACGCCTCTCTCTCTCTCCAGACCGTGGGCCCCCAGCAATTCGTCGACACCCTGCTCTCCTCGTACCGCTCCAACAACGTTCTCTCGCGCGTCACGTTCCAGTCCTTCGACTGGCGCACCATCATTCGCGCCAAGGAGCAAGAGCCCTCCATCGTCACCGTCGCTCTGATCGACGCTTCCGATCTGCGTCCTATCTGGACGGCAGGCATTGATATTGAGGCGCAGGAAGGGCCGGATCTGGCACAGAAGGTGGCGCAGGCTGCGAAGAAGGCCAACGCGGACATCCTCAGCCCGAGCCATGGAGTGGGAGAGGTCGAGGTGGAGGGTTATGTGCCGTTCGCGAACAAGACGATGGTGGATGAGGCACACAAGCTGGGCATGAAGGTCGTGCCGTACACCCCGAACTCGCTGTTCACTGGTGAGTGCTCTGCCCCTCGAGTGCGCACGGGATGCTGACTGCATGCGCCTCCAGCTGAGAAGCTGCTGGCTGATGGCGTCGACGGTCTGATCACCGACTATCCCACATCGTGCGTGCCCTCCTCCCTTGTCCCTTTCCCTTTACCCGCCCTTGCTCCTACTCACTCACTCCTTGCTTGCTCGCTCTCGCACACAGTTTCTCCGAGTGGGCACGCGCCAAGAACTTCCGTCTGCCTGCGCCGGGAGAGGCGAAGCGTATCTCGCGCTGTGTTGCAAAGGCACAGCAGGCCGAGAAGAGCGCTGCGGGCAAGGGCAAGGGCGGCAAGGACGGCAAGAGCCACTAGCGCACCCGCCGCACGGCGCTTGCGCTCAGGATATAGATTCGCTCGTTCTTCTCTCTCCGATTGACCTCGGGGCTTCTCTTGCTCCGCTTTGTTACCCCACACGCTCCTCGTTCGCCGAGTCGATGCACGCCTCTTGCAACGATGCTTCATCGCTCTTCATTCTGAGCTCCTGCATCCGACCGAACGGAGCGCGCAGAGGAGCGCTTCAGCGGCAGCGTCTCGGCATGTGCGCAGCTGCTGCGAGTATGAGCGCCACGCGAGAGCGTGTTCCCGTCTGAAGCAAGCGTCAGACGGCGAGCCGGAGAGGCGAACATTTCTAGATGACATTTGCGGCGCAGAACAAAAGAGCGTCGTGGCGGGAAAAGAGCGTGGGCGAGAGGAGAGAGAGACACGGCGAAGGTGATGGGAAGCAGGGCTCGAGATCATGTGTGCGTTCTGCGTCCTTCACTTCTTCGTGTCCTTGTCCTTGCGGTCCTTCCAGTGCTCGAGCCCCTTCTCCAGCATCGCGCCCGTGACTGTTGCCAGGCATGCAGCGTGTGTCAGCTTCGTGCTCGCCAGACCTGCGGCCCCCCTCTACGAGATGGCACGCGCTCGGATGACTCACCAGCGCCAAGCATCGCATCCTGGATGCGCTTGCCATTGCTCGTCTTCTTCGACTTCTGACTGCCCGACTCGCTGTCGCTGCTGCTGCTGCTACTCGAACGGCCCGACTTGCTGCCGCCGCGCTTGCGATTGCCGTGCTTGTCTGCGCGGCAGGCGATGCGCTGTGTCAGCGATGTGGGGAAGGGCGACGAGGGCATGTCGAGCGGAACAGAACAGTCACACTTGACTCACTGCTGCGACGCGGCTTGCTCCAGCCGTCTGCGTACCCACGAGCGATCGACGCCTGAGGAGCTTGCGTCAGTTGTTGGAGACGACGAGCGAGCAGCAACAGGACGCACCTGGATGTGCGGCGGCACCGCGCCTCCTCCATAGTGGCCGTACGGACTCATCATGCCTTGAGCTCCCGTGCCGAGGCCTAGGCCACCATGCGGGCCGTACTGCCCGTACGCTGCAGCCTGTGCGGCCCAGGGCGGCGGCATGCCGCCCATGCCGCCGTACGCACCCATGCGCGGGTCGTAGCCGCCATAAGGCGAGCCCCAGCCCTGCATGGGCGCCGAAGTGGGCGGCGAAAAGGGCGGAGGCGGGACGCGACCGCGAGGATAGAACGGAGGCTGACTGGGTGAGCCGTAGGGGTTCTGCGCTGAGGGCGCACTCCACGGTGGAGGAGCGCCCCACGGCGATGACGCAAAGCCATGGCCATAGCCTTGAGGTGCACCGTACGGCGGCCAGCCTCCAGGTGCACCGCCAGGCGCTGGTGCACCATACTCGGCGCCCGGATAGCCGGCGGGCGGATAGCCGTAGCCGCCGGCTGCGGCGGGCGGCTGAGGAGGGTACTGCTGCGGCGGCGCAGGCGGCGGATAGGCGGAGCGCGAGGCATGCTGCGCCATTTGCTGTTGCTGCTGCTGCTGTTGCTGCTGAGCTTGCTGCTGCGAGCCCGGCGGTGGCTGAGAAGGCTGTCCGCCGGGCGGTCCGCCAGGAGGAGGACCAGCGCCGCCGCCGCCGCCACCGGCGCCGGGCGGCGGCGGATACGCGTCGAAGGCGCCGTAGTAGTTGCTGCCGGGCCACGCCATCGATGCACTCGGACGACGCTGCTCGCTCACCGGCTGCTGCTGCTGCTGCTGCTGCTGCTGCTGAGCGCGCTGTCGTGGCTCGCGCTGCGCTGTGCGCTGCTCTTGCTGACCGCGCGGGTCGTGCTGCTGCTCCGGATGGCCTCCTCCGCGCTGCTGCTGCTGCTGCTGCTGCTGCTGCTGCTGCTGGGCGAAGAGGGCGTACTGCTGTGCCTCGTAGTACTGCTGCGCCTCGAACTCGTGCTGCAGACGCTGGTACGCGGCGAACTCGTCGTGCTGCTGGTGCTGATGCTGGTGCGACTGCTGCCAGTAGTCGTGCTGCTCGTGCGAGCGCCGCTCCTGCTCTTCTTCGTGGTGGTGACGCTCTTTCTTGTCCTTGCTGCGTTCGTGCGAGCCGCCTGCGCGATGGTCGTCGCGGTGGCCGTGGCCGTGGTGGTCGCGGTGGCGGTGCTTGCCCTTGTCCTTGCTGTGCTTGTCGGGCTTCTGCTGGCCGCCAAAGGCCTCCTGCGCGTAGTTGGCGACGAAGGGCGCAGCCAGACGGATGCCGGTCTTGGCTAGGTCGGCGACGACGCCACGTGCCGCAAGGGCACTCGATGCGTCGGCCGTGGTGAAGAGCGCACGTCCGAGATGGAAGTGCGCAGAGGTGGGAGGTGGATGGCGATGAAGGAGGAGAGAGAAGGGCGAGCTGGACGAGGGGTGAGGGTGATCACAAGGGCAGATGAGGCTGAGTCCGACGAAGAGGGGGAACAAGGGCTTGGTACTTTGAGCGCGCGCGCCTTCTTAGGGCTTTGTGCTTGTGCAAGCCTGCTGCGCAAATGGCACGATGGCTGAGCTGCTCCTGTGACGGCATCGAGGCGGCCGGATGTCCCGCTCGGGGCCGGCCAGCACGTGGTTCTCGCGGATGCGGGTCAGAGCACTGTGTTCCTGGCGTCAGGGGGCGGAGCACTCTGTTTCACAGCCTCACGGCGGCGCCAGGCGGATAAGGCCAGCTCGCCGCCGCCCGCTCCTAATGCCCACATGGCTGAACGCACGCTTAACTGCTGGTCGCGAGCATGATGATATGAGCATGAGGATGTCGATGTTGTACAGGTGAGGAGAAGCGCGTAGAGGAAGGTGAAAGCCGCAGTCCTGAGGGAGAGGCGACCGCGACGGCGAGGCGAGACGAGGATGAGACGAACGATCAGGCGAAGCTGCAAGGCAAGGTCAGGCGACGGTCAGCAGCGAGCAGAAGGCAGCAGGCGCTCAGGAGAGCTGCTCACCGGCCAAAGGTGCCGCGCACCATCCAGTCCGAGCCGACCTTTTTGCGCTTGTCCAGATCCAAGCCATACATGCTCCTCAGTGCCGGGCTCATCTCCTTCTTGTCGCCTTCCTTCTTAGCTTTGGCCATTATGGCCGCCGCCGCGCTCCCCGCTCCCGCTCCGGCATTCATCGTCTCCACGCTGGGACCCTCCAACTTCTGCCTCTTGCTGCCTGGTCCTTCCTCCAGCGCAGCAGCGAGCATGGCAGCCGCTTCAGCCTTGCGAGCCTTCTTCTCCTCCTTGCGTCGCTGCTTCTCTGCCTCATCTTCTCCGCCCTCGACGCCAGCATCGAGCTTCTTGCTCTTGCTCTTGCGCTCGGCCTTCTCCTTTGCCTCGATTGCACGACGAGCCTCCATGGCAGCGCGCATCGGAGCTTCCTCCTCTGCCGTAGGGTTGAGGACGACGACTTCTCCCGTCGGAGAGACTTCTCCCTTTGCGAGTACGGCCGCATCGAACGGCGTAGCGCAGAGCGGGCAAGGCTGCATGTCCTTTCCCTTCTCGCTGCCCTCCTGATCACTGCCGCTGCCACTTCCCGCCGCCTCCTCCTGCCCGGGCGCCTTGCGCTTGGAACTAGAGCTGGACGGCGTGCATGTGGCGCGCAGACCTTGTTCGGACATGACGCATCCGCAGCGGCCCATGTAGACAAAGCGCGCCCGGCCGTTCATGGCACGCTGAGTCAGAGGACACAGGAACGACGAGCGAGCAGTCGTGAGCGTGGAGGAGCGACTGAGCGACTCGGGAGCGTCGGACGAGGATGCCTCGGGAGACGGCGTGAGCTTGAGCGTAGTAACGTCCTGTTGTGATTGAGACACATGAGACGTCAGCCCAACGATGCCAATGCGAGGAGTGCGCATCGATGGTCTGGGCGTGCTCATGTTGCAGCGCTTGCCTGACTGCACCCGCACCTCTCTGTCCAGCACTCACCGCCATACGTCTAACATGCGCCACCTCGTCCAGCTCGCCCTTCTGCTGCTGCTGCGCCCTTGCAGCGAGGTGCAGCAGCATAGCCTCGCGATTGTACATGCGCCCCAGCTGGTCCGCCACGACGGGCTGCACGAGCGGCTCGCGACTGAGGCGACAGAGCGTCCAGAGGAGACGAAGACGCTGTGCGGGATCGGAAGCGGACGAGTCGGCCTTGACGCGCACCATGTCGGTGCGCCGCGCGATGGTGCCGCCGTCGGCACCCATGATGGAGAGAGGATAAAGCGGGGAGAGGGCGAGGGTGACCAAGGTGTGGTGGCGAGAGGTAAGCCGCTGCGCGCGCAGCTGCAGCGCTCATGCGGTGCCGCGCCCCGCGCGCCAAGGCGCTGTCACACGCCATGGCGCACTAGACTCGCAGCGCCGTCGAGGTTGTGGCGCACGGCAGCAGCGACCCCCACTCGAGCTCGACAAACGTCAGCTCTCCGCTCCGCCATCATTCCACTCCGTCCACTCTATGTATTCCTCACAGCTCCGCCAGCAGCCATTCGCCCGCCTGTCCCACGTCCCACAGCGCCACGCCCACCTCTTCGTAGTCGCGCAGCACCTCGGCACGCATGGCCATCGTGTTGGCCGAGGGCCAGTAGGCGCGGTAGTAGCTCGCGAACGGCTTGCCGCCGTTTGCCTCGGGCGGCACATCGGCGGGCTGTTGATGCGAAGGCATCGGCGCCACAAAGTCGATGTACTGCTCCCCCGATTGCGGCTCTTGACGGATCAGAGCCTGCCAGCGCAGCGTTAGTACATGCGAGCAGAGCGGAGAGGTGCCGCAACTCACCTTGTGGTCTTCTAGACGCGCAATCAGCTCGCTGTGGGTGAAGGGCTGGCCGGCAAAGCGCAGCACCGCCTGCAGGCGCGAGTCGGCCTCCTTCTTGTCTGCCTTGGCTCTTGCGGCCGCTTGTGCGTCCTGTTCGATTGCCGCAGCGCGCAAGGGTGAGTGCGACGGGCCAGCGTGACAAGGACCCGGCGCAGGCCGCAAGCAGCAGCGGTAGCGCACACCTGGAGACAAGCCGACTTACCGTGTTGTTGTCCTTGCTGACCAACGGACTAGGTGGGGGAATCTTGGGCACGCCATTCGTCGACTCGCTCTCCTTGTCGAACCACCCCACGGGATACGCATAGCCGTACAGCGGGAAGCCCATGAGGAGTTTCTGCCTGCTTCCCTGCATCAGCACAGCGCTTCTCCGCTCTCCGTCGTCGATGAGACGGAACCGCAAAGCACAACTCACCGCACGCCATGATGCTCGACATACTGCGCTGTCGTCATGTCAAAGCCCGCAGCCGCAAAGCCGGCGCCTGATCCCGGGCCGAAGAGCCCATTGGCGGCGCCTCCGTCCACCTCCAGCGTGCCCTGCAGCATCTCAATGTTCTCGCGCAGCCATTCGAGCGGCGTGTTTGGGCCTGGCACCTGAAGACGACCGCGCTGGTCAGGTCAAAGTGCAACTAGCGCGGAGCGGAGGGAGACGTACCCGAACTCCATCTTGCCTCAACGGGCTCTTTGAGGGCAGAGCATCGACGTCAAAGATGTCGGCATACGCCAGGCCTTTCATGCCCGAGTAGTCGTATGTCATGCTAGTGACTATTTCCGCTCTCAGTCAGCTTCTGCTGCCTTTCCACATTCGATGATACGCGGATGCGGGCGGCGCGGCAACTCACTCAGATCCACCAGTGGGGAAAGTGCCTTGTAAGCCTGCAGGGCAATGACGTTCATGCGTGCCTCGTCGCCCGCCTCTTCGCCCTCCTTGATGCGCCGAAAGGGCGGCAGAACAATGCCGAGCACCTTGTCGTGCGCGTGGAGCGCTTCACTGAGCTCCTTGATGAGATGCTCCAGTGCCCATACCGCGCCGACTTCAAGCACGAGACCGTCGTAGCCCTGAGCTTGCACGTGGGAGATGATGCCGTCGACGAAGGAACGGAGCTGGGAGTCGGAGGAGAGGAGCTCGGCCAGCAATTCTGCCGTCCATGTCTTTCCATCACAGCGTCAGTCTCGCGACTGAGCCCTCGCATGACCGTACCGTAATGCAGTCCACCCCACATCTCTCCTGAGACTCACGTTGTCAAGCGCAAATCTCGGCACCACCTTCACCCTGCCCTCGCCCTCCTCCTCTCCCTGCTGGTTCTTGGCGGGCAGCTGCAATCTCCTCATCCACGCCGCATCTTCCTCGGTCGGCTCGCCGCGTACTTCATACCACGTCGTAGCTCGCGTGTGCACCGGATCGACAGTGTGCCAGCAGGGCGCGACGTGTGTGAACTTGTGCCGACTACGAGAAGCGTGTCAGATGCTGCGGAGGAGGGAAATAGGGGATGAGGAGGGATGACGCACTACTTCTCGACGAGCCCGGTGCCGCGCGGATTCCAGGGCGTTACATAGCCCAGGACGTTGCGGCTGAAGGCCAGAGCGGGAGGCGTGAGTGAGGCGGGTTGCACACGTGCTGTGATGCGCGCGACAGTCGAGAAGCAAGGCGGGACACTCCTTGCCCGTCTCTGTTGCCCTTGCACCACTAGATGCACCAGCTCTCTCACTGCGCGCTCGCCCCTCTGCCCTTGATGCACACTCACCCACTCCTCCTCAACTGCGCGCCCGTATCTGCCGCCTCTGCGGTGCCGTTCTGCAAGCGCGTCACGCGTTCGGCGGCGAGGATGGCGCTGCGGGAGGGAAAAGGCGAGCGGAGTGCCTGTGCGCGTGCGGCGTGCGGCACTGCGGCGAGGAGCGCGAGCAGCAGCAAGGGCAGCAGCGCGACGAGGCGCGCCATGATGCCGGGGTGTGGGAGAGAGCAAGCAAGTGGAGCGGACGCAAGTGCGAGTGCGGGGAAGCAGGCACGTGAGCGCCCCTCTCTTCTCACGCGCCGCGCTGGCCGAGAGAGGCACGCGCGCCGTGCCGTGGCCTGCCTCAGCCTGCCTCGTGCGCCGGCGCTGTGCCGGGCCGGCTTCCCCGCATCGGCGCGTCTCGCAGCGTACGGCACCTGGCTCCCATCTCTCTCTCTCTCCTCCACTTCTCTCCAGCTTCCGTTCTTTTTTCTTCTCTTCGCATCCCGCTCCTTGGCACGCCTCCCTCCCTCCCCCGCATCCGCTCCCCGCGCGCGCCCACGTCACATCGCGCCGCAATGTCGCTCGCAAACGTCCATGCCGCCCTCGAGCAGGCCGTGCTCGAGCCGGCGTACCACGATGCGCTGGCGGTGGTCAAGGTGCGTGGGCGAGCAAGGCAATGCGTGACGAGAAAGAGCAGTGGGGCCGGCGAGGCACCGCGGGTGGTGCGCTGGCGAGATGCTGGTGCATGGAGTGGGGCGCACGAGCATGGGGGGCGCAAGTGAGAGGGCGTGAGGGCGTCACGGCTGGGGCGAGAGAAACGGCGCAGCTGGCGCAAGGCAAGCGGAACAAGGCGGCGGGAAGTGAGAGGCATGCCCGGCGTCTCTAGCACGTCTCTTCTGCCTCATCCGCACGCGCACTGCTCACTCCACTCGCCAGGCCGCGCGCAACGGCCTCGTCTACGGCGCCAAGATCCGCTTCCCGCACGCCCTGGTCATGTCCATCCTCTTCGGGCGCGGCTCGTATGCCGACCGCATGCGCTTCGTCCTCACGGCCACGCGCCAGCACGCGACGAATCTCTGCAAGTTTGCCTCGCTCTACAAGGCCGTCACGATTCTGCTGCGGCGGACGCGCGGAGGCAAGCCGAAGGGTGGGGATGCGTTTCTGGCGGGCGTGGTGGGAGGATATGCAGTGTTTGGCGAGAGAAACGCGGTCAATGAACAGGTGAGTGTAAGGCTGGCGGCTGGGCTGCGAAAGGCTGGACAAAGCGGACACTGGGCGGCGGGCGGCGGAGCATGAGCAGGGGCAAGGAGGAGTGGAGGCAGAGAGAGTGTATGAGATGAGGGCGGAATGCGCAGCCGCTTGCATCCACACGCAACGCAGCGGAGGGGAGCCAAGTCGAGCTCGGACGAGCGTGCTTGCGCATGAATGTGGCCACCTTCATCTCGCCGGCTCTCCATCTTCGCTTCGCGTTGCAAAGCCTCCTCCCTCTGCTCCTCTTCCCCTCTAACAACGCTCCTCAGATCGTGCTCTACTGCGTCGCCCGCTGCGTCTCTGCCCTCCTGCCCCGGCAGCAAGTGGCTTCCAACTGGCCGTCCGACCGGCCCATTCCGACCGAGAGCAAGACGTTCAGTGTATTTGCGGCCGTCGTATGGGGAAGTGTCATGTGGCTGTTCGATCAGCGACGACAGAATCTGCAGGGTGGACTGGTCAACTCGATGGACTGTGAGTCTGCCGCACGTAGCGAGGCGAAGAAGATATTGGCTGATATCAAGCGATGCGCAGATCTTTACGTCAACGCGGAGAAGTGGCAGAAGTACGTGCTCTTCGCTCTAGACTGGATGCCGAGCCTGCGATCACAGTTCTGCATGCTGACACCTCCCCTCGCCCCTCCTCTCTCGCTCTTCAGCCTGCGCACACTCATTTGGCACAACAAGTAGACTTGCCCGGCCTGCTTTTCAGTCGCTTCGCCTCTCGCGGCGCTACCGCCTCTCCATCACACGCTAGACGCCCTCACGCCTCCCCGTCTCCGCATCTCGACCCAATCGATCAGTCCGGCTCGCAGCAGTTTCAAGCTTGCAACTTGATTTTGGAATCGCCGTTGAGAGGGAGAGACGTGACGGGCGTGAGGAGGGGGTAAAATGGTAAGAGCTACATGAGATTTGAGAGACGTGGATCGGGCTGTGATGTGAGACGAGGCGGAGGTCGGGGTCATTAGGCGCTAGACGCAAGCGATCTGCGGGCGTGGCCGTGAGATGCAAGGGCGAGGGAGTGGAGCGAGGGACGTGTAGCTAGAGACAGGGGAACGACTGCGGCGCGAGATGATGCTGAGGCGCCGAGAGGGGTCAGAGGATGCTCGACGACTTCAGGCAGCGTCGTGCCCTTGCTGAGCCGACGTTGCGGCGCGTGCACCGGCGGCACATATGCCTGAGGCTGTGCGGGCGCGAGAGCGGCGGAGAGAGAACGAGGGACGATGGCGTCGTGCGTCATTGAAGGCCGACGAGGTGCGAGCGTCGGCTCTGCAAGGACGTGATGCACCTGCAGACGCTTCGAGCGGCTTGCAGAAGGCGGGTAACTACGATGTGCCGAGCCCGAGCGAGGAGGCGAAGGAGTGTGGCGCTGCTGAGATGGCGTACGGGTGTGCTGCTGTTGCGAAGGAGTGTGGAGCCACGGCTCGGGCGCAGGGTAGGCTGCGGGCCGGGAGAAGTTGGGCGTGTCGAAGCTTGGCGAGGGGGTTGTGACGCTTCGAGGCGGCGTGAGAGTGGGCGATTCACACCAGCGCGGCTCGTTGGAGTGTCTCGAGCGCGGACGTTGGTCTGCCGAGGCGGCGCGGTGATGCGGGGTATAGATGGTGGGTAGAGTCGAGGCAGAGACGGCGCGGCGACCATGCCCGTGCCCCGGCGCAGGCGAAGGAGGAGGTCGAAGTTGCTCACTGCCGTACGCCGAGTGTCGCCGCTGCTTCTTCTGCGCGGCGAGTGCGGCTGCAAGTGCCTCTGCATCTTGTGCCGAGGCAGTCCAGCTGGTAGGCCGAGCAGCGCGGGCGCGAGAGACGGAGGCGGCGGGACCGGCGCTGAGACTACGACCGCCTGTGGGTGAGTGTTCGCGCGAGCTGCTGTGGTGTCCGTGCGCTGAGCTGGGGCGCAGAGAGGAGAGGATGCGGGCGGGAGTAGTCTTGCGCTCGGGAGCTGGAGGCGCATAGGCACCGGCGCCCCAAGTAGAGCCCATCAGCGCCGGTGGAGGTGCGGGAAGCGTCCAGGGATGCTGTCGGCCGCCGCGGTGGGCCATGACGTGCTGCTGATGGAAGGATGGAGGAGGAAGAGGCGAGCGCGGGTAGACTTGCACTTGCAGGAGCGGCCGGTCGACTGGCGAAGGATCGAGAGCGAAACGCACAGCTTGCTCGCTCCTCGAACGTGGACGCCGAGTAGAGCCTGCCTGGTGGGGCAAGACGCTGGATTGAGTGTCGATCGGAGCCAGTGTGCGTGCAGACGCAGGGTCGACGCATGGCTCGCAGTGTGAAGTCTCGCTCGAGGCCACGGCATCGCCGTCGTTGGAGCTTGGCGAGTCGGGCGTCGGGAGCGTGTTCGACGAGCTAGCCAGACTGTGCGTAGCGCTGGAGTTGACGCTGTGCTCGCTTGAGGCGCTCGAGTCGCCGCTGCTTGACAAGGCCTCGCGACTGAGTGGCTGCGCCTGCCTCTCTGCCTCATTGCTGCAGTCCAGCAGTGCGCTCTTGAGCACACGCGGCGAAGGAGGAGCGACGAAGCTGTTGCTGCGTGAGACGTGTGCTGTGAAGGCAGGCGCGAGATCTTCGATGCGAGTGTGCGTGTGCGAAGTAGCCGAAGCGGGAGAGCTCGGGTAGTGTCCTTGGCTCGAGGGCGCGCGTGAAGGGCAGACGACGGCGTCGGAGTCGATGGCGAGACTGAGCGGACGAGAGCCGGATCCGCAGTAGAGACTGCGATGCTGCCACTGTCCGTGCTCGTCGAGCGTCATATGCGCCGCCAGCGCCGCAGCGTCGACGTGCTGGCGCGACTCGGTCGTAGTGGCGCGGAGCATGGGCGGCGTCATCGGCTGCAGGGGAGAGGTCAGCGCTGAGGTCACAGAGAGACGCCGGCCCAACTTTCGCTACTCCAGGCTGCCAACTCACGAGCACGGAGGTGATGGGCGCCGTGATGATCGGCGCCGAGCGACGGCGCTCGCTGCGCGCATTGACGGGCCGCTGAGCCCTCGGCGGCGTGTCACGACGAGTCGATGTATGCGAGCTGCGGCTAGGCGAGTGGCGTGCCGGCGTGACGCTGGCGCTGCTGCGCGGCGGAGGCGTGGTGTACGACTCGTGGCCGCGCGTATGCTGCGACGGCGCCGGCTTGGTGCGCACGGAGGAGGATGGTGGAGCGGCGGCGGGGTGCCGCTGCTTGGGTGTCGCGGGTGCCCTCGCGGCTGCCTTGTCGGCAGTCGAGGGCGAGGAGAAGCAGGAGAGGCGGGAGAACATGGCGCCAGCGGTGGTGGTGCTGACGCGGCAAGTCGTGAGAGGGTCGTGAGGGTGCAGAGGCAGGAGCAAGCGCCAGACTCTTGAGGGCGAAGGCGAAGGCTTGGCCAGCGAAGCTCGGCCAGCGGCGCGGCGAGGCCCGCCGCCCCAAAAGTCTGCCAGCTCGCCGCATCTATTTCCGTGCACCCTTGGGCCTGCCTGACCTCAGCAAGGCACGTGCAAGTGGCTTCGCAAGCGCCACTCTCGCCAGCTCGCCGCTGCAGAGTGTAGCTTATCTGGTACGCAACGGGGATGGCCTGAGCGGGTGTGCCGCCGCTTGCGTGCCTCGAGGCGCGTAGCCGGATGTGCCCGACCGGGGACAGCTGCGTTTCAAGGCGTCTTGAGCAGGCACTGAGCGCTGGAGAAGCACTTGCCGCGCCCTCGCAAGAGACCGCAGGTGAAAGCGACACGACCGAGAGGGGCAGGAGAGGAGCGGAACGTGCGGCCAGGCGCGGACGGGCCCCTGAACATGCCTGGGCTGGGCCCTAGGTCGCCGCACTCGCCTCGGCGGAAGCACAAAGGCACCGCGAGCTTTGTCAGGCAGATGGCAGGCGCTGCAGAGACGGAGCCGCTCTCTGCCAGCCGCCACCCGCGCTGAGAAGAGAACCGTCGTGGCGCATGTCGCAGGAGTGCAGGCTGCACCGCACCGGCCTCCGACGCTCGCACTTGCGCACCTCGCACTCGACGGAAGCGCGGGAACGAGGGCGCACCCACCGCACGCTCGCGCCTCGACGCACAGGCCGCACCTTTCCTGCGGCAGGGTCCCGCTCGCGCCAGGCGGGCCGTGCACCCTTGGCGATGCCGCGGCGTGGCCTCGGACGTGCGGCAGGCGGGTTTTACGAAGGGCTCGGATGTCATGCTGCCGCTCTGCCGCTGGCGCGCAGGCACGCTGGCTGGCTTTTCGGGAAGGAGCATGTGACGCCATTGTGGCTCCTCGTAGCGCGTCCGGGCCCGAGGGGCCGAGGGGCGCGAGGGGCACACAGTGCGCTCTAGGCACCGCCCGCAGCCACTGTCGTGCCTCGGCCGCGCGGCGGGCGCAGCGAGAGCTTGGTAGAGTCCCCTCTTGGCGCGACTGCGTGGCTGGCCCGGCCCCTGAGGGGTGCATCGCGGCACCGAGAGGGGTCTGCGTGCTGCGGCAAACGTCTCCGACGGCCGTGAGCCGACTCCCGCGCTCGAAGAGGAGGCAGCCACGCACGCTGTGTGGCGGCGCCTAGAGCGATTGTGCACCTGTCTGCTCCCTTGAGAGGCCTCGCTGTGCTGAGCCCCATGACCGAGGCGGCGGTGCGGGCTTTGCGGACTTGCGCAGCACCACCGACTCATCGCCGACGCCTCGCGCTCAGGCCGGCAGCGTGGGCATCTTTCGCACGGCGCAGAGAGCCAAGAATGCTATGCGCAGCGCGCATCTGTACGCATACGATGCGCTGCAGCCTCGAAGGGTGCTTCTTGACGGTTGTGATGGATCGATGGGAAGCCGCACCGGAGCGGAGCGGATGCCCGTTGCTAGCGAAGCGCGTGGGAACAAGGCGAGCTTCGGCCGAGGCGCGAAGATCCGCGGTGCAGGCGCTTGACGCGCCTCTTCTCGCAGGTCCACATCCTTCGCAAGTCGCCTGCTCCCGCTTGTGAGTGGCCTCTCGTTCTTCTGGCTTCGTCTGCTGCCTCTCGCAGCCCCTCTCTCCCCGATGATGTCTAAAAAAACATGTTAGACTGCTGAGCTCGCTTTCAACGAGTCCACATGGCGATATGAGCTCTGCTCACCACTCCTGAGGGGTCGAGATGGCTGCGAGGCCTTGACGATGCGCACGGACGAGGCCTGCTCTACAGTGCCACTTGCTGACACTTCTCTCTCCAACTTCGCCGGTCTCTGTGGACAGAAGCATTGCGCCGACGCTGAAGCCGGGATGCAGTGGAGCAGAGGGAATCCATTGCGTCGCTCGCCACACTTCTTGTCCCTCGCGTCTCAAGCGTCAGGAACGCCGCCAATGTCAGGACCCCACGTGTGTGAGATCGAGGTGCAGCAGCCAGAAGAGTTTGCCGGGTCTGATCGCACGTGCTGCCTGTGTGCTGCCAAAGGTTGACGATCGGCGTGAGGCGTGATAGGACAGCGAAGAGGCACCACGTGCGACGGAGCGATGCTCAGGGCCGCTACGCATCCTTCTCGTCTCTTTGCGCAGCGGCAGCAACTCGGAGCCCCACCAGCCGGCGGTTCCGGAGCGGTATTGTGGCAGATCTGCGGCTCAAAGCCGCCTTGGCGGCCGTCATCGTGCGGGCGCAGACGGACGCGAGCGGTTAGCGTGCGGAGAACGTGCGCAAACGCGACAGAGCGCGCCACGGCCAACGCAGCATCAGCCGCGACGCCCCTGACGCGCTCGCAAAGGCACACCTGGGCCGCCGCACAGGCACGCTGCATTTGGAATGTCAGAGCTTGGCCATCGGGCAGCCGGGCGGTCGTGACGGCGAATTAGGCTGCAGTCTCACCTGCACGACAGTCAAATGCACAGGCGTTGGCTCGCCGGAGCGCCGGGCGAATGGCGATGCAGCGCCCCTGGCCGAGGGTTCATGCTGGGGGCGCGACGGGCTTTGGAACGTGCGGATCACAGCACTTGCCATACTTAAGGCTGACAGCAATCGATGCGGGATGATGCTCCTCAGATCCACCTCAAGATGCGTTTCTCCCTCCTGCTTCTCTCGACGCTCGCAGCGTCGGCGCTGGCGGCGCCGAGCAGTCTGCTGCTGAGCAACATTGCCTACCGTTCGCCGTCGATCGAGGTTGGCGGCGACGGACTTGCGCACGACATTGACGCCATCGAGCGCCGGCATGCCAAGCGTTCTGAGAACGGCGAGCGCGGCAGCTTCGCCGGCAAGCTGAGCTTTCCGTACGGCGTCGCGTCGGGCGACCCGCTCGAGGACAGCGTGTGAGTCGTGCGAGTGGCCCACCTTGGCAACTAGCTGATGAATTCGCTGCAGCATTCTGTGGACGCATCCGGAGCCTGAGCGCGACACCGACCAGCCGCTCTGCCTGCGCTGGGAAGTCTCCTCGGAGCCGGGCAAGTGGAAGGGCCGCGCGCTCGCCGACCACGGCACCGTGTGCACGACCAAGGACGTCGGCTACTCCGTCAAGGTCGAGGCCAAGCACCTCAAGCCGAGCAAGTGGTACAGCTACCGCTTCAGCGCCGTCAACGGCGACAAGGCAACGTCGCCCGAGGGCCGCTTCAAGACGCTGCCGCGCCCGAACGACGACATCGCAAGCGTGAATTTCGCCGTATTTTCTTGCAGCAACCTGCCCGTCGGCTCCTTTGCTGCCTACGGTAACGCAGCCAAGCACAAGGAGATTGACTACGCACTGCATGTAGGGTGAGTCGGAAACGTGCATGTCGCCGGCGCGAAAAGCGCCCTCTGGCCTTCTCCGGGCGACCTGCAACTTGCGCCAGCATTGAGCGTCCGTTCACCCCATCATTCGTCTCGCTGCACCTCTTTGTCGTCGGCGTCGGCGATAGGGATTACATCTATGAGGGATCGGCTCGTTTGGGCGCTCCTGAAGACCGACAGTTCGAACCACGTTACGAGATCGCCTCGCTCGACGACTACCGTCAGCGCTACAACGCGTACCACCGCAAGGACGCTTCGCTGCGTGCCATGCGTGCCGCTGTCGCCTGGCAGGTCGTTCCGGATGACCATGAGGTGAGTTGTGTGCTACCCGCGCTACTCATCATGTTGCATACTACACGATGCTAATCGATCGCGTCAGGTCGCCGACAACTCGTGGAAGGTACGCCCTTCGCACCATGCCCTATCTCGTTCTTTGCTGAAACTCCTTCTTCCAACAGGATGGCTCTGCGAAGCAGCCTCCGGGCACGCTCTTCCGCGGCGTAACCTTCAGCGAGCGCAAGCGTAACGCATTCAAGGCGTACTTCGAGAACATGCCCATCCGTCAGATCAGCACCACCGACGACCTGCGCACCTGGCGCCAGTTCCGCATCGGCAAGCTGGCGGATCTCAACATGCTCGACACTCGCCAGTGTGAGTCAGGCGCTGAAAAGCTCTCTGAGCGCGGCAGCGAGGCCTTACTGTCCCGCACACGGTCGCGAGGCCGAGAGGCGTCGGACACCTCGGCAACCTGAACGCATCGCAAAGCCACCTTCATCATATGTCGCTGACGCTCAGCAACTCTCTAGACGACAGAGACGTGACTGATGTCTACACCAACACTCCGTACATCGAATCGATCCGCAACGACACTTCGCGCTCGCTCATGGGTGGCCGGCAGGAGGCATGGCTTTACAACAACCTCGAGAAGTCCAAGGCGACGTGGAAGGTGGTTGCTCAGCGTGAGTCACCGCTGGACAATTAGCTCCACAGCAAAAGCAACCTCTGACGAAAGGCGGCTGCAGAGATCCTCGTGACGCAGATGCACCAGCTGCGCAAGTGCGTCGGATGCGCCCAGGATCTGAACTACGATGCATGGGACGGCTACACGGCGAACCGAGCACGCTTCTACGAGGCCGTCAAGAAGACCAAGAACGTCCTGATGCTCGCTGGCGACACGCACGCCGCTTGGGTGTCGGAGGTGCACGAGCCGTTCACCGATGACTACGATGCGGCCACCGGGAAGGGCTCCTTTGGCATTGAGCTTGGCGGCACCGCCGTCTCTTCCAGCTCTAGGTGAGTTATGCTTCCACAGCTCGTCCAAGAGTGGCAAGATGCAAGAAGGACAGTTGGTGCGAGAAGGGCGGTTCGCACGCGCGCACGCGTCGTGGCGACCGTACCTCGACGCTTCGCACGTTGCTTACCCTCTTCGCACACAGCTACGGCAGCCTGACGAAGGAGATTTACGTCGAGCGTGCCAAGCAGCTCACCGAGGTCAACAAGGGCCTGCAGTTCGCCGAGGGCGAGCGTCGCGGCTGGTTCTCGCTGGAGCTGACGCGCGAGCGTGCCGTGGCGCGCTTCTGGGGCAACCAGAACACGGCGCCCGACTCGCCCGAGGACCTGCTTGCCACCTTCGAGGTCAAGGAGGGCACCGACCGCTTCGTGCGCCCCATCAACGGCGGCAAGCGCCCGATTGCAGGCGCGCTGCAGAGCCTCGAGTGGGACCAGAGCAGCTGGGACGGCACGACGTTCACGCGCCCGCGCGCTTGAGTTCATACTTTCTTTGTCTGTGAAATAGTACGAGCAAAGATTTGCGCTCACTTCTGTGTATGTTCAAGGCTGTGAAGCTCATCAGTCTCGGTGTGAGGGCGACTGGAGTGAGCGCGACTGGGCATGTCATACGCAGGCGGACGCGCCGCCGCCGTTCCGACGGCTCCGCGCGCGGGCCTCCACTTGAACGTCTAGCGCTGCCGTGCCCGCGAGATCAGCGAGCAGCTTGCGGCTGCCACTCTCCCTCTCACCACCACCGCAACATGTCCGTCGCCAACCTGCGCTTCCTCATCACCGGCGGCGCTCGCGGCCTCGGGCGCGGCCTCACTGCCTGGCTCGTGCAGCGCGGCCACGACGCGTACATTCTCGACGCGGACGCCGGCGAGCTGAAGCACACGCTCGGCACGCACCTGCCGTCGCTGAAGCCGGCAGCCGGCAGCGCCAAGCTGGGCCGCTTCGAAGGCGCAGAGTGTGACATTTCAAACGCAGAGCAGGTCGGCGAGGCCGTGCGCAAGGCGGCACAGGTGGGTAAGCTGCATGACCTTCCATGCGCCCTGCTGACCTCCAGCCAGTGGCACCGCGGCGGGCTGCTCGACGTGCTGGTCAACAACGCAGGTCGCGCAAATCCGTACTGGGCGGACGGCCGCACGTTTGAGCAGATCGACGTGCAAGAGTGGCGGACGTACATCGACACCAACCTGAGCGGCGCCTTCTACGTCTCCAAGGCCGCCGTGCCGTTCCTCAAGGCCAGCGCGCGTGGAGAGGAGGAGCCACGAGGCGCCATTGTACACACTTCGTCGATCCGCGCTAAGCAGTCTGAGCCAAATCAGGAGGGCTATGCCAGCGCGTGAGTGAGCCATGCTCATGCTTCGAGCCTTGTTGGCTGACACCCTGCCACAGCAAAGCCGGCCTGCTCGGCATGACGCACTCGATGGCCAGCTCGCTCGCCGACGCACAGTACCGCATTCGCGTGAACGCCGTTCTGCCTGGCTGGTTCCCTACGGACCAAGAGTCGAGCGCCGGCGGCGCGTGGGACGACGGCCTGACGAAGGAGGACCACGAGCAGCACTGGGCGGGGCGCGTGGGCAAGATGGAGGACTATGCGCAGGCGGTATTCTTCATGGCTACCAATGGCTTCGTCACGGGCCAGGAGATCGTCGTGGATGGAGGCATGACGCGCAAGATGGTGTATGTCGAGTAGAGGGGTTGCCGCAACACGTCTGGACGATCTCGTAGTCGGGCGAAGGCCCCGGCAGCAGGAATGGCATGCTCTCGCTGGACAAGTTGCAGTCGTCGAAGGTGCGCATCTGTCGCTCCAGTCGCAAACTTGCCAGCCGCTAGGTGACAGCCGCAGTCGCAAGAGTGAAGGCGCCGCAGCGCGCAGCGAAGACGTACGGCCTTTGATGTGAGCACAGCAGAGCATCAGCCAGCATCGGTGCCGCCGCTGGCATCGGTCGCAAGAGCGGCAGCCGCAACGCAGCCGCAGCTGCAGAACGCAGCGAGCCACACCCGCCTCGCGGCTCGCACCGCACGCGGCGCAGGCAAGCGCAGCAGCATCAGGGCCGTGCGCAAGCTCAAGCGAGATGTGGAGGTCTGCTGTCGACAGAGCGAGCAGCGCACGGGTCGCAGCGCGGCATGCTGCGCTTTCAGGCAGCGGGCGGGCGACGGGCGGCTGCAGCTGCTGCTGCTGCGGCATGGCGCAGTTGCGAGGGTGCCTCGCAGACGCGGCGGCCGGCCGCCTGTGTGCGCGCGCTGTTCCCACGCGACGCTGCGCGAAGCTTCGCGAGCCCGCGCCTCGTCCCACCGCCGCTTGCTCTCGTGCGCTCCCATCCATGGGCTCGGCGCAGCGCTGTCCAGGGCCCGGCCGGCTGGCTTGTGCGCAGATTGCGCTGCGGCCCCGCATCTCCGCCGCTCTCGATGGTGCTCGACGCTGCGAGAGGCGGTGCTCGAGCCTTCGCGAAAGGGCCCGCCGCCCTTCCACCCGCTTCGCCCCCGCTGCGAGCCAGACGTCTGCGAGAGGCATATAAGGAGGCCCTCGCCGGCCTCGCTCCTGCTTCCTGCACCTCACACCACTCAGCACTCAGCACTCGACTAGCACCTCACTCCCGCGCCACATTCACCAGCACCACCCATCACCGCGTCTGCACCATGTCGCTCGCCCACCACCTCTTCACGCTGTAAGTTGCCGCACGCTCCTGCACTGCTCCTGCCTCATCGCTGACGTCTCAGGCCCTACTTCAGCTCGCCCTTCGAGTGGCACGCCGACGACTCGCCGGCCGCCGCTCCGGCGCACAGCAAGGCCGGCGAGCACGGCCTGCAGCGTGCCGGCTCCTTCTTCCACCCCACGCACGTGCGCGGCCCGGCTATGGACGTGCACGAGCTCAAGGACCAGTACGTCGTCGAGCTCGAGCTGCCCGGCGTGCGCAAGGGTGAGTGACGACGAGTCGCAGCACGAACTCGGCTGTATGCTCACACCTCACGCGCTTCACAGAGGACGTCAAGCTCGAGGTCGACGAGAAGCACCGCCGCGTCTCCATCGCCGGCACGCTCAAGGCCGAGCACCATGTCGAGGAGCCCGCCGCGGCCGCCGACAAGACGGCGGCGCCCAAGGACAACGGCGCCAAGGGCAACGGCAACGAGAAGAAGGACGGCAAGCACGTGGCCAAGCAGGCCGCCGAGCCGCGTCCCCGCGTGCTCATCTGTGAGTCGTCTTCGCCGTGCTCGTCACACGCATACACCTGCTCACACCATCCCCAGCCGAGCGCGCCTTTGGCAGCTTCCAGCGCTCGTTTACGCTCCCGCAGGCCGCCGACCTGAGCGACATCCACGCCGCCTTCGCGGACGGCGTGCTGCGCATCAACGTGCGCAAGACGGTGCCCAAGGACGAGTCGACGGTGCGCAGCATCGCCATCGAGGACGCGCGCCTCTGATCGCCTCGCCTCGCCCCTCGCTCTGACGTTCCGCCTCTGCGGACGAGGATGCGCCTCGCGCTCCTGACCATGTAGCCGCCTCCTGATCCCCAATCATACTGTTACCCACTCGACCAATGCATGCCTCTCTCACTCATCTGATGCCCGAGTCTGATGTCCTCCGTGATCTCGCGCGATGTTGTTCACGGTGCATTTCAATTCTCTTTAGGGGTAGAACTGGCGCAGACGGTCGATTTGCACGCCGAGCGAGCCGGCATGAGGACAGGCGACGAGCAGAGCGCCATCGCCGTGTAGCCTCAGCATACTACGCCTGCCCGCCACGCGCGCGCGCACGGCTCAGAGACGCTTAGTTGGAGAGGAACGAGCTGACGTTCTCCTCGATGAAGGAGCGCATCTTCTCCTCGAGGTCCTTGCTCGGCTTGCCGGCGCTGACCTGGTCGAGCAGGGCCGTGTTGCTCTTGAGCCTGCGGGTGAAGCGTCGCATCAGCACGTGCATACAGGGAAGCCTCTCGCGTCCACTCACGAAGGCAGGAACTGCTCCTCCCAGGCGGTGATCTTCTCGACGGGCACCTTGTCGAGGAGACCAGCAGTGCCGGCGAAGATCAGGGGGATCTGCACCTCGGTGGCCATGGGGCTGAACTGAGCCTGCTTCAGCAGCTCCGTCAGGCGCGCGCCACGGTCGAGCGTGCGGCGCGAGGCGGGGTCCACTGTGGTGTTGCGCAGTGAGCAACGGACGTGGACTTCGGCACGCCACGGCTACTCACGGTCGGAACCGAACTGGGCGAAGGCAGCCAGCTCACGGTACTGGGCAAGCGAGAGCTTGAGCGAACCGGCGACGGACTCTGCAGGGCCAGGGGTGAGCATCGATCGCGAGCACGCACGCGCCGCGTCACGCACTGTACAGCTTCGTCTGGGCAGCCGAGCCGACACGCGACACGGACAGACCGACGTTGACGGCCGGGCGGATACCCTTGAAGAAGAGCTCGGACTCGAGGAAGATCTGGCCGTCGGTGATGGAAATGACGTTGGTGGGAATGAAGGCCGACACGTCACCACCCTGCGTCTCAATGATGGGCAGGGCAGTGAGCGAGCCGCCGCCGTGGGTGTCGTTCATCTTGGCGGCACGCTCGAGCAGGCGAGAGTGCAGGTAGAAGACGTCTCCGGGGTAGGCCTCACGTCCGGGCGGGCGACGCAGCAGCAGCGACATCTGACGGTAGGCGACGGCCTGCTTGGACAGGTCGTCGAAGACGATGAGGGCGTGCTTGCCGTTGTCGCGGAACCACTCGCCGATGGCGCAGCCCGAGAAGGGGGCCAGGTACTGCAGCGGCGCGGCCTCCGAGGCCGTGGCGGCGACGATGACGGTGTACTTCATGGCGTCGTTGGCCTCGAGCGTCTGCACGAGCTGCGCGACGGTGGAGCGCTTCTGGCCGACGGCGACGTAGACGCAGTACAGCTTCTTGCTCTCCTCCTGGCCGTCGTTCCAGCGCTTCTGGTTGAGGATCGTGTCGATGGCGACGGCCGTCTTGCCGGTCTGACGGTCACCGATGATCAGCTCACGCTGGCCACGGCCGATGGGCACCATGGCGTCGATCGGCTTGATGCCGGTCTGCATGGGCTCGTGCACGGAGCGGCGCGGCAGAATGCCGGGCGCCTTGAGCGAGGCACGGCGGCGCTCGGCGGCCTCGATGGGGCCCTTGCCGTCGATGGGGTTGCCGAGCGCGTCGACGACACGACCGAGCATGTTGGGGCCGACGGGCACGTCGACAATCTGGCCGGTACGCTTGACGGTGTCGCCCTCACGGATGGCACGGTCGGAGCCGAAGATGGACACACCGACGTTGTCGGCCTCGAGGTTGAGGCACATGCCGCGGACGCCCGACGAGAACTCCACCATCTCCTCGGCCATGACGTTGCGCAGGCCGTAGACACGGGCGATACCGTCACCGATGGCTGAGACGGGGCCGCGTCAGCGATGCTGCGACACCACACGCGGATGCGCGAAGAAGCGGCAAAGGGTCGGGCGCGGCCGTGCGCACGCGAAGATCGCCCTCGCATCAGGCCTGATCCACCTCGCAAAATTCGGCAGCGCTCCAGAGAGCTGCTGGCGATGCCTCAGAGCCCAGCGGTCACGATCTGTGTGCCGCGCGCCCTCGGCCAAGCCCCCACGCAGTCCGTGCTACTGCCCGTCCTTCGCACGAAGCCCTACTCACTCAGCACGCGGCCAGTCTCCTGGACATCACCACCAGCGCCGGCGCCGGAGATGCGCTGCTCAAGGATCGAGCTGACCTCAGCGGCGGCTGTGGACGAGAGGTGAGCAGGTGCGCGGGTCGGCGAGGCAGCGGCCGGCACGCACCGGGCTTAGCCGTGGCGTAGGTGCGCACGGCCTGGGCGGCAACGCGGGGAGCGGCGATGCGGGCCTGATGGGCGAGCAGCGGGTGCAGCATGTGCGCAGAAAGTGTGCGAAGAGAGCGGGCAGCAGAGGCAGCGCAAGGAGCGAGGCAGAGAGAGAATAAGAAGGAAGAAAGGGCGTCAGTCAGAGCTCGCAGCTGCCGGCAGCACGCGGCCAGCGGCGCCCGCAGCGCACGCATGCGGCACTCACAGCCGAGGGCACGGCGGCACGGGCCAGCGAGCGGCCTGCAGTGCGAGCGAGCATGGTGCAGGAAGGTGTAGGGAAGGGTGCGGGTGGGAGGGGCAGGGAGGGGAGCGAAGCGAAGGCGGCGGCGCTGGCACGCCCCAAGCGGCGCCGCGTGCGCTGCTTGCTGGCGGCGCTGCCGGCGACGACTCGCCTCGGCGGCGCCTGCCGGACGTCGAGCGCTTGGCTGGCGGCGCGCACGCGCCCAGCGCCGGCCGGCCTGCGACGAGAAGAAGCTGCGCCAGCGCTGCTCCAGCGCCCGCCGATTCCCCCCGAGGGCGCGCACACTGCCCGCGTGCCCGCCCGCCGCGTCTCGCCGTGCGCGCCGCAGAGGCCGCAGGCGCCGCCGCGTGGCGAGCGACTACGACATTCCCGCGCCAGGCGCCCGACGGCGAATACAACGGCCGCTGTAGTCAGATGACTACAACCGGCTCTCCGCGGCGAGAAGAAATTGGCTCGGCCGCCGAGCGCGAGCTCACCGTCAAGTCATCAGCGGTCCGACACTCCCTGAGCACTCAGCCCAGCTCCTCGTCACCCAGCTCCGGCACCGCACGCACCTCGCCGACAAGCCCACAGCCGCACACGCGCCGACCGCACCTCAGCGTAGCCAGCTGCACGTGTCTAGCTGCTGTGACAGCATCGCCCTCGCTGTCTCATCTCGGCACGCCTTGTCACGCGACCACCTCCACAGCCCGCACAGCATGGGTGCGTCCAGACACGCGCCGCCCGGAGCGCCTCGCTCTGAGCTGACGTCCTCGCGCACGCTCAGCTCTCCGTCTCGCTGTCGCCTCGGCGCTGGCGTCTGGCAGTGCGCTGAAGGGGAAGGGCCCGGCCGTCGCGCGGGCAGCAGCCGCAGGTGAGTGGACTTGCTTCTCTGCTGCCACAGGGCTGTGGGCGGCACGAGCAGGTGCAGGGTACAGCGTCGACAGTGCCTAAAGGAGCTTCGTCTCCGATGACGAGGAGCGGTTGAGAGCGCGAGCTGCTGGCCTTGGCGACCGGTGCGCAAAGGCAGAGGTGCGGAGCTGCGTTTCTCTCTGGGGCCCCTGCCCTCGGCACTGCTCTGCGAGTGCCTCGTCAGTCTGAGCTCGCTGCCGGACATGGGCGCTGTCTGCTACGCTGGCGTGTCGGTGTGTCGGCAGCGTAATAGCAGGCGATGCAGTGCTGTGAAGCGCATCGCCATGTGGTTTGTGCTGATCTCTTCTCTTCTCAGAGCTGCGTGCCTTCAGTACTTCGGCATGCTCTAGCTCTGCACGGCCAGTGACAGCTGCGCCCGTCTCTGTCTCCTCCGGTGTGCTGCCCAGCGCCGCCGTGACATCTACAGCCGAGGCGCTGTCGCTGTTGCGCGGACAGCCCTCGCACTACGTGCTTGCCTCTCTGGCCGGGCGCACGCTGCTCCTCACGCCTTCCGACCTCTTCACGCTGCCGCGGCTGCGCGACGTGCAGGTGGGCGATGTGCTGGAGCTGACGCGTATCCACGAAGTCGGCTCGCGCGACTACACGCTGCGTGCTCAAGACCCGCTCTCGACGCGCGAGCGCGGTGCCGTCACGCTGCTGCGGCGCAGCGTTGGCAGTCCCGACGCCACGCTCGCCCGTGCACTCGACGGCCTCGTCCTCTCGCCCGAGTCCGCAGCGCTGGCAGAGCAGGGTGCACTGCGCACCTCCAAGACGTCGTGGGCCACGCGCCTGGCGCACTCGGGCCTGGCACACGTCGGCGCCGTGCTGCCGGCCAGCACCGTCAGTGTGCGTGCCGTCGTCGTCGAGCACACAAAGGGCGCCATGGAGCGCATCGAGAAGAAAAAGCGGAGGAAAGGCTACAAGAAGACGATTGAGCACAAGCAGCCGTACACGCGCATCCGCGTCGATGAGATTGTGCTCGGACAGGGCGAGAATGCGTAATGTCACTCTGTAATGCTGACTGCAAGCGATGTGCGGTGCGCCTCGCTGCGGGAGGGGTGGTGCATTGCTCATGGCTATGCGCAGCCGGGGCACACGTGGAGCGTCTCGTGCACAAACGTGTCGCACTCGATGCAGAAGTGCTCGCCGCACGCCTCGCACGCATAGCGGCCCGTGGGCGAGACGTTCTCGCTCGAGACGGCAGCGGCGCGCGCAGCTGGCGTGTCAATCGCAAAGGGCGTCGAGCAGCCGTGGCACGTCGGCGAGACGTCCTCTGCTGCGTCGAGACTGCGGCGAGTGTCAGCATGAGGTGTCTTGCTTGTCGCTCGACGCGACACTCACTCGTCCCACTCGACGGGCGCGTAGTACGGCGTCGGGAAGAGGTGGTGGTAGGAGCGGGCCAGATGCGTGCTGAGCACAATGGTCATGCCGCAGATGGGGCAGTCGGTCGGCACGTCGCACACCTTTGCCTCGCAGCGCGGACAGACGAACGCCGTGCCGGACTTGATGCGTCCGTGGCAGGCGCACAGCGATGCCGGCGCCGCAGCAGGCAGACGCAGGGGAAAGGCCATGCACAGCAGATCGCCGCCATCTGGAGCCGCGTCCTCGGCCTGTGCGGGGTTGCGCTTGGGCGCCAGGATTTCGGGCGGCGCGACGGACTGGAAGAGAACATCGCGCAGATGGCCCTCGTTGAGCGCCACGGCAAACGTGCCGCCTGTGCGCACGGTGACGGTCTTGCAGACCTTGACCTCGGCGGCGAGACAGACCATGGACACACGGATGCGCTCCTCTGCGAGGGTGTCGATCGTCGTGTGGATGTTGGACGGATCGCATGTCGTCAGGGAGCCGAAGAGCACGAGGATCTCTCGCGAGGACGAGGCGGGCAAGTGACTGGACCTGGCGTGAGCACGAGGCGAGCTAGACTGCCGAGCCCACTCACGCGAGACTGCTGCGCGCCATCTCGAGCGCATTCTGCAGACTCGGCTCTCCCTTGGGCTCCAGACGCCGTGCGTTGGACAGCGCCGCAAGATGGTCCACCACGTTGCCTGCACTGCATGATGAGCAACGGCCGAGGCTCGCTCACGAGCTGCACTCACCGCCGAGAAGCCCGAGCCGCTCAGCAATGCCGTCTCGCGTGGCGATGATGCCGAGCTGGCCTATCGGATTCTGATCGAAGTACTCGGTGACGAACTCGCGAGCGTACTGGAGCGACAGTGCGTGCCTGGACGTTGCCGTCAGCAGGCGGGTCGAGTCTGACTGCCCGCGGACAACTCACCGATTTGGCCGCAGGTCCCGCTCTGACATGCTCTCGCTCAGGTCAAGCACGAGTACGAGATGGCGAATGATGCCGCGCTGCACCGCATAGGCTGGCGGTCTCGTTCTGCGGCAAGGCCTGTCAGCTCTGCGATCACCACCACCCATGCATCCTCGAAGTGGAGGTCGCCCTCAGCACCGCACCTGACCGGCCCACAACAGCCTTCTGACGCCGTACCGCATCCCAAGGCATGCCTTTCTCTACACTGCGCCCACTCACCGTCGCCGCTTACCCGCCTCCAACATGCCGCGCACCGTCGCCTCGAGGCCGCCCTCGCCATCCTCGCGCACGGCGTCCCAGCTGCGCTTAAACGTGGCCTCCCACGCATAGCCCGCATCCTTGCCCTTGCCCTTCTTCTTGGCCTTTGCGCCCGCAGCGACGGCTCCGCGAGTGCCTCGTGCCGCTCCGGCGGGCGCAGCTGCGGCAGAGGCGCCGGCAGCAGCGCCTCGCGAAGAAGACGCTGCGACGGCGCGCGAAGACGAAGGCAGCGGCGCGTCCGAGTCTGAGTCGGACGCCGAGTAGTCGGAGTCGCGGGCTGGCATGGCTGCCGCTGCGAGACCGTATGGCGAGCCTCGGGAATGCGGTGGTGGGCTGTTGTGGCAGGTGCCAAGCTGCCGACGTGGAGAGGCTGGGTGTGGTCATGCGACATGGCGCGCGGCGGCGGCGCTTCCAGGCCAGGGTCGCCGCAAGCCGTGCGCGCCTGCGGCTAGGACGAGGCGCTGCTGGCTGCACCCGTGCGCAGCGGCCGGTGCTGGCGCAACTCCACACGCGCTGCGCCGCATCTCGCTCCATGCATCCCACCTCCACCACCCCCCCTCTCTCCCCTCTCTCACTCTCATCACCCCACAATGAATCGTCTCTTCGGCTCGCGCGCCGCCGCCGCGCCCAAGCCGGGCCTGGCCGAGGCCATCGCCTCGACCGACGCGCGCGCCGAGGGCGTGCAGGCAAAGATCGACAAGCTCGACGTCGAGCTGGCCAAGTTTCGCGACCAGATGAAGAAGATGCGCGACGGGCCCGGAAAGGTGAGTGGGCTCTGAGGCAGCATCGGAGCAAGAGGAGAGGCGGTGACGAGAGGAGACTGTGAGGGGCTAAGAAGCACGTGCGAGGCGCGAGTGAGACAGACGGAGGCTGGGAGCAGAGGAGTGAGAGGCAGCAAGACGGCATCGAGCTGGGAAGCAATTCACGTCGAGGCCAGAGCTCAGTGCTCAGAGCTCTCGCGACATGTCGCTGCCAGCTGGCCCGCTGCTTCTGCGCCCACGGCAGCAGCGAAGCGAACGACAAAGCACAGCAGTTCTCCTGCTGCGCGTGACCCGCATTTCAGTCTTGCTCTGTGCTCGTAGGTAGTTGGCACGCGGAGGCGCAAAGCAGAGCAGCAGGCTCTGCTTGCTTTTGGGCAGAACAGGCGCGCTGGTGTAATCGCTGAGCGACGCAGGACGAGAGCGAGGGCCGGCGCGCGTCTTGGTCCATGCTGCTGTGGCGCAGGGGCGTGGAGATACAGAGCATGGCGTCCTGTCTCGGCCTGTCGCCTTGACGAGAATCCTGTGCGCTCGCATTCGTCGACGGCCTGCTTCAGCTGACACACTCTGCTCTCTCCAGACAGCGATCCAAACGCGCGCCATCCGCGTGCTGAAGCAAAAGCGTCTGTACGAAGCGCAAATCGCCACGCTTCAACAGCAGTCTTACAACATGGAGCAAGCGACGATGACGACTGAGAATCTGCGCAACACGATGGCGACGGTGGATGCGATGGGCGCGGCGAACAAGGAGATGAAGAAGACGTACGGCAAGATTGACATTGCCAAGATTGAGCGCACGCAGGACGAGATGGAGGACCTGATTGAGATGGCCAACGAGGTGCAGGAGAGCCTGGGGAGAGCGTATGGAGTGCCGGAGGAGGTGGATGAGAGTGAATTGCAGGCCGAGCTGGATGCTCTGTGAGTTTCGCAACCTGCCTCCCCCTCCAACTCTCTTACGTCCCGCTGCTGATGATTGCTTGGCACCTTTTCACAGCGCGGACGATCTGGGCGAGGAAGAGACGGAGACGCCGAGCTACCTCACGAGCGGCGCCTCGGAGCTGCCCGACCTGGCGGCGGCACCAAGTGCACTGCCGGAGATTGGAGGGAGCAAGGTGAGTTTATGCTTGCCTTTCAGACGGAGAGAAGAAAGGGGTGAGGAGGCAGTGGCTGCGGCGCCCTCTGTCTGCGCTGGTGCATGTCCGCTCTTTGCGCTCTGGTGGTGCTTCGAGCAGAGGCAAGAGCCTTGGCCTAGAGCGAGAGAAGCTCGGAAGCCACAAGAGGACGCGACACAGGCGCCTCTGCGTTATGCGGAGATCGCACGCTTCGCTGCCGTGCTGCCATGATGCGTGGCACCATGCCGCTCTCTTGCTGACTCTCCGACCCGGCCGAGCAGGAAGCGATGCGCGCTGCCTGAGCCCAAGTCTCTGCGCATGCCTCTCTCGCACGTCGCCTGCGTCGCGGTCAAGCTGCTCTCCGGGCGCGCCTCGGCAGCTGTGCCCTGTGTCGCTCTCTCTCTTCTCTCTCTCGCCAGGCCGCTTCGGACTCTGTGTTCCTGTATTCATTCTGGTCTTTCTGTGGGGTCTGCGTAATGACTAGTCACTCTTATGTTTCCCCATCTGGCTCCTCTGCTGCCGCAAGCTGAGGCAGCAGACCTCGGAGACCCGTGCGCTCGAGGCCTCCCCAGTCGGAGACCCACGGCGCGCACAAACAGGGGAAGAGCGTCTGTCTTTCAGTTTGTCCATCGCAGCGCGCATCTGACCAATTCTGGCTTCAGCGCCTTCCACGACGTCAGTCATGATGGCTGCAGGAAGAGGAGCTCGTTGCAGGACAGAGGCGGCGGCGGCGAGGCCGCGTGAGCCAGGGTCCGCGCGTCACGTGACGCGCGCCCGGAGAGAAATTTGGCGGCCGCGGCGAGCGCCATGGCGCGGGGACTGTGGCGCTGGCGGGCGTCTTCCTCCCCATCAACCCCACCCTTCTCCGTCAAGATGCGCATCAACCACTGCTTCTTCTGCTCGTCGCCCGTCTACCCGGGCAACGGCATCATGTTTGTGCGCAACGACGCCAAGCAGCTCAGTGCGTGTTGCTGTGGGCTTCCCTGGCGGGCGCGGCGCGGAGAGGCGCGCTCGGTCGCAGGGGCGCAGGGGAGGGCGAGACATGGCAGCATAGCTGACCACCCAGTGTATGCGCAGTCTTCTGCAAGTCCAAGTGCCACAAGAACTTCAAGATGAAGCGCAACCCGCGCAAGGTGCGCTGGACCAAGGCCTTCCGCAAGGCGGCGGGCAAGGAGATGACCGTGGTGAGTGCCGCTGGGGCGTGGCGACATGGGCAGTGCGAGGCGATGGCGGGTGCGGGCGGAGCGATGACAGGCAGGCAGAGCTGCAACAGAGCTGTCGGCCAAGAGGACAGGGCATCCGCAGCATGCATGGGGTCCGTTGGGTCGAGTGTGCCAGTCGGGCCGAGGCTGCCGCGCCACTCGCGCGCCGCTCGCTGGCCGCGCCTTGTATCTGGATGCACTCACTCTGGGCTGAGCGCGGCTGCGACCGAGCCTCATGCTGACGTCTCCCTCTGCTCAGGACTCGACGCTCGAGTTCGAGAAGCGTCGCAACGTGCCCGTGCGCTACTCTCGCGAGCTCATGGCCAACACGCTCAAGGCCATGTCTCGCATCGCCGAGATCCGCGCCCGGCGCGAGGCCGCCTTCTACCGCGCACGCATGCTCAAGGCAAAGGGCGGCGCAAGCGTGCGCAAGGAGAGAGATGTGCTGCTGGTGCACAAGAACAGACATCTGCAGAAGGCTCTCGGCGCGGAGAGGGAGCGCAATGCAAAGGAGGGAGAGAAGAGGGAGAAGATCAAGGTCGAGAACAGGCGGAGAAAGTCGGCGCTGGTGGCGGGCGAGGGCATGAGCATGTGAGTAGCTGGCCTTTGGTCGTTTCGGCGGATTGGAAGAGTGACGGCGGGAGGCAGAGTCAGGGGGCGGAACGTGGAGATGGAGCGGCCTCGGCTGCCGGCGAGGTGCTCTGCGCAGCAGTCCGCGATAGCTAGCATGCTGCAGCTCGACGCCGAGAATTCGGCTGGAACGGGGAGTGGCTGGCTGCCTCGACGGCTCGGCGTGAGGGAGGCGATCCCCACCTGCGGCAGAAGGCGTGAGCGGCCGGCCTTTGTGCCCTCGCTTCCGCCCTGCCTCAACGCTGCCTGGCAGACGAGCAGAGCGGGCCGGCTGAGGCTCCTCTGCATCTGCCCTCGCCTCTATGCCAGCGACCCAAGGTCATGCCGCTCACACCTCTTTCTCACCTCACAGGAGCATGGACACTGCCTAGACCTCATCCGCTGCCCCTCACGCCTTCTCGATGCCGCTCGACCCCGCCTGCTCGCTCAACCATGTACTTTTACCCTCGCCCATCTTCGGGCCCTCACCACCACATCCAGCCCCGCTTCACTTCTTGTTCCTCAGGTCTTCACGTCGCCCCACAAGCGTCAAATGTCAAAAGCTTCTCGTCTTGCCGCTTTGACACGTCGTGCGAGCACCGCTGATAAGGACGTTGTTGTGACGCTGTGCTCAGAGCGTGATGGGATATGTACAAGGCGGCGCGGCAATGGGTGGGCAGAATGTGGAAGAGGCGGGCATGGAAGAGACGGGACGGGTGACTAAGAAAGAGGCGCGAGGCAGCGGAGCGCACGGCGCTCAGGCCGAAGCGAGGCCGCAGATGGAGAGTTCCCGCATCTCTTGCAGCACGCCCTCGACCTGGACATGGCGGGTCTTCTGCGTCAGCTCTCTGCTTGCGCGCTCGCACGGCTCACGCCACGTGCCTCTTCACTCACCTGAGCATCGAGTTGTCCCTCCGCATACTCCTCGCGAATGCCCTCTGCAAAGTACCGCTGCACCGCGCCCATCTTCTCATATCCCTCCTCGGCGAAGCGCGCCTGCATGCGCACCATGGCCTCGAAACTGGGATCGAGGTAAGGGATGCGCAGCTCGAGCAGTTGAGGCAGCTCGGTGAGCAGCTGCTCGTTGATCGTCTCGAAGAGAAGACGCGCATCTTCCAGCTCCTTCTCGGCGCTGCAGACGGGGTGAGCGAGGAGAGAAGAGAGAGACGCAGAATGGACGCACCGAGGCAGCTTCATTGGATCGTCAGACGGCTTGTCGGCCAGCTTGCGGTGCCGCGTCCGTGCGGCGTCGTAGTCGAGCAGCTGGGAGTTAAGAGCCATGAGCATCTCCGCCTCTGCCTCGCTGCTTCTCTTGCTCTGCCGGCCTCACCTTCTTGTTCCGCTTCTCGATATTCCGGTTGATCTCGGGGAAGAAGGACGCGAGCTTGCCGATGGGCTCGAGCACTGTAGCCCGGTACGGCGCATCCAGCTCACGTGCGGTCTTGGCGTCCAGCTCCTCGACGGCACGCTTGTAGGCGTTGGCAGCCATAGCTGCGTCCGAGGCATCGCCATAGAACTCGTCCACCGTCGAAGCGATGCGCGCCTGTGCCGCCGCCAGAGCTGGAGAGACGTGATGCGTCAGCGAGAGGCAAAGAGGGAAGCACGTACGAAAGCGTGGCGCAAAGGCATGCAGGCCAAGACTCCACTGCTGGCACATCCAACGGAGGGGCGATGTAGCGCACGCAGCTCGACCACTCTCCGCTGCTCGACACCGCCGACTCGCTCGCCAGACCTGGCGGCGTGCGCACTGCGTAGCTGCAACAGTGATGCCCGCCTTACCCGCGCAGACAGGCACTGTCTCTCCCACCAAGCTCTTGCACCATCCGCCCCTGCGCCGCGGGCTGGTATCTGTCACACGCTTCCCACCGCTCGGACCCGCGCGGGACGGAGCGCCAACCACGACCCAGTGGGCGGCTGCTGGCGCGCTCTGTGGGCTGCCATCCGCTCGCCGCTGCTGCTGCTTCCACGCCTTCAAGTCTGCGGCGTAGTGGAGCGCAGCAGCGCTGACCACTCTGATTGCACGAGAGATGCCAATGCCGCGGTCGCTCCCGTCACGCCTTTCCGCTTGTGAGAATGCGCACGGCAGCGCGCAGCAGCGGCGGCCGGCAGCAACAGCAGCAGTGGTGGCGCCGGCCTAGCGCAAGCAGACACTCTGCGCCCTGGGAAATTGCTCCGCCTGCTCTCCATCTCGCCACACTCACATCGCACGGCGTCCAGATACGCCTTTGCCTCCTTCTGCAGCGCCAGCACCTCCTTCTCCAGTGCCCGATACCTGGCCTCGACGTCGGCAAACTCCGAGTCGACGGTGCGGTCCACCTGGCCCGTCTTCTGCATGATCGTCGTTCCCGTGCGCGCGATGGACTTCTTGAAGCCGCCCCAGGACATGATGGGCTGAGTGAGGGGGAGTAGGGAGAGGGGAGGAGGTGGAGGACAGGAGGATGCATCCCCACAGCCACGTTGCTTGGCCGGTGCGCCGCGCCCGCATCGGGAGACGTGCGCCGAGAGCAGCGTCACGTGCCGCGTGGGAGCAGCACCGCCTCGAAGTCGTCTGCGCGCCTCGGCCCTGTCTCGGCCTGCCGCTGCTTGCCTTCGCGCTTTGCTCTTGCCTCTGCTGCATGCCGCAAAAGCCACAAGCAGCTGTCCTCCGAGCATCGCTTCGACGATGGCCTTGCTCGTCAAGGCGCTGCGAAGCTGCTGCTGCTGCACCGTGTTCCGCCCAAGGAGAGGACGCTCGAGAACATGCGGCTTCCCCGTCATGCGGTGCGGCATGGCGGCCCGCGGCTTGTGGTCCGGCCGTTGGCGTGAGAGGGGCATGAAGGTCCTATCAAGCGCCGCATGGCACAACGGGCTCCTCGCTCAGCCGCTGCACCTTCTCTGCCAGCCGCACGCATCCACAGACCGACGGCAGGAGCATGAAGCACGCAGCACTCGTGTTCTCAAAGCTCCGAGCGATGCGATGCGCATGAGGAGGGTCCGAGAGAGAGGGAGAGCAGGAGGCGCGAGCTGCATGGAGCGAGCGCATCGAAGCGTTCCGCGGCGGGTCGCCGTAACTCCGCCCACCTGCCTTGGACCCCGTTTGGCGCCGAGGCTGCGTTCGAGACGTGCGGCGTGCGGCGCTTGGCCCGAGGAGCGCACCGCACCACGCGACTTCGCAGATGCGGAGCCGCGCGCCAGCCACGCACAGGACCCCGACGCAGCTGCACCTTGCGCGTTGTGCTTGGCTTGCGCCTCTGATGCTGCTGCTGCAACGCTGCGCTGTGCTGCATGCAGCATGCGCGCTGCATCTGCGCAGAAGGGGCTGAAAGGGACGCGGCCGAGGCAGGGAGCAAGGACGGGCAGCATCGGGTGGTGCCTCTCATGCGGCCCTGCAATCTCGAGCTACGCAGCGCTTAGCCCGGCCTGTCAGTCCGTGTCAGAGGCCCGAGAGGTGCAAGTGGTGCCACACCTGCAACCTCGCTTCTGACCACCACCCCCACCCCTCCTCCTCAAGCAGAATGGCCGACCATAAGCCACGCACCTCCCTCACCTCGGCCGGCGCAGGCGAGGTGCCGTTGGCAGTCGCAGCGCCCGCACCGCTCGCCGCCGCACACGAGGCGACGCAGAACCGCACGGGCGTCGTGGGCCGCGCAGTGGCGTTCTATTCGAGAGCCATAACGCAGGTCGGGCTGGTGGGCATGGTCTGCTTCCTCTGGTGAGTCGCGAATAGGGCGAGAGGGGCGACAAGGGAGATGGGCCGCGAGTCTGAGTGATATGCCGCGCGGTGGCTCGGGCGGAGAGGAGGCGGAGCGGGAGGGGCCTGGGAGCGAGGGCGCATGCAAACACAGAGACATGCACACGCCGATACTCGCACGCTCTGTGCTGGTGCACAGCTCAGGGTGGATAGCCCCCGCAGCAGTGCGAGCCAGCGCGGCCAAAGAGGGCGAGAGAGACGTAGGGCGAGAATACCAGGGCTTGGCGGCGGCGTGCCGGCTCGCTGATGCGCGTAAGAGACGCGTGTTGCTCTCGCGCCAGTGGCGCCATACGGACTCGCTCGACGTGCAGCTGACGCTTCCGACACTGTCTTGCCAGCCCGGGCATGTTCAACGCTCGTGAGTAGCGCTGCCGTTGCGCGCGCCAGAGGCCTGTGCGAGGTGCTGATCTGTGCGTGTGCTCCAGTGTCCGGCATTGGCGGCGGTGGCCAGGTGGACACGACGGTCAGCAGCAAGAGCAACACTGCGCTGGTGAGTTGTCCGCATCAATCGGGGCGTGATGCGCAGCAGCCCACTCATGTGTCGCGTCTGTCTGTCTCTCCTCAGTACGCGTGCTTTGCCGGCCTCTCCTTCTTCGCGGGCTCGATCCACAACCTGCTCGGCACCCGGCTGTGTCTGTTCATTGGCGCGTGCGGCTACTCGCTCTACGTGCGTATCTCATAGAAAGAGAGCGCGAGCTACGCTTCGGGGCTTCTCACTCACCCGCTTCGTCTTTGCAGATCGCGAGCTTCCTGAGCTACAACCACAACGCCAACGAGGGCTTCGTCGTGGCCGCCGGTGCTATTCTCGGCGTCTGCGCCAGTCTCTTTTGGACAGCGCAGGGCGCCATCATGCTCAGTGTGCGTGATGCGCTGAGCGCTGAAAGGCATGCGCTTCCGTCTGCCTCCGCTGACACGGCTTCACTGCAGTATCCGACGGAGCAGCAGAAGAGCGCCGCCTTCGCCCTCGTCTGGATCATCTTCAACCTCGGCGCGCTGATCGGCTCGGCCATCGAGATTGGCCTGACGTACAACTCCGAGTCCGAGTCGCTCAGCGACGCCGTGTACGCCGTCTTCCTGGTGCTCACCTTCCTCGGCGCGTGCCTCTCGCTCATGCTCAAGGCGCCCAGCACCGTGGTGCGCAGCAACGGCAGCAACGTCATTGTGCCGGTGCACTCGAGCTGGCAGCGCGAGTTCAAGGGCCTCTACCAGCTCCTGATCGCAGACCCCTGGATCCTCCTGCTCTTCCCGCTCTTCCTGAGCAGCAACTTTGCCTACACGTGGCAGCAGCAGATGTACAGTGCGTGTCGCTGTCGCACGACGTGAGGCTCTGAGCTAACGTCTCTTTCCCCCTCTCAGACGCCCAGCTCTTCACGCTGCGCGCCCGTTCGCTCAACTCGCTGCTCTACTGGGGCGCCCAGATGGTCGCTGCCTACCTCCTCTCCCTCGTGCTCGACTCGCCCAAGCTGCGCCGCCCCAAGCGCATGTGGGCCGGCTGGGCCATCGTCAATGTGTTCGTCTGGGTCGTCTTCGGCGCCTGCTACCACGTGCAGCGCGGCTACAACCGCGACAACGTGGCGTCGAGCCGCAGCCCGTTCCCGGTGGAGAAGCTGCAGCTCATCGACCTCAACACGATGCGCTTTGCCGGTCCTGCGACGCTCTACTTCTTCTCTGGCTTCATGGATGGTGCGCCACTGCTCTCGTGCGCCTTGACCTGCACCGCAGCTGACCTCTGATCCTCTCTGCGCAGCTCTGGTGCAGGGCTTCGCCTATGCACTCATGGGCGCCTTCTCCAACAAGATGGCCGTGCTCGCCTCGCTGTCGGGCTTCTACAAGTCGATCCAGTCTGCTGGTGGTGCCGCCGGCTTCGGCCTCGACACGGACCGTCGTCCCTTGTGCGTACGGCGGCATGCCTCTCTGCTGTCGTCTACGCATCCTGACGCTCTCTTCGCCGCAGCATGGCGACGCTGGCAGGCACGTGGGCCGTCTACGCCGCCGGCCTCATCTTCGCAGTGCCCGTGCTCATGTTCCGCATCACCGACCACACGACGGACGAGGAGGAGGAGCGTGCCGCGATTGCTGCTCAGACCGGCTCGGGCACCGCCTCGAGTGGCAGCGAGCAGGACAAGCGGAGCTCGCACGATGAGAAGAGTGAGGTGGCTTGAGCAGCAGCGCTGTCTCTGGCGCTGCGATGTGCAGGACCTCAGTGCTTCCGCCTTCACCCGTCACCCCTCGCTCGCTTCCCCCTCTTGCCTCGCTCCTCTTCCAGCGCAAGGCAGCTTATATACCTCTTGGACGCCGAGTCTTGCACTCGTCGCGCTTTGGCCTCGCACTCTCCTCTCTGTACCACCATCTCCGCTTCGTCTCTCACCCTTCTCCCCTCGCATAGCCTCCGCGCGCGCTGCGCTGGTCTTGCAAATGCGATGTACATCGGCCTGGCTTTAAGCGAGTCTGGCTATCGTCCAGCATGAGGACGCGTTACGGCCAGCTCACGCCGGAGCGGCGGGTGTCGAGACGGATGGGCGCCAAGGGGAGCAACAGCGTCGGCGTCTTGCAGGCTGTGCTCCCACGCCTCGCACCCCGTCACTCACAGACGCAGCGACCCTCCGCTTCTGGCGCAGCGCTCAGACGGGCAGGACGTGGCCCAAGCGTGCGTCCGAATGAGGCAGGTGACGCCGGCCGCTCCGGCCGAGAAGAGAGACGCGTCGACGCGTGAAGGGTGCGCGGCACTACGCCGAGAGCAACACCCTCTCAGCCAAGCCGAGCGCGCAGTCAACACGGCCGGGCGAGCCCCTGAGCCGGCTTCGGGCAGCTCGGCAGTGCTCGGCCCGCAGCTGATGCGCCATCGAAGGTCGAGTCGAGACGTGGCGCCGGTGGGCTGCCTTCTCGGACGTTCGCGGCACATGGGGACGGGCGTGCTTCTCGGGCTTGGCCAGCAGGGCAGCGTGTTGATAGCCGCGCCGTCGTGACGACGAGGGCGCCACACAGGCGCTGTCGCCTGTCGCTCAAAGAGGCCGCCCCCCGCTCGACGCCTGACCTGCCTCTTCCGCTCCTCGTCCCCCCTGCTCCCATCCCCGAACGAGCTGTCCCATCCGCCCAGCGCTCCTCGCCCCTCGCATTGGGCAGCACAGCCCCTCTTTCCCCTCGCTCGCTCCGCTCCGAGCTCAGCGCCGAGCTGGGCACAGCCATCCATGTCGCTCTCCGCCGGCTCGTCGCCTCGTCCGCGCGCCCGCGCCGCTCGTGGTCGTTCTCCTCTCTCGCCCTCGCCCCTCAATCTGCGCCCCTACGAGGCGCGCGAGAACTCGCCGCTGCGCCATCTCATCGATGCACCTTCTGGCAGCGGCCTCGGCCCTCGCTCTCGATCGCACCAGGCGCTGCAGCCGCTGAACTCGGCGCTCAACGTGCCCAACGCTGCAGTGGCGCAGGCTGGCAGTGGCGTGCGCGCGTCGTCGCCGTACAACGACTTCGTAGTGCGACCCGACGAGCCGTCATGCGGCGAGATCGCTCGAGCTCCGGCAGCTCCACCCGATGCAGCGCTGGCGAACGAGCTGCGCAGCCTCTCCACTGAGGTGCGCGGTGGCCAGGCCTACCAGGCGGCGCGCCACCAGGAGGTGATGGGGGTGCGTAGTCGACGTGCACCCTGCTCTGCGCCGCACAGACTGACTCGACTCTTACTCATGGCCGTAGGTGCTGCGACAGATCGCTGGCGGCATGATGGCCGCTCGCCAAGGTGCACCGCCTGCGACGTCGCTGCGGACACACCTCGGCATCGGTGCACCGCCTGCGCGCAGCGTGAGACACGGCACCTTTCGGGGCGATGTGGGCCGTCCACTGACCTTCTTTCGCAGAACTCGCTCGATGGGACGCAGCCTGTGTCGCCACAGGTCGCCATCACGCCGCCGACGCCCTTCAAGGCCTCTCGCTTCGCAACTCCTTCAAGTGCAGCGTCTGGTCCCTCTCTCTCCGGCCCAGCTCCAGCGACAGCCTCAACCTCGACAGCGCCAGGCCCTGCCTCGTCAGCCGAGCCAGCCTTCGCCATGTCGCAGCCGAGCGTCCGCATCTCCATCCTCACGCTGCTCGATGGCAGCCAGATCAGTCTGTGCATCTCGCGTTCCGACACGCCGACTCCGCTGCCTCAGAATGGCTCGATTGATCCGAAGGCGACGGACAATCGCAAATATCTCATTCCGACTGCAACGCTGCTGAGCTCGCTGCAGAAGACGTGAGTCTTGAGCCAGCGGCTTGGGTCTGCGCATCCAATTGCATGTACTGACAAGGATTTCGCGCAGCTATGACTTCGTGCTGAGCACGCGCAAGCCGGCGCCGGCGCAGCAGAACATGTCCACGCCGAGCACAGCGCCGGGCTACGCGACGATGCCGGGCCTGACGAAAGCCTCGCGACTGCGCAGCACCACACCGTCGACTTCGGAGGTCAGTCTGCTTGCCGTCTATCCGCTAGACTGAAAGCTCACGCATGCCTCTCAGCAGAGCACCGCCATCACCACGCCTCGCATCCTCGATCCTCCGGCTTCTTCCGCGCCTCAAGACGCAGAACGTCAGGCCAAGGAGCAAGCGCGTCAAGCTTCTCTCAAGCGCGCGGCCGAAGAGGAAGCCGTCATTGCGGCGACGACGGTCATCAAGCCCAAGACCTACAGCAAAGGCCGCCGCAGTCAGCCTCACGTAGGTGGACTCGAGACGGCGGGCCATCCCAAGCACACTCAGCCTGCCAAGGACGACGCTTCTCCAATCGGCTTCCGTTTGCAGTGGCCCGACTACGACAATCCCGAGACGTTGCTTCCTGCGCCTGTCGATCAGCACCTTCCGCCGTTCGATTCGACTCGCTCTCGCTCAGGCACGCCGCTGCCTCAGGCATCGACCTCGCAGCGCACAAAGCCTGGCCCGCTGTACAACGGCCATGCCACGATGCGTGTTCCGGTGACCACGAGCACGCGTCAAGTGTCCCTCGACAGCATGGCTCGAGCCTCTGAGCTTCTCTCCGAGCCAGCCACCTCGCCGCAGCAGCGCGAGGCATCCGCAGCGCCCACCGAGGTCGACATCTCCTCGCCTGAAGCCTCGGCCTCGGAGCTCCGCGAGGGCGCTCTGATCCGCGAACGCCTCATGGCTGCGCTTCGCGATGCAGGATATGACGAGATGAGCCACCATGACCGTGAAGAGCTGCTCATCTCGACGTGTCTGGCACAGCATCGAGGTGCGAAACGTCGCATGCTGCAGCTGCAGCGCAACAGCGAGACGGCGGCCAAGGAGACGAATGCAGCGCATGAGGCGGAGAGACGTGCGAATGCACTGGTGCAGCATCTGCAGCTTGAGGTGAGTGGCGCCTGCCTTGCCAACAAGCGCGCCAGACATGGATCACTGATGCTCGGCTACCTCTCCTCGCAGATGCAGCGCAAGCAGGAAGAAGCAGACGCTCGGCGTTCCACACTCGAGCGTCAGAACGCAGAGCTCCAGACGGAGCTGCAGCAGCTCCGTGCTCACGTGCAGCGCATCGACATGCACGCGATGCACGGCGACTACTTGCGTCGAGGACCCGAGAGCGGCGAGAACTCGCAAGAGACGTTCGGTGGCGACTCGACGGACCAGTCGACGCCGCAGCAGCAATTGCAGCAGCTGCAGCCGTCGCAACCGCAGCGCTATGGAACTCAACAGATGCTCTCGCCGCACGATCTCGGACCGCGGTCGGCGCTTGCTGCTGAGAGCAGCCCCAGCGAGGCCATGCGCGGCCTAGAGCCTGTGCCGCGCCCTAGCGCACAGCAGCGCTCGCTGTCACTGCAGACCGGACGCGACATGCAGGCGCTGTATGGCGCTTCCGCCAGCGGCGCAAGTCACGTCGAGCCGCTCCCGCAGCTGGCAGAGCTGGCGTTCCAGGAGCTCATGAACGCCAGCTCGCGCGCAAACGACGACATGGAGATGCAGCACTCGCCGACTACACCCGTCGGGGCGCAAGGCGACACCGCGTCGCAGATCGGCGCTCAGCACCAGCACTCGCAGCAGTTCCAGCACTTCCAGCAACAGCAGCAACAGCTGAGCGCCGAGCATGGCTCCCTTGGCGGCACGATCGCATCGCTCATCAACGGCACAAGCGAGTCACATGTGCGCACGGAGGCCAACGACATGCAGACGTGAGGCGCATCAGCAAGCGTCATGCGCGGCATACCGCCGTCCTCATGCCATCGAGCGCGCCATGCTGCGGCCCGGTTTCTTCCTGTTCCTCGGCCACTTTCTCCTCCTCCTCGAGTCACCTCTCCGCACTGTCGGTCCTTCACATCTTCCGCGTTCTGGCCTCGTCATCATCGCGATACCTCAGCTGTCAATGTCATCGGCTTAGTCGTGCGTTGTGGCGGCCCGGAACCCGCTCGCAAGCGTGGGAACAGAGCAGTGTCGCCGCGAACGCTCTGCTTTGCGGGCCGCTACTGGTGCGGTCGAGCAGAGGCACCATCACGACAGACGCGCGCGAGTTGAAGGTGAAATTGTGGAGCGCAGTGAGGGTCGCACGGAGGACATGAGGAGACAGAGAAGGAGCGACGCGAGCGACTGACATGATGTGGAGGTGACACAAGACGAGACGGGGAACACGGGTAATGATGAGGTGGCGCGCGAAGCAACAGGGAGCGTGGGAGGGTATAGGCGTCTCGCAGGGGCCGAGCGCTTGGCTTTTGCCGGTTTAAGACCTAGCGAGCGGCGAGAGAGCGCCACTGCTTGGCATCTTGCGCACGACGAGTCGCGGCATGTGCGTAGCAGCGACACCGCGGACATTGACGCGTACAGCCGTCGTGACGGTACCGACGCCAGTGCCGTTTCTGCGACGCACGAGCGAGGCAGGAGGGAGCGACGTGTCGTCAGAGAGATGCCGACGATGCGCACTCTCAAAGACGCCGGGTGAGGCACTGAAGGCGCAGGCGGAGTGAGGCGCTGCAGAGACTTGCGCGGAGGAGAGGTGCAGAGGAGGAGGTCGACGACGACGCAGAGGTTGCGCGGAGCAGGTGGATGGAAGAGGCAGAGGCTGTGGCTGCGAGAACACCAGTGCCGCCTTGTTGCGAGCGGGCAGCGAGAGCTCGAGACTGTCTCGAGGCAGCGAGCCTCTGCGCACTCCCAGCTGTGGCGGAAGGGGAGGCAGCATGGGCGCACTCGCGAGCGTCGGCGCCGAGACGGAAGTGCCAAAGGTGGCGCGCAGCGGAGAGCTGCCGAGCGTGGTGGCGATGGAGCGATGCGCAGGCATTGCCTCGTCCTCGTCGCACGCGAACGGAGAGACACCGCCGCGCCATGCGTCGATGAGCGTCTGGATGCGCTTCGTCATCGGGCTCTCTCCAGCTGCTGCCATAGAGTCCCGCTGCACCAGCTCTCGCACTCGTGTCGGAGTGCCAGCCTCGAATGTCTCGCCGCGCAGTCGGCGGATGCGAGCCTTTCTGCCTGTCCGCTCCAGGAGGCGCGCAGCTCCCTCGTTCAGCATGCACGTCGAAGAGAGACCGAAGAGGCTCGTAGAGCGCTGATGCGGCGACATGGAGAGACGGCGAGGCGAGGCTTGCGAGAGAAGAGGCGTGCTGGAAGAACAGGCGAGCACAGGAGAGGCTGGCACCGACTGCGAGCCGACCGGGTCCGCTGAGCGGGTGCGCGAGGAGAGCGACAAGATGAACGACCAAGAGTCGTCGCCGCTGATGTCCATCTCGTCTAGCACAGCAGTGAGGTCGGTTCTGCCCGCCTTCTCCTCGCTGCCCTCACATGTTTCCGCCAGATCTTCCACCCCTGCAACTTCCTCCTCGATTTCCGCCATCGGCTCGTCCACGCGCGGCGCCAGCATGCGTCGGGCAGCCATCATGGCCTCTTCCTGCGCCTGCAGAATGCCGCGGACGCTAGTCGCTGCAGCCGTCGGCGTGCGCTGCGGCACCTCGTCGTGCTGCATCGCAGTGTCGATCAGTTGAGGCGCGACGTCCTTCGGCGGCAGCGTCGGTGCCGGCGAAGACGGCAGCAGGCTGGCGAGAAAGGCCTCGCGCGAGCCAGCGACAGAGAAGTCAGAGGTCAGATCCATGGCGTTGCGGCGAGCATGCTTGCGTCGCGGCTTCGCCGCGGGCTCGAGAGAGATGCCGAGGCCCTCGAACGCGCTTTGCTCGTGGCTCTCGTTGCCCGTCGAGACGTGAGTGCGGCGCTTCAGAGGCGGAGTGCAGGGTGTGTTGAGAGTTGAGCAGCCGAGGCGGAAGGCCGCTAGACGAGCGACGTCATCGAGAGAGTCGAGGGACGGTGACAGTGTCTGCGTCTCGCTGAGAGAGTGACCGTCGACTGCGGTCAAGGAAGCAGCGAAAGCCTTCTCGAAGGGATCGACGTTGAGCTCGAGATCGGGCGAGCAGCAGGTGAGGTCGATGCTGGAGAAGGAGCCGCCGCCTGAGGCGCAGTCGAGCGGCGCCAGAGCGACAGCAGGGCTGAGAGGAGGCGAGATGGAACGGGCAGAGCCGGAGCGAGTGCGGCGAAGCGACGTGGCTGCCTCGCTGAGGCACGAGAGATCACTGGCGCGCGAACTTGTGGGCGACCAGTCACCATCGCTGCCGCTGAGACGCGAGGGTGGAGAGAAGGAGTGGGTGTTGAGGGGACTGAGAATCACTGAGAGCAGACAGAGATGTCAGCTGGGTGGTATGGTGGGATCGGTCGGTCTGGACGCACCGCGAGCGAGCTTGGCCTCGGACTCGTCGCTGTACCGAGCACGCCGCTGGTAGGTGAAAGGGTCGAGCGGAAGCATGACCTCGACGTCGTCGCTGTGCGAAGACTGCATGCTTGTGGTCAGGTGGGGAGGTTGAGGCGGAAGAGGAGCAGAGAGGGTGGGTGAGGGGCGTGCGGGTACGGCGCAGAGAGAGAGCAGAGAGGGGGTAGGATGCGCAGAGAGGCAGTGCGGTGCGAGTGAGGCAGAGAGAGCGTGTGTGTGTTGCGGCAGAGGAGGGGCAAGGTGGCTACGGAGGAGAGGCGACGGCGAGAGGTGGAGGTAGCGAAGGAGGCTGGAGTGCAGCGTGTGAGAGGTGAGACACTGTGTGGCGAGCTGACTCGAGCGAGGACGGCACCGGCTACTTGTAGGCACCTGCGCCTGTGTGAGAGCGAGACCTGCCAGATGGAGGCAAGGGCCAGACCCGCCTGCCAAGTCGGGCGCAGCGAGGCGTAGCCGCGGCCAGCGTGCGTGCCATGCCCGCGCATGTCTGCGCCTCGCCCACGCCACCACCGCATTCCACCTCATGCTGACTCCTCTCTGAGCAGCTCCGTGCATGCCTGGTGGCGGCGCTTCTAGAACGGGCTGTCCACGCCCGCGCGAGGAGCGGGTGCGGAGAGATCCACGGCGACATCGCCCCGACGCGCGCGTGTTTGCAGCAGACGCGCCGCGCCGCCCGAGAAGCGCAGCAACTGGCCCGATGAGGCAGGCGAGCAAGCGCAGCCGTTGCAGGGTGCAGCGCCCGGCGTCCGAGCGAGCCGTCGAGATGCACCGGCTGCTGCGAGAGCGTGAGATGCCGCATGTGCTGAGCTTCGCGGTGCCGCGCTGACCTTCGCTTGGCACATCGCGCCTCCCTCTCTCCGCACCTCGCTGGCTGAGCCGGCCCCACAGTGGCGCGCGCGTGCCGTGGCGTGCGAAAGCTCGGGCCCGAGGAGCCACCTGCGATGCGACGCGGGCCTTTTCGGGCGTTGGCAGCGCAACATGAGAGAGGAGAGGAGGCGGAGGAGGCCTCATGCTGCGAATTTGAAAGCGCAGCGCGTGCGGAGGCCCGATGGTCAGGCCCGAGGCAGCGCTGCGGCTCCGCTACGCCCACCTTCGGAGCCCGAGCCGTGGCTGCGGCTAGCCCCACATGGGAGCTGCGCCTTCATGCTGCTGCATTGTACTCCAGAATCTGCCGTACTGCGCGCTGCGCCTGCGGCGTCGAGTGACATGCTCTCTGTCCAAGCTCGAGGCGCGGACAGCGGCGGAAGATGGCGGAGTGGCAGCGAGCGAGCTTGGCAGACACCCACGCGCGCCCCGCCCCGCGGGTCCAGGCCTTCGAAATTAGCCGAGCTCCGCCATTCTCGTGCTTCGACTGCGCCCGCTCAGACGCTCACTCCGCCTCGCCGCGGCTATCAGAGGCTGCTGAAGCATGAAGCATGGTCTGAGCACCACGCTGCCGGGTACACAGAGCGCAGTTGCCCGCCTGCAGAGGCAGCAGGCGCAGGCAGGGCGTGCGAAGCGCAGCCACTCGAGTCAGCCAATTTACCCGGGCCCCGCCCTTGCGCGACCCTCCGAGCCCTCGCTCAAGCTCCATCACCATCGCCAAATGCAGGCCTTGAGGCTCGTGCTCAGGCTAAGTCAGCTCAACCTTGCGAGGAGGAAGTGCAGCCGCGCAGGCCGCATGTACGGCAGCGACTTCTCCATCGTGAACTGAGTCAGACGTGGACTGGAAGCGATTGCGCCCCGGGCCGCATGGCGCGTTCAGGGACCTGGTAGCGCTCCTCGGCTTCCCTTCATCTCTTCTCTCCTCATCTGAAGCGTCTGATCGGTCCATGAAGGTCTCTTCGTGATTTTAAGCGCAAAGATAGCCCTTCACAAGGTCGCTCGCGCAGCCCGTTCCAGCTCGATGCAAGCGAGGATGCAACACCGGCGCGTCTCGCTCTCGCACCCGCGCACCAAGCGAGGCGACGCTGGCTCGAGAGCGTCACGACCGAGCCTCTCCGCCAAGCTAGAGCCGACCCTCGGCACAGTGATTGACTCTTTGTCCTCAAGATCGTCCGTCATGTGACCAGACGAGCTCTGCATCCTCACAGCGGACGACAAGCCGATCACGGCCGATGACCCTCTCGTTCTCGTAGCTTCAGGCGCCTGTCAGGACACGACTGTCGTCCGAGCGCAAGATCTCGCGCTGCGTACGGATGCGTGAGTGCATCGCAAAGTGCAGCGCTCGCTGATGTGTCCTCTCGACTGCGCTGCGCCATCAACCGGCAGGAACCCTTTGCCCGCTTGAGTCTCGCTGGAAAGCGGAGGGCCGCCAGAATCGAAGGACGTGGCTTCGCCTAGGGTCTCGTCGCGCGGCAGAAGCATCGAAGGCAGCGTAGCGTGCAGACGAGGCTCCACGCATCGAAGGAAGCGATGCGCGATGGGAACGAGTCCGACCGGCTGCCGCACTCGCCGCAGAGGCAGCAGCCATGCGACGCTCACACGCTGCAGAGGTACGCAGATCCGAGCGAAGCAAGAGCGAGGCGAGAAGGACTGACTCCGCTCGCCTGTCCAAAGCTTGGCGGGCCAGCGACATCGCTCAAGGCTAGCCAGCCGCTCAGCCGCGCTCAAGCACGCAGGGTCGCAAGCGGAGCGATCCGGCGCTCGGTCGGCAGCGGCATCAGAGCGTGCGCGGCAGGAGAGGAGCAGGCAGAGCCGAGTGCCATCCGTCTGCGCCGCGCTCATCTGCGCTGCAGTCTGAGGGGTGCCGCTGCGCCAACGGAGCGGCGATGCGAACGGCCACATGGGAGCTCTCATGCGGCGAGCCAGATCTCGCAGCTCGAGGGGCCTCGAGATGGAGCGAGCCGAGATACTCCGGACCCCGCTCCGCCCACGGCATGCCTTGCGCGCTGCGCAGCGCCACACGCGCAGCGCCGAGCCCTGCGCGCTGCAGAGAAGAGGGACGCGGGCGTCATCGCGCCGCAGGCCCTCGGAACCTCGCCTGCTGTGCTCCTCTCCCGACTGCATGCTGCCATCGCGAACCTGCGGCTCACCGACTCGCCGCTGCCGGGCCTTCCGTCGGCTCGGAAAGCCAGGGCACGCAGCCGCAGCGGCTGCCGCCTGCGAGATCTGGAGCGACGCATCGGCTGGTACACCCTCCGCTGCCGCAGCAATCCGAGGCCCTCCGTCTGCTGCCGACGCACGAGCACGTCTGCTGCTGGAGGACGGCGACTCGGGCTTCAGGATCGACGTCGTCGCAACAGCGAGCGGCAGAACGATGGGCCTCGTAGGCATGTGAGACGACTGCTGAGCTGACCGCGAGACGAGCGTCAGCCACTCCTGAGCGGCAGGCGCCATCGGGATGCAGCGTTCTTGTCTAGCGCCTACGCTTCCAACCCTGCGAGAGGGTGCAGATGTGCGGCCCTACGGTGGAGACATGGAGGCGCTTCGCTCTGAGGGCAGGATGCTCGACGTCGTCCACTCGTCCCTGGGCGCTGGCTTGTCCGCGTGCGCATGTCGCAGCGTCGCATACACCCGGTGCGGAGCCCGGAGGGCGCTGACAGCACGGTCCAACGCTCGTCGCTGCCGGAGGGCATACCCAGCAGTGCACGCAGCGATGCATGACATGAAAGGACGCCATGGGACAGTCAGCGCCGCGTGAGTGCGCCGCGCTGACGACGTGCTGGTTTGCGAGGCGCACGAGGAGCACCGTGAGCCCGTGGCCCGCGAGGCATGAGACGAAGCGGCAGGCGGCAGCAACAGCAGCGCGACGCTCCGCAGGGTGCTCCAAGGGCGGAGAGATGGCGGAGCGGCCCCGAGCCGGCGAGTGGGGGAGGTTGCTGCTGCCGCTGCCGCGAGGCGAGGCGCCGGGCCTGCTGCGTCTTGAATCGAATGGGCGCCGCGAGAGGGCGAGTATGCCGACGGCAGAGCGGCAGGCGCATGCCGCATCGTGGAGCTCCGCCCGAGGAGGTGAAGACGAGGCGCTCCGCGGCTCTCGCGCCCGCTCGGCAGCCGAGTGGGCGCAGGGGCAGCACTTCAGCCGCCACAAAGAGCGACGCGTGATGGCGGGGGGCGCAGAGTGCCCTCGCATGACGCCGGCGCAGCGCCTGTGTACCTCGCAGGCACACAGCCGCGGGCGGCAGTGCGGCGCGAGGCCAGCATCAACGCGTGCAGCTGCGCCGCCTCGCCTCGCGCGGAACCGCGTGACCGGCGCAGGCCCGGTGCCTCTCCGCCGCTGCGGCGGCATCAGAACAGAAGGCGGCAGGCAGAGCGCTGCAGCCTCAGCGCAAGTCGGCGTCGCCGCCCGCCGCACTTCGCCGCCTGGGTGCTGCCGCCCGCTGCACTGCCGCCCCTCGCCGCCGTCGCCGCGCTGCTGCCGGCGGGCTCTCGTTCAAGCGGCGCGCGGAGGCAGGCACCTCGCGCGCGGCCTGCATGCGATGCCGCCCTCGCGCGGGCGCGCCCCTCGGTGGGTGTGCGGCAGGCGGCGCAGCGCACGCCGGCGACACCCGCAGAGTAAGAGTGCAGCAGCGCACACACGGCAGGCCGGCACGAGGCCGCGGCCCGCGCCGCGTCGCCTGAGAGCGGCGCTGCGCCGCTGCCACCGCTGCCGCAAGCCGCACCGACAGCGAGTGACGGCCAGCGCAGGTCGGCCCATCGCTGCTCCCAGCCTCCATTCCTCGCGCGCACCCCTCTCGCCTGCGCACCCACACCACACACTCTCGCTCACACACTCTCACACACCACACGCGCTCCCTGCGCATCCTCCTCGCACCGTGCTGCGTCTGCCACCGAGCTCGCACGCGGCAGCCCGGCGAAACACCACCTCGGACTGCGCCTAGAGGGCTGCGCGCTCCTCTCTTCGCGCCCCTCGCGCCCCCTGCGCGCCATGATGCCCGCAGCCGCCGCCTTCGTCGCGGCGGCCTCGAGCTGCGACGCTGCGTCTGGCGCCTCAGCGGCGGTCGCCAGCACGTCGTACTTGCCGGCGCAGCGTCGCGCCCCCTCGGCGCGCGCAGCGTCGGCCTCGCCCCCGCCGCCACCGCAGCCGCGCGCCGCAGACTGCAGTGCCGCCGCACGGCCACGCCGGCGACGGAGGCAAGGCCTCGTTGCTACTCTGCCGGCTGCTCTGCTCGTCGCGTCCGTCCTCGTCGTCGGACCGCTCTCGCTGCTGCCGCGCGCCGCAGCCGTGCCGGCGCCGCGGGGCGGGCTGCAGGCGCTGTCCGGCGCCGCCACTGCCGCACCCGCGCAGGCACACGGCGCCGCCGACCAGATGATGTGGCACGCTGCGTTCTCTGGTGCGGACAGCACATCACCGAGAGATGTGCTGCGAGAGCCGCCCGACCGCGGCAGGGCTGCTTTGGCGGATGGGACGGGCGGTCACGCCGACGCGCTGCTCTACCACAATGGAGCACAGGTCGTCATGGAGGGCGGACGGCGCATTGTCTCTCTCGATGGCGATGCGTGGCCATTGGCGAAGGGCGATGCGCCAACAGCGCCTCCTCGTGCGTCTCGGCCCGACGTGTATGCCGGTGAGCAGTCTCCGCCGCCGACGCGCACGATCCAGCGACGTGCACTCTTCGCCACGTCGTCCAACGGGCGCGCCTACGTGCCGTCTGCGTTCCCGTCGCAGCTGGCGTCGAGCTGGCAGCCGGTAGACCGGTCGGTATGGTTCCAGAAGAAGGCCGTCATCATCACGTCGATCTTTCTCGCCATCTTCATCGTGCTGTGCATTGGCGCCGCCGTCTTCCTGCGCGACCGCGCCGACGACGACGAGGACCTGTACGACGAAGACCTGGACGCAGACGACATGGCTATCGAGCGCATGCGCGAGGAGCGTCTCATGCGCAGCGCTGGCCGCGGGCCGCAAGATGGCGGCGAGGGTCTGAGCGAGGAGAAGCGCGGCTGGCGCCGACGGCGCAAGGCGGCAAAGACGGACCGGTCACACAAGCTGGAGAAGGAGGAGAGCTTCGGCAGCAAGGACCGCGCCTCGGGCAACAGCTCGGCCATGCGTCACGGCCGCACCGTGGCACGTTGGGTGCGTGCGCCTGTGCAGCGCCTCGGCGCCGGTCGGCGACGCAGCGACACGACGACGGAAGGCGCAGAGGCCGACGATGAGCACGATGCACGCTCGGTCAACACCGGCGGTGCAGCGCGTCGTCGCACCCGCAGCGGCGTCTACCCGCGTCTCGGCGATGGCGAGGAGCGCGTCGAGGTGCAGTACGATGACGCCTCACCGACTACGGAGCAGAGCCCACCGTTGGAAGCCTCTGCAGCAGACTCGCGACCGTCGATGCCCGACGCTGTCGCTTCGACGGACTCTGGGATCACGAGCGGAACCGCTGTCACGGCGGACCGTTTGTCTGCTCAGCCAGCCGCCTCGCGGGCACTCGACGACTCGGACTTCGACGCGGCAGAGGCGGCCGAGGCTGGTGCACTCGAGGGCCTGCCACCGGCTTACATCCCTGGTCGCTCGAGCGTCTCTGGTCCGTCGGGCGCTGCTGCGCGACCGCTTGCTGGCTCGGAGGCTCCGCCGCCACCCATGCTCGATCCGGCGCTTGCGGGCCGTGGTGCCGTGCCAGATGCCAAGCGTGCCGACGGCGCCATGGTCTCGACGGTGCCCGGCTCATCTCAACGGCCAGACGCCGAGATCATTGGTGCGCTGCTCGACGCCGACGCTGATCCCTTCGCCGCCTCGTCTGGCAGCCGCACGTTGTCGGACACGCGCACGCCTGCTCAGCGCTACGCCGCGCACGTTGCGACGGACGACAAGACGCTCTTGTCGGCCATGCGTGCTGCAGCTTCTGCACCTGCCCCGTCGGCTCCGGGCTACGCTGGCTCTGCGGCTGGCACGAGTGGCGATGCGCAGCTCGATGCGGGTCCGTCTGCGCCTTCGCTCGAGGGTGTGCTGGGCTCGACGGAAGCGACCGAGAATGACTTTGGTCCTTCGCTGCCAGCGTCCGAATATCGCGACGTGCCGCGCGAGAAGGGCAAGGGCAGTCAACTGCCGCCACCTCCAGCACGTGCCTCACCGACACCGGCGCCTTTCTCGCGCTTCGACGAGCCGTATGCGCGCAGCGAGTGGGCACCGAGCGCCATGCGCGTGCTGGACTCGCCCAGTGCACCGCTCTTCGAGCGCACCGCCACCGACGGCAGCGTCGTCAGCGCCACTGCTCCCCTGCTTTCGGGTCACGAGGTGCCCTCAGCTCCGCCAAGCCAGACCGCGGCAGCCCCGGCGCCCGATGCAGGCGCGGCACGCCGAGCGGAAAAGAGACGCGAGGCAGAGGCTGAAGCGGCATTGGTCGCCAGCAGCCCGGCCGACTTTGCTCAGGCTCTGCCGGCCTACGAGCGCGGAGAGCAGCGGCGAGCCTCGACTTCGACGGCCGTGCTTGCGCCGCTCACGCCGGCAACGGCCTCGGCGCCGGATGCGCAACTGCTCGAGGAAGAAGAGGCGAGGCATGCGCAGAACCTCCGCGGCGCATCGCACTCGGATGGACCGTCCGCCGAGGCAGCAAATGCTCCTGTGCCAACCGTCGCCACCGCTCCCGCACCTTCGGCGCCTCCCGCACCGTCTGCACCTCCGCTCGACTTCGACTCCTGATCTTCCAGTCCCCTCCTCACGTCGTCTTCTACGCACTTCTCTCTCTCTCTCTCTCTCACGTGTTCCTTCCTTGTTCTCCGCGCCGCTGCGTCCACTCTCACTCCAGCATACTTCCCTCCTCTCTCTCACGCCCGACTCGGCTCCACCTCTTCCTCACCCACATCTGTACTTCTACCACTGCACGCTGCTTGTTCGTCCGACAGGCTCTACTCGTCACCCCCTCCTCTTTCCTCTCTGTGCTCACCATACGCCGCCGCCGCTCCCGCTAGAGCAATCGCATCTGGGCACCGAGCTGCCTTTACCTGTGCATCACTTGTCTGCAGCGTGCTTCGCTGCGATGGAGACACACGAGCACCTCAGCAGCCGTGGCGGCGAACGAGGGCGCCACGCGTGTGCAACCAGGCGTCAATGGCGACGCTGGGGACTCGCGGAGACTCTCGGCTGCCTTCAGGCGATGCACAGCATGCGGAGGCCCACTGACATCTGATTGAGAGACTGCCGGGTGAGGAGAGCGAGACAGCGTGGGCCGGAGGGGTGAGTACGCGCAGCCGCGCCGCGCACTTGCGTGCTGGCGACAGCGCTTGCGATCGCAAGAGGGCAGAGAAGAGTGGGACAGCCGATGACGAGAGTTGAGACAAAGGGGTGGCGCAGAAGACAGAGACCTGGCGCAAGAGGGGTATGGCCCGAATAGAGCGGCGTAGAGAGAGAGAGGTGAGAGGGGTGGGTGTACACGTGGGAGAGGTGACTTTGGACAGCTTCGAGCAGATCGGACATAAACCACGATCGGTGACGGCGCAATCCTGGGCACTATAAGAGGAGAGTGGGCAGAAAGTTAGACGGGCGAGAAGGTGGTAAAGAGTAGAGCGGACGAGAGAGATAGAAAGACAGACAGAGACGGAGCGCAGAAGGAGACAGGGGACGCGACGAGCCTGGGCCAGAAGCTCGACTTCGGCCCAGATGCGGGTGACGTTTACGCCAGTGGAGACGCGCAGAAGAGGTCGGGAATGCTGAAGTCGAGTCGGATCGTGCCGATGAGGGCAGGAGGCAAAGATCGGTGACGCATGGAGAGGAAGAGAGGCGAGTAGCGTGTTCGCTCAGCGATGGCGGTAGTGGTCCGGCGCCGAGCCGTCAGCCGCAGAGGGCATGCTTGCGGCCGGCATGCCGCCTACGAGGTGGCCGTACGAGCCGGTGTCGGAGAGAGGAGCACCGGAGGGGAGCATGCCGCTGTGCGAGTGGCCGTGCGAATGGGAGTGCGAGTGTGCGTACTGCGAGTGCGCATGCTGCTGCGAGGCGTGACCGCCGGCGCCACCGCCACTGCTGGTCGGTGCTCCGAGGTGGTGAGGCAGAGGAGGCAGCTGCGTCGAAGAAGAAGGCGGCGGCTGAGAGAGCACGGCGTCACGCATGTACGCCGATGCACCGATGCCCGACGTCGCAGGATGGCAGCGTGCACTGTGCTTGAACCAGCCGCTAAAGTCGCGCTTGCGCTTCGCCGTGCAGATCCTGGGAGAGGCCACCAGATCAGTTCGCGGCTCACGCAAGGGGCAGCGAGACTACTTACTGAATCCACTTGCTGCACGAGTGACACAGACCCTCGGTCGTGCCGACCGAGTCGGCGTAGCAGCGCAGCTTGAGGGGCGGCAGGAAGACGAGGCCCGAGGTAGGGCTGATGCCGTGCGTGCCGCGGACGTGATACCCTGCGAGCGGAGCAGATCGGTCAGCGCTACTGCAACAAGTGCCGCAGCAGCACGGCGTGATCAGCTCACAGTACTGGCTGTTCTTGAGCTGCATCCAGCCTCCGTTAGGACACTTGTCGCACCACGCCTCTCTCGCATTGCCCGTGCCTCGCACCCAGGTGGGCGTGTAGAGATCTCCCTTGAAGCGCAGCTTGTCGCGCTGTTGGCGCGGCAGACGCTCCTCCTGCTGCTCGTCCGGCACGTCAAAGTCGGCCGGCGGCGGCTCCAGGGCCGTGCGAGGCATGGCCTCGGCGCTGGGGTAGTGCACGTCTGGCGCGGACGAGTTGGCGAGTGCACGCAGCACGATCTTGTCCGTCAGGTGCGATGGCGCAAAGGACGGAGGCGCCGGCGTCGACGTGGCACCAGCCGGGCGGCCTGAAGCACCAGTGCCGCTGCCCATGATGGGCGGACTGCGCAGGGCCGAAGAGGCACTGTTGGCGCGGTAGCGCGCCACGCTGGCGTCGACGCTTGTGGAGCCGAAGTAGCCGCCTCCGCCGCTGGAAGTCGACGTCGTGCTGCTGCCAGCATACGGCGACGTCTGATCCGGCGGCGCATACACGCCCTGCGCTGCGCCGCCAAGGTCAGGCATGCGGTACTCGCCACCGCTGCTCGAGCCCGTCTGCGGACGGCGCGGAGCCGCCGACGCCGGCACGCCGTACGGCGCAAAGCGACGTGCCTGCGAGGCGCCCTGCTGCTGCATCGAGCCGCTGGAAGTGCCGCGGTAGGAGTTGCTGCGGCTGGGACTCATGGGTCGCTGCTGCTCATCGTCCACCGAAGAGCCCCACTGCTCGCGCTGGTGCATCTGCGGCGAGGCGTACATGCCGCCGGCGTACATCTGGCCGTTGCTGCCCGGCGAAGCACCGTAGCGAGGGCCCGGCGGAGGCTCCTGCAGCGTCTGAGCCCTTCGGCGCGTCAGATCGGCCTGCGGAGCGCCCATGCTCTCCGAGCCTTCGTGTGCGCGTCCGGGACCGCCTGCAGAGCCAGGCGCATGCATGTAGAGCGAAGAGCTGGCGCCGTAGCTGCTGCTCGTCTGCGGCGGGCCCATGCTCATGTACGCGCCGTAGTCTGCGCCGGCGCCGGACGAGCCTGCGCCTGCACCCATCTCGCCGCCAGCGCCGGGCACGGGCCGCGCGCCCGCGCTGGCTGCGGCAAAGGAGGGCGATCCGTGCACGCTGGCCGAGTTCGGCTGTTGCTGCTGCTGTTGCTGCTGCTGCTGTTGCGGGGGAGCATCGTAGCTGGACCAGCCGCCCGAGGGCGAGCGGCCGTGGTGGTAGGGCAGGCCAGACGGGTACATGCTGCTGGGCTCGCTGGCCGCGCCGCCGTCGGAGCTGTCGCGGGAGAGCGTGTATGCGCGGTGCGGGTCGTGCGCGTCAGAGAGGCGCGCCTGCTGCGGCTGCGGCTGCTGCTGGTAGTGCTGCTGCTCGCTCGAGAAGGAGGAGAGCGGCGCGAAGGAGGAGTACGCTGCCGATGAGGCGTAAGAGGGCGTCTCGAGCTCGGTGCGCGGGCGCTGGCGGTCCACGACGGCGGAGTGCGGCTGCTGGTGCTGCGGCGGCTGCTGCGAGTGCTCGAGGCCGTTGGCGGGCGCAGAGGGGTAGGAGGCCGCCGATTGCGGGTGCCACGAGGAGGCGAGCGTGTCGAGACTGGATTCGCCTGAGCCTGCGGCTCTGGGCATAGTCGCTCAGACGCCCAGCGAGAGGTGATGGCGCTGCGAGAGCGGGCAAGCGGTGCGGCGCACGAGCGGCGCTGCTCAGAAGGCAGGGACGACGAAGCTGCCCAGGGGGCAAGAGGAGTGCTGCGGCGGAGGCGAGAGCGGCGCGGCGTGCACAGGCAAGCACGGCAAGGTATGCGGGGAACCGGTGCGCAAGGGCCGGACACGGAGGCGGGGGCGGGTGCGGCGACGTGGGGTATGGGAGAGGGGGGTATGGCGGCAAGAGGGTAGGCCCAGAGGGATGCCCGCGAGGGCGGGACGGCCGACGGCGAACGAGCGAGCGAGCGGCACGCAAGGCAGCGCGGGGAGCAGGCTCAGGTCAGACCCACGGGGGGCGCACACGGCGGGCGTGGCGAGAGCAGCACAGCAGCGGGAGCGGTCACAGCGCAGGCACAGCACAGCGCAGCAGCAACCAAGGGCGGGAACAGCTGCAGGTGCAGGCTGAGGGCTGGCCCAGCGATGCGCCTGAGGGCTGCGAGCCCCGAGCGCCGAGGTGCCCATGCGCGTCGCAGCGCCCGGGGCAGCGCAGCGCAGCGACGCGGCCGGTGCGGACATGCGGACGGCGCCTGGCGCTCTCTCACACAGGCTCTCACGGCCAGGCGGGGGCCGGACGGAGCGGGAGCGTGCGAGCGGCGCATGGCGCGCGGCCCATGCACGGCCGCCGAGTCAGCGTGGTGCGGGAAGCGGCAGGCGGATGCGCCGCAGCGGCGAGGGGCAGCTGCAGCTCCAGCTCCAGCGCCGTCCTTGACCCCTCTCTCCTGCGCTGTCGCAGCGCAGGCACCTCGGCCGCACCGAAGCACGCCTGCACGTCGTGCGGCCGCGGAGTGCGGAGCAGCCGCAGCAGCGCGTGTGAGCGGCGAGACGGGCCGGGCACGGCGTCTGTGTCGGCCATGCGCTGCAGGCACAAGGGCATGCCCGTGGCGCCAAAGGCCCATCGCGCCGTCGAGGTGCCGCGCGCGAGTCGCTGCCGCTGCCTCCCTCCGCTTCGAAGCGCAGTCGGCTCCGCTGCACGGCACACTCAGCGCTCAGACTTGAGCCGCAGAAACCCAGCGATGCACCACGATGCGACAAGCGCAGCGCAGCACCAAGGCAAGTGCAGCGCGGCGAGCTCGGAGCGTGTGCGCCCGCAGTAAGAGTCCCGAGCGCGTCGCGTCTTGTCCGCGCGCGCATGCGCGATCGTCGGCGGCTCGGCCAGCAACGTCGCCGTGCTGCTGCGCGGCCGCCTCCCGCCGCAACGTGAAGGCGGGAGCACGAGGTGAGTCGTGCCGTTGCTCGTCAAGGCCGTGTGCCTCCTCGCCGAGCACGGGGCGCCAACGCCGAGGCTCCGAACCGTCAGCACACGGCGCTCGCGATCCACCTCACGGGGTGCGGTGCGGCTGCGGACGCAGGCACGGCGACGGCGGTAATCACGAGCGGCCCACCCACGCGCGCGGCACGCCACAGAAAGCCTCTCGCATCGGCCATCGCAGCAACTGCAGCGTCGCAGCGTGCAGCGTGCAGCCGCAGGCAGCAGCGTGGTCCTCCCAGGGCCGTTGCGTGCCGCTGTGCCTGCATGCGCCGCGTGCACAAGCACAAGACGAAGCCGCCGTCGGCACGGCTGCGCGCGGCGGCGGCTCTGACGCTGATGCGCCCAAGGCGACGGCGACGGCACCCGCAGGCCGGGGCGGCCGCGCGGGGGGAGGAAGGCGACGGCCCAACCCTGCGTCTGGCGTGCTGCAAGAAGGGAGCCGGGACTTGCTCTGCTCTCGCGCCTGCACCCTGCAGCGCGCAAGCACGCCGTGTGGCAGATCGCAGGCAGATGCAGGGCAGGTGCCGCCGCGCCAGCGCCGACCCGCTCTCCAAGCACCGCGGAGGGATGCAGCCACCGTCCCTGCGAGCGCTCACGCGCCTCTCCTGCACGCGACGCTGCGGCTTTGCTCTTGTGCTGCGTGCGCGTCCTGCGCCATGCTCCTCTGCAGGCCCCAGCGCAGGCGGCGCTCGGCGCTACTCCTGCGCTCGAGGCTGCGCTGCGATAAAGTCGTGCCGTGCGGAGGGACTGCGGTGCCGGCATCCGGGAGGCGGCCAAGCAGCCGCTCACAGCGTCGCAGGCTGCTCAGCCGCGGCGTTGACATCCCGCCCGCAGCGGCCAGCCGCAGCATCGGCGCCCTCGCGCAGCCCGCAGAGCCGCAGCTGCAGGCGTCCGGCCTCCGCTCTGACGCCCGCCCAACTCCCGCCGCCTCGCACTCCCTCCGCGCGACACGGCCCGGCACAGCGTCACTGGGCGCGCTCCGGGTGCGGACGCCGCACAAAGTTCGCCCTGCGCCGTGCGTCTGCGGTCCCGTAGGGTTCAGATTGTAGGCGCGCATCCCCGCACCCGCACAAGAGCGTGCTCGTGGCTGCAGCGGGCATGAGCTGCCGGCTGTGCTGTGTCGCCTGCGCCCATGACCGCGTCCTGCATGGCGATGGGAGGCGGTCCGCGCAAAGGCGTGCTCGAGCGAGGCTGAGCAGCCGGCGGCCTCTAGCACCAGCGTCGGTCTGTGCAGCATGCCTGAGTCAGCGATGGGCAGCGCCTCGGTGCCTGCATGGAGGAGGAGGGGCTCAGATTGCCCTGTGTGCCGCTCGCTGGCCCGCGCTCCGGCAGCGCTGCGATGCCGACGGGAAGCGCTCTGCGAGCTTCATCCACCCGCGCCGCTGCCCATGTGGTCTCCTCTCCGAACGCATTTTCGCTCCATTCGCATGCGCCGCGAAGGCGGCAGCAGCGCACCTGCGGCTGTGGCATGGCAGCAGCGGTGCCCCCAGGCGCGGCCCATAGCGCAGAGCGGCGGCGGTAGCGTCGGAGGGACGCCGAGCCCCGAGGCACCGACGACGCTACCTACGCGCTTCGCTCGCGTCCGCTCCCGTGCCCTCTTTCCAGTCTAGTCTGAGTCGCGCTACCGCACCGGCATCGTCGGGCTCGCCGGCGCATTGCAGCAGCGCCAGAGTTGCGCCGCAAGCCATCTGGCCAGAGCGCAGAGCGCAGGCGTGTGAGACGGGCGCCTTTGTCCTCCCGCCAGCGACGCCTGGTGCGCAGTGCAGCTCATGCAGGCAAGCTGCCTCGCCTTCTCCATGCCAGCTCGCACACGCAGGGCGAGATCCTCCGGCACGCGGCCATCGCGCATGCCTCTGCAGGGCAGCAGCTGTGCCGTGCCCGTCGCTGTCCCGCTGCCGCTGCACATCTCCCCGATGGAGGGATCCGGTGCCACTGCACGGGACGGTCGTGCTCCGCGAGGGCTGCTCCTGCCGACGCCTCGTTTCCTGCCCTGCCTGCGTAGGCCCTCGCCATCGCGCAAGCGCTCACATGCAGGCCGCGTCACAGCACCTGCGCACGCCGCTGACACGTTGCTCCAGTCTGGATTTCCATTTGGCGCTCATGCGTCAAAGCAAGCAAAGTGGCCGAGCGAGCCCGACGGAGGGGCCAGCGGACCTCAATGTCCTGCGCCCTGCGCGCATCGGCCCGCGTGCCGGCGTAAGGCAAGCGAAGCGAGCCGGCGAAACACGACGGCAGCGCTGCGAGCGGCGGCCAAGCTCGCCGGCGCAAGAGGCACCAGGAGCGACACAAGCAAGAGGAGGACGCTGCAGCTGTCGGCGCTGCCGCCGTCCGTTGTACCGTGCGCCGTGCGCCGTGCTGCGCGCTTGCGGAGGCTTCTCGGCTGCGAGCAGGCGAGTGCTTCGCGCTTGTGCTGGCCGTGCGGCTGCGCTGCCGACACAAGGGGCAAACGGCGGCGCAAGCGTGGCGCGTCGCCGCCGACGGCGAGCGATCCGTTGTTCTGGGCGAGCATCAGCGCCGCAACCTCTGGCTCGACGCCGTCGGGAGCGTCAAGGGAGGCAGATTTGATCCGGCCGCCTGCTGCTGCATCGTCTTGTTTGCCTCGGCTACCTGTCGTCTCGGCCGCAACGTCTGCGCGAGAGCCACCGACTCTGCGAGCCGAGCCCATCACGCGCATGGCTGCTTCCCTTGCGCTCGGCACCGCGCTCGCCTCCTGCGCAAGCTCCGATGCCACCGGGCATGCGCACCTCTCCCTCATGCCCTCGTCTTCTCTCCGCTCGAGCCGCTGCACAGCCATCGGCATCGACGAGGGTCGAGTGTGGGAATGCGCGCACGACGCGCGCCAATCGGCGCTCCTGACCCTCCTGCTCGGGGCGTGGAAGCCGAGCTGCGGCACCCGACGCCTCGCATGAGGCGGACACGGCGGCGGAGTCGGCACATCTTCGCGCCTAGCGCCGCCCCTTGCGAAGGCGTCTGCATCGCCCGCAGAATAGCAAGCCGGCGTTCGGCCACCTCGGCTCGCCGTAGCGGCAGCACTCACTGCCCCCACGACAGAGCGAGTCAGCAGCGGAGGGTATGCGTGTGATTAAGATAGAAATGGGCGAGTCGGAAGGAGAGCGGACATGCCGGTACGTGCGCGCGTGGATGGGCCAGCTCGCCCGACCTTTTCACCGCCGCACGACGGCGAGCACAAGATCCCAGCGGCCGGCAATGGCGCCCTTGATCTCGATGAGGCGACGCAGCTCTCGCCACGCCACGCTGTTCGACGTCAGCGCGCCGCCATGCTGGCCGTCGAGCATGCGGCGAATCTCCAGCGCGGCCGCCTCGCCCGTCGCATCGCTGCCGCCCTGCGGCGACGTGAGGATGAAGTCGGCGGGCGAGAGGAGCGCGCGTACGAGGCTGCCAAGCAGGAACGCAATGAGCACCGCAAGCACCAGCGTGGCGAAGCTGAACTGCTTGGCGAGCAGCGACCGCACAGCCGCAGACGCAGTCGTGTTGGCGTTGCTCGAGAGCGCAGACATCGAGCCGGGAATGCTGCCGAGAGCAGCAGCCGTGGCGCTGGCTGCATCGGCGCCCAGCGAGGCGGCAGAGGAGCCAGTGCCCGCTCCGGCCGCCGCCTTCTTGCTGTCTGAGCCCTCGGCGGCGTCGCCCGTCGACGTCGACACGCTGCCACCGCGCTTCGAGAGAATGCCACCGCTCGCGTTTGTCGTCGTCACGGCCGTCGAGGCACCGAGCCGCGAGAGAGGGTACGCGTTGAGGATGCCCATCAGCTGTGCGCTCGTGGACGTCTGCTCCGGCACCTGCACAGACAGGGGTGAGCGAAGCACTGGCTGGCGGTGCAGCACCGCACCACGCACCTTCGGCTTCGCCGCGCTCTTGCTTGTGTGGGCGGTGGGCGTAGGCGGGCCATTCTTGGCGTCGAGAGCTTCCTGGTGCTGGTCCGCCCCGACGTCCGAGGCAGCCGTGGCAATCGATGCCTTGCGCTGCTCCGGGTCTGCCTTGAGCGAGAGCGTGGCAGCAACAGCGCGCTTCAGCTGCGCAGGGAGCCGGTCGTCCGAGGACGGCGAGGCCGGCGTGGCCGACGTGGGTGTCTTGTCCTTCCGCATGGCCGGAACACTGTGAGGCGACGAATGTCAGAGTCCGTCACTCCAACGGGCAAGACCACACTCACCGTTCCAGCTGAGCATACTTGACCTCGCGCTCGCTCTCGCGCTGCAGCATGGCCGACGTCTGATTCACGTGCACGACCTCGAGACGCTGGCCGTCGCAGTGTGCCGGCACTTGCTGCGAGTCGATGTCTTCAGCGTTGGGCGCGGATGCCGCTTCGCTGCCAACCTGCGGCGAGTTCGGCAGCGATGCCTCGGCGCCGTGTGGCCGGATGCGCACGCGCAGCAGCGCACCTCGCCGCCGCAAGTCATGGTACCACTGCGGCGCCTCGGTCGGCGCGCTGCCGCTGAGGAAGCCGCGATGGCCCTCGAGGAAGGAGGCAGTGGGGAGAGCAATGCGAACGAGATGACGCCGGGGCCGCGCTGAGGGGTCGAGTGTGGCGGCGAGCACGGCGGAAGGCGGCAGGTCGTAGCTCATCACGAGATGCGGCAGGTCCTTGGTGCCCTCACGTGCGCCCTCGAGGGACAGCAGCGCACGCGATGCGTCGGAAGCGGCGGATGCGGCGGGTGCAGCGTCCTTCTTGTCGCCGTCTTGCGATTGACCGTCTTGAGGACCCTTGTCTTTCTCGCTCTGGGGCGGCACCGGCGGCGTGTCGTGACCGAACTCTGACGTGACGACGATCTCGTAGCCCTTGGCGTAGTGGCGTAGCTCGACCTCAATGTCGATCAGCGTGACGTCGCGCGGCTTTCGCGTCTCTGCGCGGACAGCCGACGGGCGGACTGTACGCAGCACGGATGCCGTGGGTGTGACGAAGGAGCCGGTGCTGCGAATTGAGCTGACGCTCGTGGCGCGCGAGATGCCCGTGCTTGCCGCCGCCGTCAGCGTATCGCCAAAGGCCGGCATCGTAGACAGGGCCGTCTGTGCCGCGCCCTTGGTTGTCGATGCATTCGAGATGGCAGGCTGGCGCGAGGACGGAAAGGGAATGCCGCCTGCAGCAGCACTCTCGGAAGCTTCGGCGGCAGGCTTGCGGCGCTCGTGCTCCGCATCGACCTTGACGAGCACGTCCAGCACGCGGTCGCTCGGCGTGAAGGCGCTCGAGAGCAGCGTGCAGTTGCGTGCGCCTCGGTGGTCGTCGTAGTCCCACACCAGGCCGGTGTCTTCGTCTCTGCCGTCGCCCAGCACACGCATGCAGCCCGGCGGCACACGCACAGCGGGAATGGCGCCGCGCGTCTTGATGTACTCCTCCACGGCGATGATGCTGCGCGGCAGATTGGCGTTCCAGAGCGTGTTGACTGCCAGCGGCAGGCTGCCGGCGTAGTCGATGGCCACGACGTGCGTGCAGCGTGTCGAAGGGATAGGGTAGTTGAGCGTCGAGCTGTACGGGTCCAGCGTTTCGAGAATCCAGCCGTCGATGAGCACGCGGCCCATGGGCAGTGCTCCCGGGTTGAGCTTGCTCATGGGGAACGTGGCGTGGCGCTCGGGGAACGAGGCCGAGGCGTGGAAGTACACTGCGGGGCTGAGGCCCGACGATGCAGCGACGTCCGAGCTCGTGCCGTCGGCCGCTGCGGGCGTCGAGCGAGCCGTGATGCTGGCGAGCGTAAAGGCGCGCCCCCGAAAGGGAAACGCGCCTTTTGTCGTGAGGAAGCCAGTGACGGCGCCGTTGCCGAAGCTCTCGAGCTGCGTGGCCGTCTCGATGCGGTCGTCCCACTGCTTGCGGCAGCTGAGCGTCGAGACGGCATTGCAGATGTCTTCGGCCGTGAGGCCCTCAACGACCTTGTCGCCGCGCTGCACCACGATGGTGCTCGAGATCGACTGCATCTGCTTGCGCCGCACGTAGAGCCCGCCGCGCGTCGCCACCAGTCCCCAGCCGGCTGGCGTGCCGGCAGGATCCGGGCTGCGCTCGGCGTGGATGCGCCGCAGGAGGAAGAGCACGTCGAGGGCGCACGTCATTGGCTGGCGCGGCCGCTCGTCGGAGAAGAAGTCGTTGGCGCTGGGCGTCGAGCCTTCAGGCCGCTCAGCACGCGCCGTCACGCCGTCGCCGGCCTCGAGCGGCGGAGGCGAGCCCACACGTGCGAGGAGCCCGCCGGCCGACGAGGCGTCGGCGCTGGACGCGGCAGAAGAGCCGTCCGGCTTGAGCGTTGCACGCGTGGTGGCCAGATCGAGCGGAATACGTCGTGGCTTCGTGCGCTTGCGGTCGCGCAGCATGGCCGCCTCTCCCTCCTTGAGCTCGTCGACGTCGACCTTGAGGCGCGCGCCATTGACGAGCACGACGCCCTTCTCCTTGGTCGAGACCATCTTGCGCACCGTGACGCGCGCCACATCGTCCTCGAGGCTAGCAGGCACGTGCTCGATGGTGAGCCAGAGGCCGCTGCCACCTTGGCTGAGCTTGTGCCGCCGCAGACAGCTGACATTGATGGGCGGAGGGTCGACGACGAGATCCAGCGAGTTCGACCACGTCTCGACATCGCAGCGCAGCTCGCACTCGACGTTGTTCGAGTAGCTCAGACTGCTGGTCTCGCTGCCAGAGGGCGCCGATGTCGGATTCAGCTCGTACTCCAGCCGGTAGACTGCCTTCTCGCTGTCGTAGCGCGCGACCTTTGTGCGCGCTCCGAGTAGGCGAGTGGCGATTGGCGGACCTCCGCTCTTGATGGCAAAGTCGCCAACGCCTGCCACGGCAGCCGTCATGAGTGCCGGGATGGCGCTCTTGCTGGTCCAGCCGCCCGGATCGCTCTGCTCGATGAGCGTAATGTGCACCGTTGTGGGACTGAGCGCCTCGACGCTCCAGCCGCGCAGATCGACCTTGGTGCGGATCGTGCCGGCTGCAGGCGCGGGAATCGTGGGAAAGAATGCCCGGTCGTCCGTCGAGAAGGAGAAGACGTGCACCGAGGCGGGCGACTTGTACGACGTCTCAACAGTCACTGCGTCTCGCGCACTGAGTCAGGCAGTCCTGTCAGCACATCCTGCCACAGGTGCGCATGCGAATGCAACACTCACCTGACTGGCCACGCAGCGCGAGTCTTCGTCCACCACAGCCGGCTAGCATCGCCCGCGTCCTCGAGGAGCTGAGCGTCCTCAATCGACTTGTCCCAGTGCATCTGAGCGCCGGGCGTCGAGATGGTGCTGAAGAGGTCCCACACGCCGACACCCACGAACGTGGCCTCCGCACGATAGACGACAAGCGTAGGATCGATGCTGTCGAGCTGCGTGACAGTGACGCCTCGGCTGTCGCTGATCTGCTTCCACTTCGCCTCGGGCTCCTGCAGCAGCGAGGTGAAGTAGATGTAGTTGCGGCGCACTAGCGATGCCAACGCCGCAGACCTGTCCGGCGGAGGTCGTTGCGCGCTGCCGCTCTGCGCGCCGAGCTGAGGCGTAGAGGAGCGCTGTTGTTGCGCGTCGCTGGCGTCGCGCAACGACGTGGCGCTGGCGCGCGAGCTGACGGAACGGATGCTGACGCCCGAGATGGAGGCGGCGTCGTCCAGCAGCACGGCCGGCGAGCTCGGCACGCCGAGAAGCGTCGATATGGGCGGCCGAGGCTCCAGACCAGCCTCGACCTCCTCAATGCCAAACGGCTCGTCGTTGAGCCGCAGTCGCACCTCAGAGCTGGCCGCAATGCGCTGCGCCGAGACCTGCACGCGCACACTCTCGTCTGAGCCCGTCAGCTTGCTGTGCTTGAGACGCAGGATGACCTGGCTGGACGAGGTGCCGGAGTTGGCGTTGGTGCGGCGGAAGGCGGTCGCAGCCCAGTCGGACGAAGAGCCGGGCGCCAGAGCGAGCGCCTTGACGTCCACGCGCACGTCCCAGCCTTCCTCTGCCGGCAGGCTCCACTCGGCGCTCGTGAGCAGTGCGCGACGCGATCGCAGACGATCGAGGCGCTCCGGGTCCTTCTCTGCCTCTTCTTGCGCGTGCTGTGCCTCGTCGTCCTCCGGCAAGACTTGGTATGCCGTGACGAGCGTGTCGCGCGACGGGTCGAAGGCACGCGTGAGCACCTCGATGGCAGTCCCGTAGTCGTTGAGGTGCGGGATGCGCGAGGCCGACGTGCGCACGTGGTCCACCAGCGACGAGAGGAGCGTCGGGAGCTGTCCGCCCAGGCCACCAGCGGGCATGCCGAGCCATGCGCCTCGCAGGTCCCACGACCAGAAGAGCGTGATGCGCAGCGTCTGCCGATCGCTCGACGCAGAACTCGCAATGCTGCGAGCGGGATCCGACGTCGAGAGAGAGCTTCCCGCGTCGCCGGAGAGCTGCACGCACCACGCGAAGAGATTCACGTGGGATCGCACGTACGGCGGTGCCGGCCGCAGGTAAGCCGGCGCGTCAGGCGAGCGAGGCAGCGAGGTAGAGATGTCGAGCAGCGTGCTGTCGTCGCTGAGCATCTGCGAGATTGTGATGGCATCGCGCGGACTGGCGGGCCAGCCGAGCTTGAAGTTCGTCTTGCTGATGCGCGTGTGCGGCTCGAGCAGCTCGATGAGCTCTGCGTCTTCCACCATGCGGTCCCCTGCATCGCGCCGCACTCATCTCAGCAATTACGCCCACGGCAGTAAGCACAAGCGGCACTCACAGCTGGACCGACACTCTGGATTCGCCAACGACCCCTTGAACACGTCCAGATCCGGCGTGCCATCGAAGTGCACCTCTGCCGTCGCACGGAAGATGTCTGCACTACTGGGCATGCCCAGCGCCTTGCCTCCCGATCGCCGGTGCACCACCACGGACGTCGGATCGAGCGCATGCAGCACGAATGGACCGCTGCTCTGCGTCTGCGTCTGCGCCTGTGGCTGCGCTTGAGACTGCGCAGAAGAGGAGAGCGCCATGCTGCTGCTTGCCGTGGACATGTCTACGCGAGGAGGCGCTGGAAAGCCAGAGTCATAGGAGACGCTCGCAGGAAAGCCAGGGATGCTACCTCTCTTTGGCGTTGCCGAGCGGCGTGCCAACGAGCCAGGTGCGGGGCTGGGCACCTTGCGTACGCTGCCGCTGCTCGGACCAGCGATGACTGAGCCAGGCGCAGCCAGCGTGCTGCCTGACGAGGCGCCGAGCGTGCCGGCGCCGCCGGGTGCTGGCAACACGGGCCGCCAGCTCTTGGATGTCGCTTGCGCATGCGAACAGAGCGTGCGGAACGTCGAGAGCGAGGCTTGCAGCGCGGACGACCACTGCGCCTTGGAGCTGCGCAAGACACGGAGTCTGTGAGCCAGGAGTGCAACTGCGGTGCACACGGGCGCTGCAACTCACTTTGCCAGCGTGGGGCCGTCCATGGCGAACGAGAAGGCGCTGGGAGCAGCAGATCGATGCCCGCAGCGAGAAAGCCAACGTCAGAATGCCGAGCCAGCACAGAGCGAGCTGTGCAGCGGCCGCAGCGACGAAGCGAATGTCGCAGCTGGGCGGTGCGGCGCAGAGGCGTGCGAGTGCGCGCAGTGCCCGCGAGAGAGGCGCAGTTCCGTTGAGCTGGCGCAGGTGTGGAGGCGCAGCAGGGCGCAGAGTGTCGGGCGAGGTGCGCGGCGGCGGCGGCAGAGTGCACGCCCGACGCACAAGCGGCAGACCTGGAGACGAAGAGAGAAGCGGCGCGCGCAGAGGTGCCGCGGCTCGGTGCTGCGAGCGAGGGGATGGTGGAGAGGGAGAAGGACGGCGCCGGCGTCGGCGTTGGGGCGCCGTGTGATGTGCGCGGCCGTCGGAGCGCGGAGCTCGTTTGGCCCGTGCAGCGTGCCGCGGCACGGCAAGCTCCCCCACAGACACCGCACGTGGCACCTCACTAGACTCTGCATGACGAGCACAGGCAGGCTCGCGCAGCCTCTTGCCCTCTCTCGTCGCAGCAGGCACCGTCGAGCCAGGGATCGAGCCGTCGAATTGCCAACACGGACGCAGTGGACTGCGGTTCGGCTGGCACTCTACTGCCCCGCACTCCAAGTCAGTCAGGCGCGCCTCAGGGGCACAGCAGATCGCACAGCAGATCGTTCAGGGTGCAGAGGAAGAGCTCCTCCTGCTCGCCAGCACGGCTCGTGAGACAACAGGGCGAGTGCAGAGCGAGCTGCGCACAACACCCGCGCGGGGCCGAAGCCGGAAGCAAGCGTGCTGCTGAAAGCTGTGTGCCTCAATACAAGACTCATCACCTCACCATCTCTCGCCACCACACAGACAAGGCCACACGCAGCGCCGCACTGCTGCAGCCCACGCACGACACAGGCTGCGTGAGGCATTGGGAGACTAGGGAGATCCAGAGAAGAGGCACAGACTCAATCTCTCCCCCTGCCCGACGCTGCACCTCGAGAGGCACAGCAGAGGACTCGGCCGCGAATGATGTGGGAGGCATCAGAGGCGAGACGATGGGGGGATGATGGGGAGACATTGGCAGATGCGCAAGCGTCACAGCTCTGCGGCGAAGGGGCATTCTATTCTCGCGCTCCCTCTCTTGAGCTTTGGCAGCGCTTGGCCATGCTGCGCGTGCTTCTCTCTTACGTCGAGGCTCGTCGTGTCTTTCTGCCCTTTGGGCCTCCCGCACCCGTCGCCGCCGTGCCAGCAGCAGGCCGCTTGCGCCGCTTGCCGCTGTCAAAGGCGTTGGCCGAGGGCAGATCGCGGCCTAATGGGTCTTCCGGCTTGACTTGGTAGATGCGCACCTGCGGGAGGAGAGACGTGAGCTGAGGCACAGGCAATGAGGGACCGCGAGGCGCGACTCACGATCCAGTTGGAGCTGGTAAACGCCTCGTCGAGCACATCGAGCGTCGGGCCCGTCGTGGCGGCGGCCGTGCCGCGCACGCGGTCCATGCCGGGCCGGCCGCCGTAGAGCTCGTTGAAGCGGTAGTAGCTCATCTTGTACATGAGGCTCTCGCGCATCGTCTTTGACGCCTCGTCGTCAATCTTGAACTGGCCGTTGGCGGTGAAGAAGTCGGCCTCCTTGATCTCGTCGGGCCAGATGCCCTGCGAGATGCGGATCATCCACAGGAACTTGTTGATGTCGTCGCCCGAGTAGCCGAGCAGGCCGCCGAAGATGATGAGGATGTAGTCGACGTCGTGCTGGCGCAGGATGGGCAGCGCCTTGTCCTCCGGCGACGACATGGCCTTGCCGACGGTGGCAATGTGCGTGTTGTTCCACGTGTTGTTGTCGACGAGCGTGGGGCGCTGAGAAGCGAAGGATGCCAGGTCAGCAGCGCGGACGATGCGCGACACCCGGGCTACTCACGTCTGCCATGCCCGAGATCTGGTAGCCATAGTCCCACCACGACATGACCTTCGCGTCGCTCTTCGTGTTCTGTCTCAGCCAGTAGTACGCCTCGCGGAAGTCGTCGATGATGTGCTGCGAGCCGTCGGGGTTGCGGCTCGAGAGGACGACCGAGGGGCTCGAGTATGCCGTCGACGTCACGAACGTGCAGTGCAGCACAAAGATGAGCAGCAAGACGAGCGTGTAGACGCTGACGAGCGCGCGCGTGTCGAGCCCGTACACGCCGCGAGACTCGCGCCCGGTCTTGAAGGCTTGCACCTTGGAGGGCGCAGCGTCCGGCGTCTGGATGTCGCCGAGTGCAGCGTTTGCAGCTTGCTGTTGCGCCGTCGGTGCGGCACCGTGCTGCGTCGGCGGCGGCACCGCGGCGCCCTTGGTCTTCTTGCCGCCGCTGGCTGCCGGTCCGCGAGCTGCGATCTTGCCGGCGTCGCCGATCGCGGCTGCCGAGAGCGCCTCTGCCTGTTCCTCGGCGCTGTCCGGCTCTTGCGGGTCGAGGTACGTGTCGAGCAGCGTCGAGATGGCCACTGCCGCACTCACGCACACGACGGGCGTGAGCGTGAGCATGAGGCGCACCATGACGCCCGCGAAGTAGGAAGCCATGACGGCGTAGAGAATGACGAACACGTGCTCGTCGCGCAGCTCGCGGAAGAGCAGGTAGACGCCGGCGGGGAAGAGGAAGATGAGCATCTCGAGGTCGAAGAAGAACGCAGGCCACGCGGGCGGCTGGTGCTCGGAGACGGAGGCAATGATGGGAATGTGCTTCTTGGCGTAGCCCGTGTCCCAGAGCGAATAGAAGCGTCCAGTCCAGGGCGCAACGTAGCCGGCATAGGTGAGCGCCACGAGGCCGGAAAACGCAATGCCAAAGATCGTCACGACGAAGCCAAAGAGGAACACCTTGAACTGCCGAGACGGAATGTGCGAGCGCACGAGCTCGGCAAAGGCGACGAGCTGCAGCAGGCCAAAGACGCCTGGGGGAGAGGGCGTGTGAGCAAGGCGAGCGGCGATGAGAGGAGCAGGTCGGGCCCGCGACGCCATCTCTTCTACGCTCTGTACCCCCCTGCGCCACGATGTCATCCTCCTAGTGTGCTTCGACTCACCGAGCGCTGCCATGTGCTCGCTAGAGCGCATCGGCTGGAACCCCACGAACGGCACCTGCATACTCGCCAGCGTTCCGACCGCGTACCAGCTGCTGTACGCCACGTATGCGCGGTTCGAGTAGCGTCCCATGCACAGCAGGGCAAAGACGTGCAGCGGGATGAGGTTCGTGATGAACACGTAGCCTCCCCATGCGGCGACCATGTAGAAGTAGAAGAGCGCACAGACGGTGCCCCACAGGGCCGAGCCGTCCTTGAGCGCCTTGATCCAGAGGTAGAAGGTGATCATGAGCAGGAAGATCGCAATCGCCTCGTTGTCGTACGAGCCGGCGACGGAACGAGAGATGTAGCCTGAGAAAGGGAACGAGGTGTCAGCTGCGTGCCTCTGGCAGTGTCCAGCTCGGCGCTGCACAGCGACATGACACGCTCAGCAGCGACATGAACGCCCTGCGATGTCCAGCACCAGCCATATAGCAGCCCGCACTCACCAGGCGCGATGCCGATGAACGCAGCCGCCAGCAGTCCCGCGGCATCATCCTTCATCGTCGCCGTAAACATGTACGTGGCCCACGCCGTCAGGCCCGAGAAGCCCGGCGCGAGGAGCACGCAGATGTTGCGAATGTCGACGGGCAGATTGATGGCCTTGAGGAAGTTGTGGATCGCGCCCGACGTGGCCATGAGGCCCGGGTAGAGAGTGCCACCGGCGGCGCGGCCGAGAGGGTACCACTGCGTGAACAGGCCGCCGGGTCAGCAGAGGGAGGGGCAGCGGGTGAGTGAGAGGCACACGCACAGCAGTGGGGTCGAACCAGTTCCAGAAACGGTAGTAGCCATCGCTGGTGAGCACCTTTGTGGCGCGGAAGTTGACTGCGAAGCAAGCCGGATCAGTGTCGGCGCGTGTGCGCGCACCTCTCTCGCAGCAGACGTACACCACGGATCAAACTGCCGTACGCGCTTCCTGTCAGCCGCTTCGCGCTTTGCATGTGGCGCAGCGACGCACCTCGTGGATGATGCTCTCATGCCGAATGACGGCGAACAGGCGGCTGGAGATGGCACTGCCGGCAATGGTGAGGATGATGACGATGCGCAGCAGCGACACGATGTTCGCCGTCGTCTCGGTCGAGAGCAGCGGCAGACGGTACGCCAGACCCATGCTGGGCCACACGTAGGGAGTGTGCGGAGAGGGCGAGGGGACGGCGTGGTGGTGAGCGGGGCGCGAGCGTGAGGGTGAGGTCCGACCTTCCAGGGTGGCTCGACCGCGCCCCCGTGGCACGTGACGCGGCCGTGGGCGGACCTCGAACTATCTCTCTGGCGGCCGCGCAGCGCCAGCGCATCAACGGCATGCGCGCCTCCGCAGCGCCTCGCTCATGCCGCTCTTGCGCTGCATTCGGCAGCAGCAAGAAGATGCAGATGGGAGCTGCGCATCTGCAGACGGGCGCAGGACAGGAAGAACAAAAGGAGCAGCGATCAAGACAAAAGTGAGGCTGCCAGTGTGCGAAAAGGCGCTGTGGGAGCCAAGAGGCCGCGGCTGCGTGAGGACGCGCGAGTCAGAGTGTGCCCATCGCGCCTTGTCCTGCATGCCATGCCGTGCCCTTGGGCGTGGTCTCCCCATGGACAAAGCCAGGCGTGAGCGTCTGGTCTGGGCTGTGAGCGGTACGCAGCCATGCAACGGCGCAGCGCCGTCGCGAGCCAGACCAGCGCCGAGAGCACGCCAGCGGGCGGCGCGGCATGCGCGCGCGGCACGGCGTGCTGGCTGATGCGCGGCGGCACGCGGGCGCAAAGTCGAGTCTGGCGGCGGCAGCGGCGGCGGCGCGGCGCGCGGTAGAGCATCACGCCGCCTGCGCGCGCGCGCCTGCCGCATGAGGACAGCGGCAGCTCGTCGGCGAGGCTTGCGGCCACTCCACCACTCCACCACTCCACAGCCCCTCACGCTCCGCCGCCCTCGCACCGTCGCCGCAGCGTCACACGCGCCTCTCCTCGCCTGCGCGTCTACGCTTCCAGTGCAGCAGCTCGACACTCGGCCCACGCCCCACAGCTGCGCGTGCGTCTCGCGGTGCGCCCAGCCTCGTCTCATCGCACCTCCTCCACCTGCGCGAGCAGCCGCGTCTTGTGCGAGTCGAGCCGCCCCGTCTCTTCTCCTCGAGCAGCCCAGCAGACGCCTCTCTCTCTCGCAGCACGCGCCTGTTCACAGCGCTTGCGCCTCTGTTCCATCGGCGTCTGCGCTCCCTCCTGCAGCCGCCGTCTTCTGCTCGTGCGCCACTGCTGCCGACGACACTCCCGGCGTCTTGCGCAGCCCCTCCTCTCTCTCCACACCGAGACGCGCGCGTCTGCTAGAGCGTAGAGACCATGGAGCGAGACGGCGACGCATCCGGCGGCTGGCGCTTCGCGCAGTGCTTCGGCGACAAGGGCGAGGTGGAGGACATTACGGAGGGTGAGTCTGGCTGAGCTGCGGCGTGTCGCGCTACGGCACGACGGTTTGTCGCAAAACGAGCTGCACCTGCTGCGTGTGCAGGACGAGGCTTCCTGTACCTGCGCTACAGGCTCCGCGTCCACTGCGTCTCTACGCCGCTCCGAGACTAAGGGCAGGCGCACGTCTCTCGTTGCGGCTGCGTCGCCAGCGGCGCAGCGCTCCCACTGCGCCTGTCGTGCGCAGACTGACACCGTACTCGCTTCCTCACAGCCGATATCATCTCGACGGTCGAGTTCGACCATACGGGCGACTATCTTGCCACGGGCGACAAGGGCGGTCGTGTGGTGTTGTTCGAGCGGAATGAGTCTGTGAGTTGTCGTCATCGCATGAGCGCGCATCGCAGCAGCGTAGCAGCGCAGCGCTTGCTGGCGATGGACGAGCGCGTGCGTGGGGCACTTTCGCTGAGACTTGCGTCTGCCTCTGCTTGTCTTTGCCGTGCGCAGAAGAAGGGCTGCGAGTACAAGTTCCACACCGAGTTCCAGTCGCACGAGCCCGAGTTTGACTACCTCAAGTCGCTCGAGATCGAGGAGAAGATCAACAAGATCCGCTGGTGTCGGCGACAGAATGCCGCGCATTTCCTGCTCTCCACAAATGGTGCGTCGAAAGCAGAGCGAACGCAGGCGAGAGCGATGCCAGGCACGTGCATGCGCTGACGCGAGGTGGACGCTACTCAGACAAGACGATCAAGCTGTGGAAGGTGTTTGAGAAGTCATTGAAGGTGGTGGCAGAGAACAATCTCTCGGGCGAAGCGTACCGAGGCGCGACTGCGCCGACGCAGTCGACGTCGAACCTGCATCCCTCGCTCGTGCCACCGCCAGTGCCTCTTGTCGGCTCCGGCACGTCGTTGCGCATGCCTACGCTCACGCATCACGACACCATCGTCGCGGCGGTGCCGCGCAAGATCTACGCCAACGCCCATGCGTACCACATCAACTCGATCAGCGTCAACTCGGACGGCGAGACGTACATCTCTGCCGACGACCTGCGCATCAACCTCTGGAACCTGAACATCAGCGACCAAAGTTTCAGTGCGTGTGCCCTCCGCGACGCCTCACCGCGCTGCATGGCTGACCTCGTACCCTCTCCGCAGACATCGTCGACATCAAGCCCGTCAACATGGAGGAGCTGACAGAAGTCATCACGGCTGCCGAGTTCCACCCCATCCACTGCAACCAGTTCGTCTACTCAAGCTCAAAGGGCACGATCAAGCTGGCGGACATGCGCGACTCGGCCCTGTGCGACCAGCATGCCAAACGTGAGTGCGCGCCGCGAGAGGGGAGGGCAAGAGCGAGAGGGGAGGGCAAGAGGCGCGACAGGCGGATCGGCGGCGGAGAGAGGGCCGGATGCTGCTGCTGCGAGCATGGGGGATGAGTGCACTGCTCTCTCCAGCGTGAAGACGAGCTCCCGTGGTATGCAGCAGCTGACTCTGCGCCCACAGACTTTGAGGAGGAGGAGGATCCGTCGAACAAGTCGTTCTTCAGCGAGATCATCAGCTCCATCTCGGACGTCAAGTTCAGCCGGGACGGGCGATACATTCTCTCGCGCGACTACCTGACGCTCAAGCTGTGGGACGTCAACATGGAGAACAAGCCCGTCAAGACGATTCCGATCCACGACCATCTGCGCTCCAAGCTGTGCGATCTGTACGAGAACGACTGCATCTTTGACAAGTTTGAGGCTCTCTGGGGGCCCGACGGCAACAAGGTGCTCACCGGCTCGTACAACAACTACTTCCACATCTTCGACAAGGACGACGACTCGGACGTCGTGCTGCAGGCCGACAAGAGCGCGTTCAAGGCAAAGAAGCTCGCCGGCGCAAAGAAGAAGGGCGCCAACGCCGCGGCGGGCGCCGTGGGGCAGATCAACGTGGACAACGTGGTGCGTTGACTGTCTGACGGCACTGACGAGGGACTCGGCGGGCGAGGCACATGCTGACCACCCCCTTGCCCCGCTCTTGCAGGACTTCAACAAGAAGATCCTCCACTCGAGCTTCCACCCGAGAGAAAACACAATTGCCATCGCAGCGACGAACAACGTGCGTAGCAGGCTGGCCCTTGCTCACTCTCACTCCGCGCCGGCACCGCGCTGACATCCAGGTTGCTGCATCTCCCGCAGCTCTTCATCTTCTCCGCGAACAACGCATCGACGGCGTGAAGCGTGTCCTGCTTTGTCGCGTGCGCGCAGTCCCGTCGGCCTTTCTCCTTTTTCCCCTCTCTCTCTCGCTGTAACAACCCCGCTCTTCCTCTCTCGTCCCCCCTTCACCCACGCCAGGCACTGCTGCGTCTATCCCACCCCAAGCCTTTTTCCCTCCTCCCTCGGCCTCCGACTACTCGGACGAGCTTACGACCTCTTTTCACATCGCTCCCTCCTCGGTGCCGTCGTCTCTCGGTTCCCCCCTTTTGCGGTCCCTTCCTCACACGCGCGCCCTTTCTCCCTCTCTTTACTCCTTCATTTCTCCACCACCCGCGCACGGCTCTGCGGGCCTTTCGAAGCCGAGCGGTGCGTAGACGGATGCGGTGCGGGAGCGGGCCACGAAGCAAGAGCAGCAGAGAAAGGGAAGGGGAGGGAGAGAGACACAACTACTAAGAAGCCTAGACCTTACAATGAGCAGCCTCCACGTACTTTGCCGCCACGGAGCGTGAGCCAACAGCAAGGGGGTGGGAGTCGTCACTGGGTGCGCCGTCACATGTGCGCGAAGGCCTGCGAGAAGAGCTCGGCCGTGCTGCGCTTGATGCCCCAGGCAGGCACGGCGAGCGGCGGCGGACCGGCGTAGCGCACCTCTGCTGTGCCTGAGCCGCCAAGCTTCGCCAGAGTGGAGCGGATGCGAGGCTGCGAGACAGGAAGGGATGGGGATCAGCCACTGCCGGGGGGGGGGGGGGCGAGAATGGCGATCATATGCGTCGTGCACTCACCTCGACAAACGAGTAAGCTCCCTGGTTCTGCGGCTCCTCCTGCGCCCAGACAAAGGACGTCTGCGGCGACACGAGCGGCGAGAGGGCGCGCTGCAACGCCTGGAAGGGAAAGGGACTGAGTTCCTCGAGGCGCACCAGCGCCACGCGGGCGGCCAGCTCGCGCTTCTGGCGCTCGTCGCGCAGCGCATAGTAGTGCTTGCCGGCGCAGAGAATGATACGCTCGACTGGACTGGCTGAGGAGGAGGCATCGACGAGCACGGAGCGGAAAGAGGTGCCCGGCGCCATCTCCTCGAGCGCTGATGCGGCGTACTGCGTCCCGCGCGTCAGCACACGGCTCAAGAGCATAGCGGAGCCCGGACTTACGGGAGCGCGAAGCAGGCCCTTGGGAGCGGCCACGACCAGAGGCTTGCGGTAGTTGCGCAGCATCTGCCGGCGCAGGAGGTGAAAGTACTGCGCTGGCGTGCTGTGCGAGTCTCTCCGGGGTGAGCCGTCGTCAATCCCTGCCGCCGGGACCGCACTCACGTCGGGTATACGACGGGCATGCTCGAGGAGACGAAGCTGGGGGCGGCGTCAAAGGGATCGTCCGACAGCTGCAGTGAACGCGGTGAGTCAACGAGGGTCTAGGGCGCGCGACCCACTCGACTGACCTGGAGGAAGCGCTCGATGCGTGCGCTCGAGTGCTGGACGCGGAAGTTTCAGCGGCTGGCCTTGCCCTGCGGCGCCTCGCAGCACCCACCTCTGGCCCGGCGCCGTCCATGCCGTGAGGCAGGAGCATCACCAGCGCAGATTGACGGCCCCACTTGGCCTCTGCCGAGGAGACGAGCTGCGCGGCACACGAGTAAGAGGACGTGTGCTTCCAGGTTGAAGGCGCATCGGACACACTCACCGTGTCGATGGTCACTTGCGCGCCCTGCGCAGAAGAGCGTCAGCGCTGAGCGTCATCGCTGCTCCCCATCGAGACCGAGACGCACGTTGAAGAAATCGCCGAACTACGTGCGCAGAAACGTCAGTGATGCGACACCTGAACGCATTCGCAAAGAGCACCCACCTGAGCCTCCCACAGCGACAGCAGCCTCGGCCTAGCCCAGCTCTGTCCCGCCTCGAATGCCAGCACCGAGAGCTCCGAGAGCGGCGAGTTTGCCAGCTCCAGTGTGCCTTGCAGGGGCGGCTCGTTGAGGGGGACCGTGGTCGCCTCGGTCTGCTGATCCACGAGCATTGCGTGCCTGCGTGCAGATGTGAATGCTGTGGCGCACTAGAGGGAGAGACCGAGGAGGACGTACCGCTGAGAGAAGGTGCCTCGTCCGACGTCCTGCCCGCTGATACGCACGTCGTAGCCTTCGGCCAGCAAGCTAGCCCATGCAAGGGCCTGTGGCACGACTCGATTAGCGGTCGTATTCACGGATGCCACAGGCGTCAAGCATCTCACCTCGGCGGTGGCCCAATTGACACCCTCGCCACTCTGCAGCGACGTCCTGCGCTGTTTTACGTGACGCTCCAGTGTGGAATGCAGAGCCTGTCCTCGCGCAAGTCAGCAAAAACCAGTGTTCGCAAGCTGGCGCATGCACGAGCCACCCACGAAGCCATCCGGCAGCTTGACGCTTCTCTCGCCCAGTTCTCTCAGCTTCTCGAGCGCCACTCCCGTCTCTGGATCATGCACTGCAGCCGGACTATGAGGCCATACGATCGTCTCTTTCTTCCACGCCGAGCTCTCCCACGGCTGTGGCGTCTGCTCTCGCGTTGGTGGAGGGTCGGCTTGCATCGCTTCCAGCGCAGTCGAGAGGGCAGAACGATGTGCCTGGCGCACCGAGAGCGCCTCTCCTGCGCCGAGAACACCCTTGCGCTATACAGAGAAGATCAGTCGCTGCCTAGACCATGGAAATGCTGCACAGCTCACCTCCAATGCCGCCTCGTACGCCTCCGGCACAGAGCGACGCTTGCGGATGTCTCGGTACATCTTCGGCTGCGTGAATGCCGGCTCATCAAGCTCGCTGGAGGAGCTGTATTCAGCTGCTTGCTCCCGAGCCGCCACGCTGGAGGGACTCACTTGTGTCCCCACCGCCGATACACGATCAGATCCACGACGACGTCTCTGCGCCAGCGTGCACGATACTCAAACGCAGCGCGTGCGGCGCGCGCACATGCGTCGGGTGCGTCGCCGTTGACGTGGATGATGGGTGCGCCGATCATCTTGGCGATGTCGGCTGTGCATGACTCGCGCATCAGCAGAAGCAGCCGAGAGAAGGAACTCGGAGGGAAGACGTACAGGCGTAGAGAGACGAGCGGCCGGCTGAAGAGGCGGTGGTGTAGCCGATGTTGCTGGGCCGCCCATGGCGTAAGCCATCAAGGCGGGATCAACAGGCAGCACACCGAGCGGGCACTCACTTGTTGACAATCAGGTGAATCGTACCGCCGTTGGCGTAGTCTGGCAGCTCAGACTAGCAGAGGCATCGTCAGCTGTCCGGCTTACATGCACGAGAAGCCAGGGCATCGCGCTCACCAAGCCGAACGTCTCGCTGACAACGCCTTGACCGGCGAATGCGGCGTCTGCAAGGGGGGCGAAAGCAAGCGCCCGTCAGCTCCCAGCTTGCACACGACGCGGCGCACATCTCACCGCCGTGCAGAGCAATGTTCAGTGCTTCTGCTCCTTGTGCCCTGGCATATCCGGCCGCAAGCGGAGCAATGGCCTCCAAGTGGCTCGGATTCGGGAGCATTTCAATGCTAGTCGCTCCGTGCCGCGTCACCTGTGCGAGGTGCGAAAGCACGTCAAACGTCATGCCCTCTTCGCCTGCGGGAGCTTGCCCTGCCATGGCGCGGAAGAGCTCGCTGTGAGGAAAGCCGAAGATGGGAGACGCGAGGAGGGAGAGTCGTCCTCGATGCGGCGAGGAGAGGATGATGGAGGGGATCGAAGAGGCCAGTGAAGAGCGCAACATTTGGTCGACAATCACCAGCATGGACTCGGCTCCTTCAGCGCCGTAGCGCTTGGTGCGGGCACGCTCAGCGTTGCCACGGGGGCGCCTTGCATCTTCGCTGAGCGACTCACCTTGACGCTAGGGAACTTCTTTGCCAGGAAGCGATCCAGTTCCTCTGAGCCCGTGACGAGGGCATGCGAGCGTCTCGACTCCTCCTTCGACGCCTCCTTCACTCCTTCACGTTCGAGGTAGTCGCACCACCAATTACGCTGCGCCTTGCTGTGCTGGTGGAAGAACTCCCAGCCAATGTCGCCGATGTACACGCGGCGCAGATGCTCGACGATGTCCGCCATGCTTGAGCCTGCCTCGCGCCCGTCGGGAAAGGAGAGAATGCCGCGCACATCGTATGTGCTGGTGGGATGGAGGCCGTAGCGCAAGGGATCGAGCGCCGCGACGGCGTCCTCTCGCTGCATCAGGCCCCTGGGAGGAAGGCAGAAGGCATGAGCGTGTCGGCGTGCCGTGCGCCAATCGCGCGCCTGCCTCACAAAGGATCGATGTTCGCCGCCCGATGTCTGGCGTCGAGAGAGAGAGGCAGGGCATCAGTCTGGCGTCGCACTACTGGCCCTTGCGCGCTGCAGCGCCAGGCCGGCACCTGGAACACACCCGTGGCGCCGCACGTTGTCGCAGTAGCGCAGCAGCGGGGCGGAGGCGTTGCGGTTGCGCAGGTGCGCCGCGGGGTAGTCGCTGATCTGCACCGGCGGCGGGCGAGCTGCGAAGCGAGCAGAGGCGGCGCTCGAGGCTGAGGCGGCAGAGAAGCAGGCACACGCAGAGCTCGAGACGCGGCGCGGGGCAGACAGGGCCAGGGCAGAGGCGCGCAGGCCGGCGCCCTGGACGCGCGCGAGGCGGGCGAGACGCATGCTTGCAATGCTCTGGCAGGTGGTGGTGGTGGTGACGAGGCAAGCGTGCTGCCCCGCGCTGCCACTGCACCTGATGCAAATGGACGCCCAAGCTGCGGCCAGATAGCGAGAGCACAGCGCGCCCCTGGTGCCGGTGGGTCCGCAACGCGTACCGCAAGATGCAGCCTCGGCGCCCCGTGCGCCGTGCGCGTCGGGCGGCTGCCGCGGCTTCCGGCCCGCCGGCTGCCCCTGCACCCCGCACTCGCCTCGCGAGCTCCTATCGCTGCCTCGGCCGGAGCACCCTTCCCCGCACGCCCACCGCAGCGCAGCCACAGCCACAGCACAGGCAGGGCGAAGACCTCGCCAACTTCTGCAGCTGCTCACACCTCGCACGCTCCGCTGCAGCTCAGCTTGGCCGCCCTGCCTCGCCGCGCCGCGCTGCGAGGCGAAGCATCTGCCCTTGCCGCCCCTGACGAGCAGCATCCATGCAGAGGAGAGAGCAGGTGGCATTGCATCGCGTACTGCCAGCTGCAATGCCTCACACCTCGCCTTCCTCCTTCTCGCTGTCCTCTTCCTCGTGGCGCGCTCTCTGCGGGGGTCGGGACGGAGGGGGAGGGGAAGTATTCAGCGTCAGCGCCATGCGCGCACATGCCGTCTCGCAGACGCAACAGTCCTGCCTCGACTCACCTTGCGCGCACTCTCCTCTCCCTCCGTAGGTCTCTCTCTCCTTCTCTCCTCCTCCTCACGGCGTCCCGAGGCCGGCCGCGCGTCACGCGCGTCGCGGCTCGAGCGCGCATGCTTGCTGCTGCGATGGCGAGACTTGTCTTCCTCTTCGTCGGCCGCCGCATCTCTGCGCTTGCGAGATGAGGAGGAGAGGTGGGGACTGCCTTCTTTGGCTCTGCGCTCCTCATTCTTCTCCTACGAGGCAGAGATGGCAGGTGATGAGCGGCGGCGCACGGAGAGCAAAGGTAGCGTTTGAGACACTCACCTTCTGACGTCTGACGAAGCGCTCCCACGCGCTCTTTCTCGACTCGTCAACCTTGTCCTCCTCAATGTCCAGTCTCTGCATCTCGCTCCACTCCTTGAGCTCCAGCGCCGCCAGCTTGGGCCGCCACTCCTCCCACGGGCGCTCGAGGGCCGCATCGTCCTCGACCGGCAGCGCCGAGACTTTGCGCAGCGCATAGCGCAGATCCTCGGTCAGGTGGCGCAGGCGACGCTCCGCACGCCGGCGCTGTTCGGCCTGGGCACGCACGGCGCGCTCGACGAGCTGGGCAAGCGAGGCGCGTGCGTGCTGTCAGTGCACTGCCGGGCCCGCGGAGAAAGAAGAGGAGGGCCGCTCAACAGCCGGCACTCACCTCGTCAAACACGAGCCGCAGCTCCTTCTCGTCTTTGAGCACCTCTGCGCCTTCGCCGTCCTGCTCGCTTGCCTTCTTCAGGCGCAGCTTGAAGTCCTCAAACTCCGTCTTCTCGTCGATGTGTGCCGCCTCAGTCCCCGCGCTCTCGAGCAGGCGCTCGACGTGCTTCGTGCGCGCATGCAGCCTGCTCTCGAGCTCATCCACGACATCGAAATACAGATCGAGCGGCGAGCTGCCCGGCTGAGCTGCGAGCTCGGCAAAGTCGGCGTCGTGCTTGACGAGCTTGTAGATTGTCGGCCAGGGCGTGCGCGCCGTCAAGGTGCCATCTGCGACGAGCTCTTGCAGGCGCTGCTTGTACTGCTCCCTCCTGCGTCTCTCATCGCGTCTGCGCTTCTTGAGTGCCGCAGCCGCCTCGGTCTCCTTCTCCTTCTCCAGCGCCCGCATGTGCTCGTCAAACACAATGATCATGTCCGCCGCGTCCATCGTCGACAGATGGGCATCGGTGGCCCACTCGTCGGACTCGAGCACGGTGCGCTGGGCGTCTTTCCAGCGCGTAAAGACGTCGGCTTCGAAAGTGAGGAGCAGAGACATGAGCATGTCCATGTTGCGATGACGAAGCTCGCGTTGAGCCGCCTGGGAATCATGAGCCGTCATCAATGCCTGCCGCACTGTGACGTTTGCTGGGGCGCGCATCCACTCACAGTCTCCTTCTCCTTCCACTCCTTCTTGACCGTCTCCCACAGCTCGCGCGCCTTTTCCTCTCCCACCTCTCTGAGCTGCTTCCACTTTGGCTCGTTTGCGAGGATCTGGTTCGTCGCCTCGATGGAGAAGAAGGGCTTGAGCTGCTTCATGTTCTCCAGCAGCTCGCGCACTCCCGGCTCGAGCTCCTTGACCTGCGCCTCTCTGCGCTCATTCTCCTCGCGCTGCAGTTCGGCGACGTACTTTGCAAAGGCCGCCTTGCGCTCGCTCATGCTCTTGAGTGCCTTGTACAGCGGCTCGGTGATGATCTCTCGCATGGCGCTCTCCCACGTCCACGATGCATCGATGCCCTTGCCCTTGAGCAGCGACACAAATGCCGCCTCGCCGCCTCCCGGCCCGCCGAATGCGCCGGGCGCAAACGGCGCGCTGGAGGCGGGGCCGACGGGAACGACGCGTTGGGGAAGCGAGGCTGGCAGCGGTGCAGAGGGCACGGGCGCAGCTGCGTCGACGGCGGGACGAGCAGGCAGGCTGGCAGAAGCAGGCGAGCCGGCCAGCCCGCCGTTGGGCGAGCCTGCGGCGGGAGCGGCGAAGCCGGGAGGCGGGCCGGAGTAGACGGGCCGAGCGGCGCCGCCGGGACTGCTGTGCCCAGCAGCGACTTGCGCCGGAGAGGCGGCCGCGGCTGTTGCGGGAGTGACGCCGCCGGAGAGCGGAGTGCCCGCGGCGGGCGATGCGGCAGCAGCAGCAGCAGCAGCGGCAGGCGTGGCAGCCGCCGCTGCTGCCGGCTCATCGGGCATCGTGTCGAAGATGTCTGCGGTGCCCTCGCGCCATCAGCATCGCGGCAGCAGGCCGTCGGGCAAGCATGCAGCCGTGCCACCACTCACCCTGCAGCTCCTTGGGCACCTTCCACGTCGTCTCCTTGGTCTCGGCATGCACGTAGTAGCGGCGCTCGCCCGCCGCATACTCCTTCCACGGCGTCGCGGCCATGGCGCGCTCGCGCGGCGTGCGCAGCTCGTCGGGCTTGTCCCACACGCTGCGCTTCTCCTGCGTGTGGTACCAGTACTTGCGCCCGGCGGCGTTGGTGTGCTCTGTCCACACGGCCATGGCGGATGAGGGTGGGGGGGGGGGGATGTGGAGAGGAGCGAGGGGCGAGTCGACGAGGCCGAGGTCAGGTGAGGCATCGCCGCATGCTCGATGCTTCGCGCCGATTACGTCAGCCACTTTTGGCGGTGGGCCGAGCGAGTCCGCGCTTTCTGTCGTGCCTTCGCAGCCGCGCGATGCCTGTCTTCGTGTCCACCACATCCCACGGTGCCCGTCCTCACCTCATCATGGGCAAGCGTTCCTCGCTGCCCTCTTCGTCCGCCGCGCCTCCTGCTGCAGCTGAGGCGTCGCCCGCGCTCGACGACGCAGCGGCAGCGCAGAAGAAGGCCGACAAGGCCGCGCGCAAGGCCGCAAAGGCCGCGGCCTCTGCCTCGGCCACTGCGGCACCTGCTGCGCCTGCCGCAGCGCGCCCGCCCACCTTCGATGCTGCTCTCGATGCCATCTTCAGCAGTGCCGGCGCCGCGCCCGCGGCGCTCAGCCTGCCTTCTCTCGCCGCACCGCGCGCAGAGACGGCGGCCGAGAAGCCAAAGAAGAGCAGCAAGCGCAAGCTCGAGGCGGCGCCCGTCGCTGCTGCCGCCGCTGCCGTCGCCGATAGCGAGGCGACAACTTCGACGCCGCAGCAGCAGCAAAGTGGCAGCGCAAGCAAGCGCGCCAAGCGTGGCAAGGGCGCCGTCGCCGAGCGGGCCGGCGCCTCTTCCAGCACTGCTTCCACGCCCGATGCGCCTGCGCCGGCTGCTGAAGGCGAAGCGCCCGTTTTCAGCGACTCGGAAGACGACGACGATGCCGCGCCGCCAGTGCACGAGACAGTGCTCGCAGCACGAGCATCTGCCGCTCGGCACGCACCCGCGCAAGATGGAGGCCCTTCGCAGGCCGATGCCGCACGCGCAGAACGCGACGGCCGCAGCATCTTCCTCGGCAACGTGCCCATCTCTGTGCTCTCCTCCAAGTCTCAGCGCCGCGCCTTGGTTCGCCACGTCTTGCTCCACTCTCCCTGGCCCTCTCTCACGAAGCTTTCCGCGCTGCGCTTCCGCTCCGTGCCGTTCTCGGTGCCCACGGGCGACTACGCCGCAGCGACGGCGGCAGAGGCAGCAGCGTCGGAGAAGCGTCGCAATCGCACGCGGGACTGGAAGGCCAAGCAGGCGGGAGAGGAGGGCAAGAGCTGGCTGACGCCGGCGCAGAAACGCAAGGTGGCCTTCATCAATGCCAACATCAACGAGCAGGCGCATTCCCTCAACGCCTACGTCTCGGTCCACGCGCCCACGGTCGCCATGCAGCAGACATTCGCTCAGCAACACGGCGCCAGCGAGCAGAGCACCGCGTTGCTCCAGGCTCCGGTGCTCGCTGCGTTCATCGCGAGCAACGTCGATGGCTCGGCCTTCCGCGGCCGCCATCTGCGCGCCGATGTCTGTGCCGCCTTGTCCGCCTCCCTTCGTGCATCGGCCGGTCTGAACGCGTCGCTCCCGTCGGGCCAACTACTCGGTGCTCCGCGTTCCGACGACATCGACGCGCCCAACTCCGTCTTCGTGGGCAACCTCGACTTTGCGGCCGACGAGGAGAAGCTGTGGGACTGGTGCGAGCGTACGCTGCAGAAGGAACAGGGTGTGCCGCCGGAGTGGGAGGAGGTGGAGGTGGGCAAGTACGGCAAGCTGCCGGCGGCGGAGAAGCGAGGGGAGAGTGAGAAGCAGGCCGCGACGAGGGAGGAGATGGACGAGCTGGACAGGGACGAGATTGATGATGACGAAGAAGAGGCGCAAGAGTCCGATGCCGAAGCCGACGATGCCGCCCTCGCCGACGCCAAGGAGGGCCAAGCCGCTGCGCGCCCGGCGCGTCTCTTTCCCGCCCCAGCACCGCGCGAAGCCTCCTTCCTGCGTGCCATCCGCTTCGTGCGCGACCCCGCGACGCAGATGGGCAAGGGCTTCGGCTACATGCGCTTCGCCACGCCCGCGAGCGTGGATGAGATGCTGGCGCTGGCCGCGTCCGACGAGGCGGTGCTTGCGGCGCGCAAGAAGGGCGGCGCGGCGGCAAAGAATGCCGCGGCAAGCCAGGCGGCTGCGACGGGCGAGACGCAGTTCCGGCGCAAGATGAAGTTTGACGGCCGACCGCTGAGGGTGAGCCGATGCAAGAAGCAGCGCCCCAAGCCTGCCTCGTCGTCGGCACACGGCGCACGCGGCGACAAGATCAAGTCGACGGCGCCTCCTGCGGCGCTCTCGACGCCGAACAAGCGCGCCCGCAGCTCGGGTGCGCCTTCGCCGGGCGGCTCGTCGCCGAGCACGAGGCGCGAGGCGCGCTCGCAGGCCGGCCGGAACGGCGCCTTTGCGCGTGGCGGCGCGGCTCGCTCGACGGGTGCTGCTGCCGCTGCTGCTGCTGGGCCGCCCGTCATCAAGGCCACTGCGACCAAGGCAAGCGCGGCGAGCTCGACGGCACAAGCAGCGGCCAAGACGCCCAACCCACCGCCGCAGGCTCCGCGCGATGCGGCCAAGGAGGCGCGCCTGGCGGCCAAGCGAGCGGACCCCGAGCGCGCGGCCAAGCGCGCCTCGAAGAAGGCACGCAAGGTCGTCGAGGCGCGTGCGGTGCGCAAGATGGGCGGCAAGGAGGCGCTGCTGGGCAAGGTGCGCCTGGAGCAGAAGAAGAAGAGCAGGCCGGGCGAGGCCAAGAAGGGCGGCGCGCCCAAGGGCAAGGCCAAGGTGATGGGCGGCAAGCGGCCGTAGAGCCGTGGCAATGAGATCTGATCGGATGAGCCGCGGCAACGCGCGCGCGCGCCTTGCTACACCTGCCCCGTCTGTGCGCGCGTGCTTCCCACCACCACGCACCTCTGCACCATGCCCCACGCCTCCTCCTCCCGCCTCACCCCTGGCGCATCCTCGCGCCATCAGCACCTCACGCTGCTGCTTCTCGCCCTCGTCTCGCTCGCATGCGCCAACACCCAGATGGCCGGCTTCGCCCCGCTGCGCTGTCGTGCCGATGCCGCGGGCCACTTCCTCGCACATGCCGCTGATCGTGTCGCCTTCTCCTGGTGTGTGTCTCTCTCCTCTGTGCTCTCAGCTTCAGCTTGACATGGGGGTCGCTCATGCAACTGCGGTGGCAAAATCCAGGCCAGTGCTGCAGCCCTCGCGCGAGGCGCGACGCTTCACGCTGCAGCCTGCGCACCTCGCGGCCGCGGCGGCGCACCAGGAGGGCGCCTGGCTCGTGCTCGACTTTTCCGCGGGCCGGCATCCGCCCGCCGCAGTGCAGGCATTCCTGGCTGCCGACATGCAGGAGGGCGTGGCATTGAAAGCGGAAGAGCTGGCCAGCGAGGCATTTGCGCTGCTCTCCGCCGAGGCGCAGGGCCAGCTGGCGCCGCGCGATCGACACTTGAAGAGGATGAAGGCGTGGATTGGGGGGAGGATGAAGGGATGGACTGTTAGGGCTTCGTGGTCGGCAAATGTGAGTGACTCTCTGCCATCCCCTCCCCTTCTCCTGCTCTATGCGGATGGCGGGGGCAGCGCAAGAGAGCTGATGCACAAGCACACAACGCGCGGGCAGTTCCCGATCGACTTGCAACTGCAGCTGCATACGCCTCAAAGCATGCTGGCAGCAGGCGGCACATCCTGGCAGGCCGAGTCTGCCGCCTCTGCCCACGACGCCGCCGTCGCTGGCAGCTCGTCGTTGGTCTCTTCCAGCAGCAGCCGCAGCAGCAGCAGCAGCAGCAGCAGCAGCAGCAGCAGCAGCAGCAGCAGCAGCAGCAGCAGCAGCGCGGCGCCAAAGACGAGACGACTCAGCGACGCAGATGCACTGGCTGCAGCCGAGGATCTGCTCCTTCCTTGCCCCCGGGTGTACCTGCATCTGCGCGCGACACACACTGGCGTGCCTCTCTCTGCGCCGCGCACTTGGCCGTCGGTGCGCCTCGAGACGCTGGCCGAGCGTCTCTTTGCGCCGCTGGCGCCCGGCGCCCCTGCCGCCGGCGCCGCACAAGGCACAACCGCCGCAGCGCCACGGCCGCCGCCGGCGGTGCCGCTGCTGCTGCTGCTGGAGCGTGCGTGGCTGGGCGGCGTGCTGCCCGGCACGGCGTGCGATGCGCTGCTGCTGCTCGGCGGCGTGCTGGCGCTGCTTGCGTATGCAGTGCTGCCGCACGTCAGGCGATGCGTGGGGCACGAGGTGCGGGCGGTGAGGGCGCAATTGGCGGACAAGGAGGAATGAATGGGCCCATGCCCCGTTTGCGTCTCTGGCCGCACGGCTTTGCCCCTCGAGACTGTGCTCGTGGCAGCAAGACGGCGCGGAGAGGCAACGCTGTGCCCTTGGGGCATGGGCAGATGACTGCACCACGCCCCACGCTGTTCACCCCCCCAATGACGGCGTGTGCCGCACTGAGAAGGTCGCCCGTCAGGCTGGGCGCGCGCGAGCGAGACGATGAGCTGTCATGCGGCGCGAGGGTGGATGTTCCCACGCGCGTCTCGCGCGCACCGTGCCGCCGGCCGCGCGCGCCGCCGTGTGAGTGCGGTGCAGCACGTGGATGGATGCGCCTTCGAGCTGCGACGGCTTCCTTTAGCTCCACCACCACCACCACCACCTCCTTCCCCCTCCTTCTCCTTCCTCCTTCCTCCTTTCTCCTTCTCGCCGTTCCTCTCTCTCTCTCTCTCCTCACACGCGCGCTGCGCTTGTCGCCAGCAGCAGCGCTTGACACTCCGGCCCGCCGCTGCCATTGCGCGCGCGCGCGGCCGCGTGCGCTCGCGTCGCGTAGAGTGGGGCCAACGCTCGAGCCCAGCAGCCAGCCTCAAGTTGGCGCCGCGCCGCGTTGGCCTAGTAACTGCTGGCAGCCATGCAGTCCCACGCCGGCGCCGCAACGTCGCGCGCGCCGCCGCCGGCCCTGGCGCACAGCAGTTCCTTCTCGAGCCAGCAGAGCGCGCAGAGCAGCGCCGCCAGCTCCACGCTCAGCAGTCTGTCGGGCGGCAGTGCAGGCGACAGTGCGGGCGGCAGTGAGACGCACCGCACGTCCTACTCGCACTACGGCCATCCTCCCGATGCGTCAGGGGCGCCGCGCCTGGCCGTCTCGTCCGCGCTGGGCGACTGGCGCGGCGTAGCGCCGGGAGAGCAAGGGGCGGGGGAGCTGCAGCACTCAGAGTCGCACGGCTCCTTCTACGAGCACACCGACACATCGCACACATCGCTCCTCACGCTCTCCGCTCGCCTTCCTCCGCCGCCTCCACGGCCGCCATCCGAGTCGTCAGGCAGCACGTCGCGGCGCTCTAGTCGCGCCTCACTAGGTGCTCTGCCGCGCGTAGGCACACCAGGCGCCGACGAAGAGCCCACACCGCCTCTTCCCGAGCCACCCCTTTCGCTCGCCGCCGAGCTGGCGCGCACCGCCGTTGGCAGCAGCTCTCGTTCGCCCTCCCTCCAGCACGACGGCGCCGCCTTTGGCGCTCCGCCCGAGTCTCCGTCGCTCGCTTCCTCTGCACGCCCTGCCGCACGGCGTCGCACATCTGCACAGAGCGGCAAGCGCAAGAGCGTGCGCAACTCCACGAGCGATGGACCGAGCATCATGATCCGTGCCCGCTCGCCTGCTGCGGACCTGCGGAGCGCATCGGACGCAGCAGCGACACCGATGGCTCCCCTGCCCCGAGCAGTGGCGCAGGCGATGCGCGCGAGCCACAGCAGCAGCTCGCTTGGAAGCGCCAGTGGCTTGCGCCGCGCCTCCAATGCCGCGGCACACCAGCCAGGCATCGAGAATTCGTCGCTCGTTCTCATGCGCGACGGAAGCGTGATGGGAGCGTCGGCGTGGCATCAGTTTATGGACGACGCAGCGGAGACGCTGTATCTGATCCCAGTGCTGCGTGTGGCGAGAGAAACGGCGGCTACGTTGAAGGCGCTTTCGAGAGAGGTGTATGTGCCAATGGCTGTTGCCGGTCTGGTGAGTCTGCCTTGGCATCGCCTGATGCGCGCCACTTGTGCTGAGACGGCGTGAAAGGACATGCTGGCGCCACTGTGGCCGAGGTCCGGCAGCTCAACAGCAGCGAGATCAAGCACGGAGGCGGCGCCAGTCGATCCAGCTGTTCAGGGACAGCTGCGTGCCGAACACTGGAAGCACACGCTTGCCACCTCCTCGCTTCTCTCGCCTACACTCTCCATCTCGTCATACGCAGCCACGAGCGCTTTAACAGGCCAGCGCCGCGCGACTGCGCCGCGCACGGTTCGGCTGCAGCGAGCTCAACGAGTCCCGCCTCGCACCAGCGCGCTGCCACAGCTCTCTGCGCGCGGCGTGATGCTGCGCAATGCAGCGCTGCTTGCTGTTCTCGTCCTCCTGCCGCTGCTGCGTTCCCTCAAGCTCTGGGCGCGCATCTCACTGGCCATCGCATGCGCCACATGGGCCTCCATTCTCTTCTTTGGCAGCGAAGAGGACGCGCGCGTCGTGTATGACGTCGTCTTTCGCGCTACGCAAGAGAGTATCGCGGCGCGCAGAGCTGCAGCGGAACAAGAAGAGGAGGAGAAGGATCAGGTGATGGAACTCGTCGGCAGGGCTCAATCGCTTGATCGACAAGTCAATGCGGCCATCAGCGCGGTGCAGGAGGTGGAGCTGGTGGCGCGCGGATACAAGCTGTGAGTCAAGTTGGCGCGTGCTTCGCTGCCGCGCGGATGCGGCTGACCACGTCTGCACAGCTCGCATCCTCTGCCGCCCATCTCTCGCATCGAGGCACGCGACTCTGCGGCAGCGCGCGGTGCGCGAGGCACCGCTGCCTGGGGCAGTCCGTCCGGTGCCCTTAGCTCTGGCCACAGTGCGGCAAACGGCCGACTGTCGCGCTCCTCTTCCGGCGGTGCAGCCTGGCGAGCTCGTGCCACGTCGCTCAACGGCACGTGGACTGCAGGCTCGGCAAGCGCTGCGCCGGAGGAGCCCAGACGATTGGCCGAAATGCGCCGCATCGTGGCCAGTGCGCTAGAAGAGGCGAAGCGTGATTGTGCTCGAGCCACGGACGCACTGGCGCCGCTGGTAGAAAAGCAGGAGCTGGCGCTGCTGCGGCAGATGTATGCGCTGGAAGGGAACGGGCCGCCAGCAGAGGTAGGGGGAGTGCAGGAGCTCATCTTGTCGCACGACATGGAGACGAGCGATGTACGCTCTGCGCCGCCGTTCACTACGAGCAGTGCCTCGAGGCCCCCCAGCTGGTCGCTCGTCTCTCCAAGCCGCACATCCAAACGCACATCCGTGCTCGACGCCTCGCTCTTCTCCGGCCCGCTCTCTGCGCCGCTTGCAGCGCTGCAGCAGGATGAAGCGAGTGGCAATACGAGCACGAGCAGTACGGGCCATCGCCGACTCTCACTGCTCTCCGACGCCGGCAGTGGTGCTCTCGCTGGCACCACCTCGACGCTGGCACGGCGAACCTCGCTGAAATCGCGCGGCGACGTCAGTGGCTCTGATTCGCCCCTTGCGCCGCGCCCTTCGTCGCGGCTGCAATACGTCAGCGAGAAGGCTGCAGCCACCGCAGCGACGCCCACGCCCAACGACAGTGCGGCGCTCAAGCGCTTGAGCTATCAGTCCGTCGCCTCGTCGGCGCACTCCACATGGACGCCGGGAAGCCGACCAAGCAGTGTCAGCTGGACCGCAGAGAGCCCGCTCAGCAGTCAAGGCCCCGCCACGACCCACTCGACGCTCACGTCGCCCCACGTCGGCTTCTCGCATGCCGGGCGCCGCACGAGCGGCACGTGGTCGCGGCCGGCGCCGCTCGAGCTGGCGCAGCAACACTTGCAGACGCAGCAGTCTGGCGCGCCGCCGAGCGCATCGACGATGCGAGACTCGAACGGCACGTCGGCAATGAGTCTGATGGGTCTCAAGAGTGCATTCGAAGAGATGCACACTGGACGCCGACACGCCCTCGTGCACCTGCTCGCCTACGACTACGTAGCGCCCGCCTCTCGCGAGCACTGGCCAACAGTCTTGGCCATCGCCGAAGATCTCAGCGTGCGCTTTGCCTCGCTGGCCGCGCGCCTTGAAAGGGCAGTGGCGCGCGAGATGGGCACGTCCAAGGAGGAGGGGCGCAGCGCCTCGAATGCGCTCGAGAGGCATCTCGGAGTCGAGGACCGCACGAGCGCGATGGGCCAGCTGCTGCGCTCTGTGCAGGCCAAGCTGCGCGCCACGACGGCTGAGCTGCAGCTGAACGCACCCGCGCCCTTGCATGGACATGCCCACACTGCCTCGCTCGACATCACCACCACCACCAACAACAACAACACGACGCCGCGCACCGAGGCGCTCGATGCGCGCTCCGAGCGTGCCGAGAGGGTGTTTGAGAGCATTCGCGAGGACTTGCTATCGCTCTCGGCTGAGTGGGAGGTGACGCTCAAAATCATGCGCTCGGAGCGGGAGCGCAGGGATGCCGTCAGTCCTCTGCCTTCTTCCTCGAGCGATGCCGCGCGTCTGCGCTCGCCGCAAGAGGCGGATGAAGATGCGGCGCTGCATCCGTGGACGCGGCAAGAGCTGCACCCAGCATGCACGCCCGAGGAGGAGAGCGAGGCGCTGGCGTTTGAAGAGGCGGCCAAGGCGGCGCGCCAGCTGAGACACACGACGAGCTATCGTGTCGAGCAGGAGGTGCAGGAGGAAGAGGTGGCGCGCATGCTGTTCGACGAACGCATCGAGGATCTCCCTCGGCCCGGCAAGGCCGACGTGTACGAGTTTGACGCCGACGTCGACGATGCGCAGGCGCTGCTGCTCGGGGGCGCGGGCGCAGACAAGACGGATCGTGCGCAGCGCATCCAGCTGCAGCGTGCGCGCCGCGCGGCCGAACAGGAGCGCCAACGCGCCTCGGCCGCCTCGGCGGCGGCGTCGGAGGCGCTGAGCGTCGAGTATCTGCCCGAACTCAAGGCCACGCTGGCGACGCGCGAGGAGAGCCTCGCGGGCCGCCAGCCGCCGGCGCTGCTGGGCGCGCCGCTCGAGATTGCCACGGCGCGCAGCGACGTGCGTGCGAGTGCGCCGCCTCGCGCATCGGCGCATCTAGACAGTGCTGCAGGCGCGGCCGGGCGCGCAGCTCGGCCTGGCCTCTCTTCGTCGTCGTCGTCGTCGTCGTCGGAAGAAGAAGCACGCGCGCCTCTGCCTGTTGTGCGCCCACATGCGCCTCGCCGCACAAGCTCGGCGGCGCCGCCGCAGGACGCCTCGGCAGCGCTGCAAGAGCGCATGCAGCTCGCGCGCAAGGCGGCCGAGGCGGCGGCGGCGGCGCTGACGCTGCGAGGCCGCCCGGCGCACGCCGACGAGGGAGGATTCGCGTATTGACGGGCGCGCGCCGCTCCCCCCCCCTTTCCCCTCCGGCTGCTGGCGGCGGACCCCTTCCCCCCCTGCCAAGAAGCCTTGTTCCCCATTTCCCGCTTCTCTCTCTCCCCTTCCGCTCCTCCACGACAAACGCACGCCTCGTCGAGGCGGCGGACTGCATTCCGAGGGGCCCACGCGCACGCGTGCGCGCTGCGGCCCCGCGAGCTGGCCGCCGCCACTCTTCTCCGATCTCCTCTGGCGTCCTCGCGCGGCGGCCGCCCATGTGCCTCTCTCATGCTGCTCGCACTCCTGCCTTCTTGCTCTCCCTCCCACTCTGTAGCTCTACCTTGCCTCTCTAATGGACGCGCCTCTCGCTCCTTCCAGCTGGCGAGAGATGGCAGCGTTGCCTGTTTGTATTGGGGGCCCATCCTCGACACTTCACACGCCCATCGCCGGCGCCTCGGCATGCTCCAGCAGCACATACTCGCCGCTCGTCGCGCCCAGGCGGCGCAGCACGCCCTTGGCGCACCAAAAGGCGCACGCCTCGCTGGCCGCGCCTTCGGGCACGCCCAGCGCCTGCGCCACGGCCGCGGCGCTGAGGGGATTGTCGGACGTCGCGCCTGGAGCGCGCGCGGCGG